GTGCCTTAGACGACTGGGCCACCCGTGCCCCCTTTGAAATATGAAATGTTGCCAAAAACGTTATACAAATGGCACCAGGAGTTCGCACCGTCCGGGCATGTACTCATTCACCAGTTGCGTGTTGCAACCGGTCCCTTATCCGTGTAGCACTTTGCAACCGATTTCTTAATGCCATCGCTCTGACTAATCTTTCATGGGCTGGAGTTGTTGCCCTTGGCCGTCCAGAGCGGCGTCGATCATCGACGTTATGTGTTTGTTGGTATCGGACCTACAGTCTGCTCATGACCGATTGAGAAACATGCAGCGTTTTGGCAACAATATTCTGACGTGTGCCCGTCTGAAACATGTCTGTGGCACGTAAACTTTCAGCACGGCGCAAACGTCGCATGATCAATGCTGTTGTTTCCTTAATGATTAAATTGTATACTAAAGTGTCTTTGAGCGTTTGGTTCCAAGAAAACAATATGCGTCTGCCCACAACACAAATTTCCCGTTTCACCTCAAAACAAAATACCCCTAATTTCTTAGCATAGTATATATTAGTGAACTTGACAAAACGTAAACAAACCAACATTAATATGAAACCGTTATGTTTAAAGTTTAAAAGGGGTTTATCGGGCTGGTTTACCTTAGTGAGAATATTGCGTCCCGGCTAATCAACAATTTAGCAGTCAATCGCGGCCGAGTTACCTCAACTCCTGAAGACAACGACTGTAACTTTACCGCTAATAGCTCCGTAATACAATATTTCCTCACTCACAAAGATATCTACACTAATAATTTACACTTTTCCAGATATCCCGCTCTCCTGACTAACAGGTATTGGTTGACTGTGTTGATGAAGACTAGTCTGATGGGTGACCGGGTCAGGCATCTACCCCATCCGTTGCTTTTTCCCATGAGTCGCGAGAAGGCCCGTAACGACCCAATTAGGGAAATCCCCCGTGTGAAGTGACGGGACGACTCACTGTGAAAGCTGGGCCCACCCGGCCGTGAGTCCACTGCCGGATCTTGTTCAGACACACCTGAAAGGCGCGTTATATCGGGGACTTACATAAGCGTCACAGTCTGCTTCAGCATTCCGACATTCTCTTGTCACTATAACAGTAACTCTTACAAAATCCACCCACCCTGAAAACGTCTTCAGCAACCAATTCCTGACGTCAAAGGCAACTATGCTTGTCGTAAGAGGCGACTAACGGGATCGGGTGGTCAGGCTCGCTGACTTGGTTGATGCATGTCATCGTTTTCCAATTACGTGGATCGATGCTCATGATGTCAATCACTGGATTCTTTGGTCCAGACTCGATTATTTACAGACCGCCGTCATATGGCTGGAATATTGCTGAGTGCAGCGTAAGATAACAAACAAACAAACAAACCAAAGCAGTCATTTTCAGTACCACGACACATTTCAATTTAGAATGTATTTTGTTAGAGAGTTACGAACCAAAAAAACACGACCGAGTTGAGATTTTTTCCATGCCACACTGTATTGTTGGTACCGTCAGTGCCTTAAGTCGATTAGAACCCGACTTGTTCCTTTTTTCTGGATATAATGCGAAATATTTAGTAAAAATTGGTGAGCGATAATCCCCAGATACTTTTTAATTAAGTGCACTAGAGTGAGCGAATGAGTGAGTTAATTGAGGTTTACGCCGCTTATATCAGCATTCCAGTTATACCATGACGCGTGCTAGAATGGTGCTGACTGACCAAGACACATAATCGGGACGAACCGGGATTCAAACCCCCAATTATTGATTCCTGGCGTCCCCAAAGGACGCAACTCTGCACAGCGAATTGCGGCGCCTTAGACAACTGGGCCCCCTATGTCCCTCAAGTTCATAGAACGGCGCCTATACATGTCTGCATGCGGATAGAACTAACTGTTGTATAAAACAGCTCATAAAGAAGTCTGTAATCATCTTAATCCAGGTTAGATTAGCCCCAAGTAACGTATGCTAATAGGCGACTACATGGGTCGGGTGTTCAGATTTGGCTGATGACGTGTCAAAGTAACCCGACGTGATGGTACGTCGCTCATTGTATCAATCACTGGTTTGTCCTGTGCCGAGTCGATTATATACAGACCGCTGCCATATATAAGAAATAAAGATCAAGTGGGGTTGTTTTTCGTACAATAAAACACTGCAGGGAGAACAAACCACGAGGGGCGCAAAAACGAACTTTCTTGTACGAAAATCACGATCACAATTCGCTTATTTCTTATGTGAGATATCAACATTTTGTACAACCCCTTTAAGGATGATAATAAAATGTACACGCTTTAAAAATATGTACCCGAATATAAGTACAGTAAACTACGTTTATTACGAACATGCTTATAACGAACTGACGGATATAACGAAATGTGTTTTGATCCCGCCCATTTGCTGTATATTTGCTGTACATGTGCTGTATGTATGCTTATAACGAACTACGGTTATAACAAACTAAAAATAGTGATCCTTGTGAGTTCGTTATAGTCGTAGTTTGCTGTAATTATGACTCCCTGAAAAGAATCCGACCTCGACAATGTCGGACAAGTCCATTTTATGAACGGGTGGGTTTAATTTTTTTCCCCCGCATATTCTCACAATCCCCACGCCGATTATCTGTACCTTTTCTCCCAATACCGATTGTCATATTTCTCCCATTTTTGGATGCGATCGTGCGTGTATATGCGTACCCCAGCTAAATCTTTGGGGAATAACTCACCGGACACTGGACACTTCCCTCTCAAAAGTAACGTCCAATATACGACGTTATCAAGTAGCGAGCGTGTGTTCGAATCTCCAGAAATGGCGTCATGATAGAACCATGTTTTATCGTGAATTAAACCACGCTTCGTTCTTCATTGTTCTTTGCGATTTATCGCGTAGCTATCTTACATAGCTCAGTGCAGCGTTAACCAATATTATACAATGTTAACCAACAAACAAACATACTACCTCCTGATTTTCCCTTACAGAATATCAACGTGTGGCTTTCACCAGTCGCGGGCCACCATGTATCAAGTCATATTCTGAAGGGTGGGAAGTGGGTGATATAAATTGACGTCCAAAAGAAACTTTACCAGAGCTTGAAATCACTCTTGCTCAAAAACAACAAAACATAATTGCATGAAGTAAAGTGTATTGAGAAAATCAATATATCAACATAATCAACACTGAAAATGACAATCATACCGCGTCCGAGAATGACGTCAGAGCCCCCCAAAGTTGAGTGTGGTACAAAACTCGAGCTTTCAGAATCATGCACAATAGGCAGAGTACATAAAGAATCGCTCACGTTCAATAACAAGTCATTAGTAGCGTGTGTGACCACCAAATGCCTCAATACACGCAAAAACTCTTCGACGCACTCGTTCACGTTGTTCGACTGTGAGTCAGGATGAACCAAGTACAAGTGTACTACCTTAATTGTGTGTTTGTTTGTTGTTTAACGCCGCACTCAGCAATATTCCCGCTATATGACGGCGGTCTGTAAATAATCGAGTCTGGACCAGACGCTCTAGTCATTGACATCATGAGCATCGATCCACGCTATTGGGATACGATGACATGCTTCAACCAAGTCAGCGAGCCTGACCACCCGATCCCGTTAGTCGCATCTTACGACAAGCATAGTCGCCTTTTACGACCAGCATGGGTTGCTGAAGACCTATTCTACCCCGGATGTTCATAGGTCTCCTGGTTGGTACAAGAACGCTGTATGCTCTTCAAGATGGCCGCAAGGACCGAGTCAAACCATATGAAGCAGAGAAGCAAAGTCACAAAACCATGTCAATAGATTTTCGATTTCAGGTTCTGTATATCGAGATGATTAAGTGACTTTGTAAACAATGCTAAATGTGTTTGCAACCAAATTAAAAAAAAAATCTATTTTTTTTAAAATAGCAATTTTTATATGGAATCAGGGGAAGCGGTTTGACTTTATTCATGGTGTATAATTAGTTCGCAAGCGTCATCCTATGTGACACATGGCGAGAGAAAGTGTATTATGTTACTAAAAATTTAATAGTTTTCCTCCTCACAATATATCAGAACAATTTATACATGTATGCATTAAGGGTGTGCAGTATTACCCGTATATCGGTAAATTGAGGTTCATTCTTCCCATGATACGTTGGGGGCACGGGTGGCCCAGTCGTCTTCGCTGTGCACAGTTGCGTCCCTTGGGCACGCCAGAAACCTATGATTGTGGGTCCGAATCCCGGTTCGCCCCGATTATGTTTCTAGGTTTGTCAGTACCATACCCGTGCTCGTGGGTTTCACCGAAGTGGTGAATGTCTGAGAACTGCATCACTTCGGGCATTCCTCCCACATTAAGCTGACACGCCGTAATATAACTGGAATATTGTTAAAAGCGGCGTTAAACCAAACTCACTCACTCACTCCATGACACGTACCACAATATCATGTTTTAATTCTCGGTATATCGGGTGATTTCAAATAGCGAATTTAATCATGGGTTTAATGTTATACACTTGCCAAATACATGTTCCTTCGAAATGTTTTCGCAATTCCAAAATGAAAGTTTGCATTCTGGAGTTCTATTGTGGCAAATCATCACTGCCCCGGCGCATGCATCCTTGCATATTTATTGAGTGAGTAAACATTATGCTGTTCCAGCATCTTGTTTTGTTCCATTTATGAACAAATTGCTTCTGAATTCAAAATTTTGAATTATACAATGCCTTGTGAGTCTATATCAATTCGGCCTTGTGCATTGTAAACTACAGTAAACTACGAACACGCTTATAACGAACTGACGGATATAACGAACTACTTTTTTGGTCCCGATAATTAGCTGTATTATGCTGTATATATGCTTATAACGAACTACGGTTATAACGAACTAAAATTAGTAGTCCCTTTGAGTTCGTTATAACCGTACTTTACTGTATTGTGATAGACTTGAAACATCCAATACCCATCCTTAGTTTGTATTAGCTGAGCTAGTTAGTCTGCATGAGTTGACACCATCAACTTGAAATGCCTCCGACAGCTCTCGACATGGCCCCCGGCAAGGTAACTGTCACTGCCTTCTCCCATCAAACGAAATTCATCATATTTTCCCATATAACCACCCCCCTCACGCCGTAAACATGAATGTGAAATACGAAATTCAAACTACCCCAATTATTCTTATATAACGTACCTCGCGGTCACGTGATATCCCCTGTATCACGTGATCTGCCGGGTATCGCACCCTGATTTTCATATATCCCCAGGACGCGAAACAGCGCATGCAGGAATATCACATGGGGTGTAGAGGAGTGGATTATCTGCAATTATTGATAAGCTGATAAGGTAAGAATTAATATGCTGCTGTTTGCACGTGTTATATGATCATGGTGTCTTGAGTATATTTCACTCTTATTATTATTATTTAATTTATCAATAATGCAATTCACTGCTAAGAGAAATACCTAAAGCGTCTTTCCTAGATATAGATGTATTCAACAAAGATGTCATTGTGGCACGCAATGGACAATTTTTGTAAATGATTGCAACCCCTTTACACAAGCGCCTATGTCTGTCTAGGATCCCAGAATCACGCGAGTGTGAGTTCAAAAGCTTACAATCACAGTGAGAAAGTATACTACGTTATCTTCATTTTGATTCTGAAATAAAAGATTAATCTACAGCCGACTGAACATATTTGTACACAAACATATTATTGTTTCAAAGAGCATCTCTGCATTAATTATATGGACAATAATAATTCCATCTTAAATGTCGGTACCTGCTACTGGTAATCAACGATAGAACTTAGATAAAGGATAGAGGCCACAGTAGCCGCATCACTAGCTGCAGAAGTTGACGTAGCGGCTGTAGTAGAGCAATATCAGCGGTAGTCATTGAATCTGGCCCTGAATGAAATATTTCAGCTTTCTCCTGACTACTAACGCTACTAGTACTACAACTACTTCTACTACAAATACAACTTCTACTTCCACTACAACTTCTACTTCTACTACTACTACTACTCCTTCTACTACTACTACTACTTCTACTACAACAACGATTACTACTACTACTACTACTTCTACTACTACTACAACTACTACTACTATTACTACTACTTCAACCACGACTACTACTACAACTACAACTACTACTACTATTGCTACTGCTACTGACACTGCTGCTGCTACTACAACAACTACTACTATCGTTGCTGCTACTAATTATCCTACTGTTACTGATGCGGCTGATCCTACTACTACTACTACTACTACTACCACTACAACTACAACTACTACTGCCACTATTATTATTGCTACTGCTGCTGCTGCTACTGTTACTGCTACTACTCCTACAACTACTACCGCTAATTCTGCTACTACTGCTACTACGACTACTACTACTATTGCTTCTGCTACTATTACTGCTTCTAGTAGCAGTAGTGGTTGCGGTAGTAGCAGTGGTGTACAGTGTAACCTGTAGTCGCAGCAATATATCAATATATCCTGGCTAGATTTTTAAAACAGGAAGCATTTTACGTGAAATAAATATATATCAGAAGTGTACTATTATGTAATTAGTTTCACGTTTTGTTCTTCAAATGCGTAAGTTGTCATTCATGCTTCATATGGTATTTAGCCGAAGTGTGTTAAATCCTTGATTTGAGTACTAGTACAGTAAACTACGGTTATAACGAACTCAAATAGACGACTAATTTTAGTTCGTTATAACCGTAGTTCGTTATAAGCATATATACAACATCTATACAGCAAATGGCCGGGACCAAAAATTAAGTTCGTAATATCCGTCAGTTCGTTATAGGCGTGTTCGTTATAACCGTATTTTACTGTATTCAATCAGATGTTCAAGGCATCGTCAGATCTATAAAGGGTCCTTATTTTTCCGCACTGCTTCACTAAACTAATAACCCAGAACTACGAGATGTTTGTTAAAAACCGCTTCTGTTGTAGCACTACATTGTGCCGAATCAGCTATATAGCTTAGTCTTGGTTTAGGACCACACAATAATGCACGTTTAAAAATGTTGAGTAAATCGTTTGTTTGACACCCTGGCATTTAATAATAGCATTTTATAATGTTGGTCATATCACACCGCTAGGGGGCGGGGGGGGGGGGGGGGGGGGGGGGCGGTTTAATGAGGTCACTGTGTGTGGGAGGCGTATGCCTCGCCGCTGTTATATAAACTGATATCGCAATGCTAAGACACATTCCTCTTCGAGGTTCTTTCACTGTGGATTAAATTAAAATTTGCTTATTACTCCTCTCAGCAACAAAAAATGATTGTATGTCTTGTAAAGTTGACAGATAAAAATGTCTTAAGAACACCCAATTAATTCATTAAGACACATAATTACAGTAAACTACGGTTATAACGTACTCAAATAGACCACTAATTTCAGTTCGTTATAACCGTAGTTCGTTATAAGCATATATACTACACCTATACCGCAAACGGACGGGACCAAAAATTCAGTTCGTTATAAACGTGTTCGTTATAAACGTATTTTACTGAAATTTCATTAACAATTTGGTTTTCTAATTTGTGATTGATGTTTCTACATTTACAGGGGCGATCAGTATTAATATTTACCGTCATCAGACGCTGAGAAATACCATTTTAGAAGGTAGCAGTAATAACGAATTGTTGTACGTCACACGGATTCCTTGAATGGCCTCAGAATTGCTGATGCGGCGTTAAGTAATATTCACTCTCACTCATTCACTCACCTATTTAATACTCCCTATTTAATAACAAGGACGTAATATTGAAAAGACATTGCAATGTTTTCGATTACTTTAAATATTTTAGAAATATTATTGGGGAATACATGTCAAACATGGCATGGTATCTCAGTTGGCTAGCACTATTAAATCGGCATCAGTCCGGACTAGCGCAAGCAGTCTCTCCTTCTCTCTCTCTCTCTCTCTCTTTCTCTCTCTCTCTTTCTCTTTCTCTCTCTCTCTCTCTCTCTCTCTCTCTCTCTCTCTCTCTCTCTCTCTCTCTCTCTCTCTCTCTCTCTCTATCATAACCACAGCCTCACAATAACCACATAGCATTCTCACAATATATTTATGGTAACGGAATCTCCGCACGTATTTATTTGATCAAAAAGTTGTATGTTTAGCAGGATTTGCAGTCCACTGTTTACTAGTGTTGGGCATTTGACCTGGTGACCCAGCACTTAGCATCCTGAAAGGGGTCGCGGTGTGTAGGAGGAGTTTTAGGTGGCGGAGGAGGGGCTATTTCACCGAGGTTGTGTAAGCTGATAACGACTTGTATAACACACATTCCTCCTTTAGATCTATCACTTATATATTTATGAACTGTTTGCGGGGCAGGGCTTACACTATTCAGGAGTGTTAGCTCTCCGAACTCAAGGACAGACCACACTGAAAAGAGCTGAAAAGTCTGTCATTGTAGCAATGCTTGAGATAAGGATTGATTGATAACTTGTGATAGCTTTGTTTTTCAGTTGTATTATATATTAGCATCGATATATACACCGGATGATTCGAAGTGCCATCCCCTTCCACACACACGTGTGTGTTCTTCCGTGTGACTGATAGTATTCTCTTATACTGGAAACTTACGATGAAAATATATCTGATTATAATCACACACTTAACTTCATCGAGCCCCCCCCCCCCCCCCATCGCCCGCCTCCCCAATTAATAACATTATTCCGGTACAATTGCTTTTACCAGCCCCCCTCCCCCTCCCTCCTCCCCAAATACACATCTCCACACGCACGCACGCACGCACGCACGCACGCACGCACGCACGCACGCACGCACACACACACAAAGTAGTAATAGGTTCACATGTTTATGACTAACAAATTATTGTACCAATAGATGACAATATAAAGATCAAATAAGCTCAATCTGCGCTTACAAAGATCACTGATATTAAATCAGAGCAAATACACAAGCGACTTAGCTAAGCAACTGTATTAGAGTTAAACAATGAAAGAAGCTAAAAAACAACACTTTGACAAGATATAGACAAGATGCATAGACAGCCAATTAAAACGGCTGCGATCAGTTAATCAGCCTCGGCTGTTAAATAGCGGGAAATAAACACAGAGGGTCGATCCCTAAAATAATTCACTTGGGTAATAAAATAGACGATAACGTCTGAATATCAAACTATTCTAATAGACTAAAGATTTAGTCACTTTGAGTGGGCAAGGAAATGCTGAAGATCCACCAAAGCTAGACAATCACGGGAAGGTTGGTTATCCACGGATTACTAGAAACTGAGTATTGGAATCCCTAGTTACCAAGTTTAGCTCAATACAACCAGAGTAAGTCAGTACTAGATCAAAGTGCCCTGTAATCACTTACTAACGACACCTGAGTCTCGATCGGCCATCCAGTGGCGAGCCGATCCATAAAAAGGCCTAACGGATTCAGGGGGTAAATACACCAGACCCTGACAAACCTATGATTGTGTGTTCGAATCCCGGTTCGCCCCGATCATGTTGCTAGGTTTGTCAGCACCATACCCGTGCTCGTGGGTTTCACCGAAGTGGTAAGCGTCTGAGACCTGCATCACTTTGGGCTTTCCTCCCACATTACCTGACACGCCGTGATATAACTGGAATACTGTTAAAAGCGGCGTTAAACCAAACTCACTTTCATTCACATTCTCAAACGAGAACCTCTAAAACACTATTATTTTGTTTATACTCTCCCCGGGAAGATCGTGAAACACGATCGCTATTATCGCTACTCAACAAAGAATTATTTCGTATAAGATCAAGGGCCCATATTTAAAGTAGTTACACAGTTTAGTACATTTTGAAGTTGAGTGGAATAATTTCATGTATTACACACCAGTATGTAAACACTTCACAGTGTAATGTCAAAGGGCATTGAAATAGAAGGTGAAATGTATCTTCATAAAAAAATTATCACATATAGTGTGCACTCCATCAGGTCTACCCGTATGTTTACACAAGCGTAATTCACCAATCATTAACAAGGCTCTGATGTGCCTCGCAGATCTATGTGGGTCACTACAAATACGTGTATTCATGCCATTTGGTTTATATGACCTTGAACTTCTACAATCATTGAAGATTGAACACTTGAAGGTTTCATTGTAGGACATACTCTGTGGGTCATATAACGTCTGAGAGGCCTCAAATTGAATAGACTGGAATTTGTGAGACCAATGTCGCCAGGATCAGCATTGATGGCTTTCCAAAATGAAATAATATAATTACTTCAATATATAACACTTTGTCTGTAATTACTTCATTTGCGACATATTTTATAGTAACAATAAATTACGATGTTCTTGAATGGTTGTTAAATTGATAAAAAGATATCATTCGTACAAAACAGAAACCAAATGTTTGATCACATCTGAGCACAACACTAAAACCCAATGCATATACTTGACCAGTAACAGTCATACAGTCCCTTGTCGGTTTCACAAAACAATCGCTTCCACTCCTCTCTCACCTCCTTCCAGCTCTATAATCTGCTCATTTGTAGAATTATTTTAGTATAACGCTATTCATGTGTTATTTCCGGACCATATGTCAGTCAAGCTTACTGGCACCAGCTGACCCGGCCATGAATGATTACGTAATGAGGATGTGTAAATGCAGGAGCTACTGTCTTTTCTAAGCCAAGTAAATGTGAATGTGAATGTAAATGTAAATGTAAATGTAAATTTGAATGTGAATGTAAATGTGAATATAAGTGTGAATGTGAATGTAAATGTGATTGTAAATGTAAACGTGAATGTGAATGTGATTGTAAATGTGATTGTAAGTGTAAACGTAAATGTGATTGTAAATGTGAATGTAAGTGTAAATGTAAATGTGAGTGTAAATGTGAATGTAAGTGTAAATGTGAATGTAAGTGTAAATGTGAATGTAAGTGTAAATGTGAATGTAAGTGTAAATGTGAATGTAAGTGTAAATGTAAATGTGAGTGTAAATGTGAATGTAAGTGTAAATGTGAATGTAAATGTAAATTTGAATGTGAATGTAAATGTGAATGTAATGTGAATGTAAATGTACTGGCACCAGCTGACCCGGTCATGAATGATTACGTAATGAGAATGTGTAAATGCAGGAGCTACTGTCTTTTCTAAGCCAAGTAAATGTGAATGTGAATGTGAATGTGAATGTGAATGTAAATGTGAATGTAAATGTGAATGTGATTGAAAACGTGAATGTAAGTGTAAATGTGAATGTTAGGGTAAATGTGAATGTGAATGTAAGTGTAAATGTAAATGGGAATGTTAGTGTAAGTGTGAATGTTATTGTGAATGTAAATGTGAATGTAATGTGAATGTAAATGTGAAAGTGGATGTAAATGTGAATGTTAGTGTAAGTGGGAATGTGAATGTAATTGTGAATGTGAATGTAATGTAATGTAATGTGAATGTAAATGTAAATGTGACAGTAAATGTGACAGTAAATGTGAATTTAAATGTGAACGTGAATGTAAATTTAATTGTGAATGTAAATGTGACAGTAAATGTGATGTATATGTGACAGTAAATGTGAATGTAAATGTGAATATAAATTTAAATGTGAATGTGAATGTACATGGGAATGTAAATGTGAATGTGAAGATTTTCTGCCAGTAATACTATGGACCACCTATCAATAGCTGTCGCTCGAATTTGTTTGTAAACTGCTGGGTTATTTATTTGTTTTTTGTTGTTTATTGTTTAACGCCGCACTCCGCAATATTCCAGCTATATGACGGCGGTCTGTAAATAATCAAGTCTGGACCAGACAAAGCAGTGATCGCATCATGAGCATTGACCCACGCAATTGGCATACGGTGACATCAACCAAGTCAGCCAGCCTGACCACGCGGCCCTATTAGTCGCCTCTTACGACAAGCATGGGTTTTGAAAGTGTACTTACCGGTCAATGTTATCATTTTTTTATATAACAGACTAACATATAGTCTATGAAATCGTACACATCCTTTACATAATACGGGGGCACGGGTGGCCCACTCGTCTAAGGCGCCGCGATTCGCTGTGCAGAGTTGCGTCCCCTGGACACGCCAGAAACCTATGATTGTGGGTTCGAATCCCGGTTCACCCCGATTATGTTTCTAGGTTTGTCAGCACCATACCCGTGCTCGTGGGTTTCACCGAAGTGGTAAACGTCTGAGACCTGCATCACTTTGGGCTTTCCTCCCACATTAAGCTGACACGCCGTGATATAACTGGAACAATGTTAAAAGCGGCGTTAAACCCAACTCACTCACTCACTCACTTTACATAATACACTTCTATTGTCTCTAAAATTAAAACAAATTATTTTCCTGATGCTGATTGTGGAACAGAGCGTTTTCCCCATGAAATAAATATATTCTACAGTCACGATGCAGGACCAGACAAGCACGGGTTCCTGAAATCCAGTTCTTGCCCGGATCCTCACGAGTAGCCCAATTTGGCGGCGCCGGGAAAAGAAAGCATACACTTGAAAACTGGATTTGACGAAAATATTACAACCGTTATCAAAACGTTACTAGTTTGCAAACAGTTGCCGAAACGCTGCAGACTGAAGGTTCCAAACAGAACTATGGTACACATGTCCAATACATCTCCATACCCGCCATACAAATCAGCGTATACTTTGGCCCGTCACTATATTTGGCTAAATATTCGATCTATAGGGCTGCTCTTTTCCCTAAGCTTGAAGGGATATACAAAACAGTGGATCTCGAGATAAACCGCAGAAATCTTGGACACGGTAAACCTTAGGAGTATCGGAGATGGGGATTACAAAGATGGGGATTATATAGAAGGGGATTATATAGATGGGGATTATATAGATGGGGATTATGAAGATGGGGATTATGAAGATGAGTGGAATTATTTCATGTATTACATACCAGTATGCAAACACTTCACAGCGTAATATCACATTGGCATTCAAATAGAAGGTGGAATCTATTTTCATAAAAATTCTTATCACATATAGTGTGCAAAGTCGACATTGCCTACGCACACCATCAGGTCTAAGCGTAATTCACCAAACCTTAACAAGGCTTTTACGTGCCTCGCACAAGTTAATATTGATCTAATATGGGTCACTACACATACTCGTATTCGTGCCATTTGGTGTATATGACCTTGAACTTCTACAATCATTTGAAGATTGAACACTTGAAGGTTTCATTGTAGGACATACCCCATGTGTCATATAACGTCTAAGAGGCCTCCAGTTGAATGGACTGGAATTTGTGAGACCAATGTCACCAGGATCACATTGAAGGGATTATGAAGATTGGGATTATGAAGATGGGGATTATAAAGATGGGGATTATAAAGATGGGGATTATAAAGATGAGGATTGTGAAGATGGGGATTGCGAAGATGGGGATTATGAAGATGGGGATTATAAAGATGGGGATTATGAAGATGAGGATTGTGAAGATGGGGATTGCAAAGATGGGGATTATAAAGATGGGGATTATGAAGATGGGGATTGCGAAGATGGGGATTATGAAGATGGGGATTATAAAGATGAGGATTGTGAAGATGGGGATTGCGAAGATGGGGATTATGAAGATGAGGATTGTGAAGATGGGGATTGCGAAGATGGGGATTATGAAGATGGGGATTATAAAGATGGGGATTATGAAGATGGGGATTGCGAAGATGGGGATTATGAAGATGAGGATTGTGAAGATGGGGATTGCGAAGATGGGGATTATGAAGATGGGGATGATAAAGATGGGGATTATGAAGATGAGGATTGTGAAGATGGGGATTGCGAAGATGGGGATTATGAAGATGAGGATTGTGAAGATGGGGATTGCGAAGATGGGGATTATGAAGATGGGGATTGCGAAGATGGGGATTATGAAGATGAGGATTGTGAAGATGGGGATTGCGAAGATGGGGATTATGAAGATGGGGATTATAAAGATGGGGATTATGAAGATGAGGATTGTGAAGATGGGGATTGCGAAGATGGGGATTATGAAGATGAGGATTGTGAAGATTAGGAATATGAAGATGGGGATTTTAAATGTGTACACAAACTGGTGAAACTATGATGAATAGGTTTCAGAGTGTTTTAAGGCCGTCTTTGAGAATAGAGTATGTAGACAATATATTGATCTCTTAGAATATGCTAAGAGAACCGCTCTTGCAACAAATATACATGTAATCACCCACCTTCAAGCACGTTCACCTGTGTGTTGCATGATTAATGAAGGAAGGTTCTGTTTCAGCACTTTGATCCGATGGAACTATGCGGCGGGTCACCATTATGGGTAGGTGATCTCTATTTCATTTTCATCATTAAGTGAATGAGAGCGTGAGCGAGTGAGTGTTTGACGCCTCTTTGAACAGTATACAGTTATACAACGTTGTGTCATCTTTATCTAAATGGAAAGCACGATTTTGATCCGACAATCATAGGATTCTGCGAATCTTGATGAGTGAGTGAGTTGGTTTAACGCCGCTTTGAACAGTATTCCAGTTGCATCACGGCTTGTCAGCTTAATGTGGGAGGAAAGCCCGACATGGTGTCAGACGTTTACCACTTTGGTGAAACCAACGAGCTCAGGTATACTGTTGACAGACCTAGAAACACAAGCGTGACGAACCGGGATTCGAATCCACGATCCTAGGTTTCTGGCACATCTAATTAGAGACGCAACTCTATACAGCTACTTGCGGCGCCTTGGACGTTGGGCCACCGTGCCCCTTGTATGATGAACATATATATCACCATGTACTCGAAAATATGTTAACTCGTGTAAAACGCACTTCAACTTTTGTCGTTTGGACACTTGGACAGCACACACCCGTGATGTGTTGGGGTAGTAGATGGCATAGTTTAACCCTTGCCATGTCGTGTGTAGGGGTAGTAGATGGCATAGATTAACCCCTGTCCTGTCATGTGTTGGGAAAGTAGATGGCATAGTTTAACCCTTGCCCTGTCGTGTGTAGGGGTAGTAGATGGCATAGTTTAACCCTAGCCGTGTCACGTGTACAGGTAGGAGATGGCATAGATTAACCCCTGTCCTGTCATGTGTTGGGAAAGTAGATGGCATAGTTTAGCCCTTGCCATGTCGTGTGTAGGGGTAGTAGATGGCATAGTTTAACCCTTGCCATGTCGTGTGTAGGGGTAGTAGATGGCATAGTTTAACCCTTGCCATGTCGTGTGTAGGGGTAGTAGATGGCATAGATTAACCCCTGTCCTGTCATGTGTTGGGAAAGTAGATGGCATAGTTTAACCCTTGCCATGTCGTGTGTAGGGGTAGTAGATGGCATAGATTAACCCCTGTCCTGTCGTGTGTAGGGGTAGTAGATGGCATAGTTTAGCCCTTGCCATGTCGTGTGTAGGGGTAGTAGATGGCATCGTTTAACCCTTGCCTTGTCGTGTGTAGGGGTAGTAGATGGCATAGTTTAACCCTAGCCGTGTCACGTGTACAGGTAGGAGATGGCATAGATTAACCCCTGTCCTGTCATGTGTTGGGAAAATAGATGGCATAGTTTAACCCTTGCCCTGTCGTGTGTAGGGGTAGTAGATGGCATAGTTTAACCCTAGCCGTGTCACGTGTACAGGTAGGAGATGGCATAGATTAACCCCTGTCCTGTCATGTGTTGGGAAAGTAGATGGCATAGTTTAACCCTTGCCATGTCGTGTGTAGGGGTAGTAGATGGCATAGTTTAGCCTTTGCCATGTCGTGTGTAGGGGTAGTAGATGGCATCGTTTAACCCTTGCCCTGTCGTGTGTTGGGAAAGTAGATGGCATAGTTTAACCCTTGCCATGTCGTGTGTAGGGGTAGTAGATGGCATAGTTTAGCCCTTGCCATGTCGTGTGTAGGGGTAGTAGATGGCATCGTTTAACCCTTGCCCTGTCGTGTGTAGGGGTAGTAGATGGCATAGTTTAACCCTAGCCGTGTCACGTGTACAGGTAGGAGATGGCATAGTTTAACCCTGTCCTGTCATGTGTTGGGAAAGTAGATGGCATAGTTTAACCCTTGCCATGTCGTGTGTAGGGGTAGTAGATGGCATAGTTTAGCCCTTGCCATGTCGTGTGTAGGGGTAGTAGATGGCATCGTTTAACCCTTGCCCTGTCGTGTGTAGGGGTAGTAGATGGCATAGTTTAACCCTAGCCGTGTCACGTGTACAGGTAGGAGATGGCATACTTAACCCTTTCTCTGTCAATGGAAAGGTTGTTCATGGCATAGTTTAACCCTTGCCCTGTCATGTGTTGGGATAGTAGATGGCATAGTCATAGTTTAACCCTTTCCCTGTTATGTGTTAGGGTAGTAAATGTCATAGTTTAACTCTTGCCCTGTCGGTAACCTTTTTGAAGTTACTGTTAATACTCTAGGCTACAAATGTCACGAAATGCCTTTTTGTGCATTTATCTTCTCGATAATTGAAGACTTGTTTCCCTTTCTGTTCCAGAACGAGACGTTGCTATGGGAGAACACGTGGCCAGAGTTCACTTCCTGTTTCCAGGACACCGTGTTGGTGTATGTCCCCTGCGGCTGGCTGTGGGTCACCCTCCTGCCCTACCTCATCTACCTCCTCAAGTGTGCCCCAGGGCTGCCGCTGCCGACGTCGACTCTCAGCGTCGCAAAACCCGTGAGTCCAGGACCCTCATCTACGGCATGGGGCGGTGGGGTAGCCTAGTGGTTAAGGCGTTCGCTCGTCACGCCGAAACCCCGGGTTCGATTTTTCACATGGGTACAATTTGTGAAACCCATTCCTGGTGTCCCCCGTCGTGATATTGCTGTAGTAACACTAAAAACATACTAGACCGGCAGCCCAGAGCACTTTGGTCAAACGAACAAGGTACCAATATCCGAACACAGGAACATTTACTGTGTAACCCAACATATTCATATATGGATGTCTGCCGGGGAGCCCCTGCTGCGTGTGGCCCCTGGCCCCCCCAAAAGAAGGGGCCATTCAAGGGCTGGATCAAACATTGGAGGTACCACATGAAAGTAAGTGTAAATGAACTGTTACATCTCACAGAGTACAGAATGGGCCACGCCAGACAAATCTTCCTCTGCAAAAGGCCTGCCAGACACCCCCAAAGAGGGTCCCAAAATTTGGGCTGGGTTAAACATTGGAGGTACCACATGAAATCAACATAAAATGAACTATTTCACTCTACTAAGAATAAAAACCCCATTGCCAGACAAATCGTCTGCTGCAAAGGCCCGCCAGACACCCCCAAATGTTGACCCTTAATGCACTCAGTGGACACTCTGGTAAAATTTGACCAGAGTATACATTCAAAGTACCAGATGAAAGTAAGTTTAGATCAACAGGTACATGTTACTGAGGACAACACGGCCCATACCTGACAAATTGTCCTCTGCATAAGGTCCGCCAGACCCCCCAGAGAGGGTCCCAAAATTTGGGCTTGGTTAAACATTGGAGGTACCACACTGGGGGGTCGCGCCTTCAGATTATAACAATTGCAATACAAACCAGGGGGGTCCAAGAAACAGGTTCTCATGACCTGCAAGTATGATCATGTTAATTCTAGTTCAAGTGGGAAATCACGCCATTAAGATAATTACAATGCCAAGACAAAGGGTGTGTCAAAGGAAGGTTTCTCATGACCTTCATGTATGATCATGTTTATTCAGTTCAAAGTGTTTTATGATTTGATAAATGCTTCAAGTTATATTGTGATTATAACGTCAGTAGCACTATTATTAAGATTTCATATTTGCATTCAGAGGTTGGCAGAAAAGAAAAGGCCAGGTGTGGTTTGGAAACGGCTTTTCTTTTAACAAAAGAATTCACATTTGCTTGAAAACACAGCTCTATGGTAACAATTATATGGGAATTTATACAAAATTCAGTCAATCGTGACAGATCAACAATTGCTTGTTTAGAATTTTGTGTTGTGGAAAACACCCTGAATGGATCAGGTTAATCCAACCTTTTTTGGCATTTTACCGGGAGGTGAGAAAAGTTTTCCCGGGAAGCGTGATGTCGATTTCTCGAGAGAAGTGACGTGCTCGTCACACACCTCAGAAAAAAAGAAGTTAAATTTATTGTGTATGGCTTTCCCTTCTTTATTGAGGGTATTCAAAAACAGATTGAAATCAAAACCATGTCACATTATGAACATACATTTACATTTAACAACAAGAACAAAATCATAAAACATGATGGGTAATTACATTTCACATTTGGTGGTGCGATAGTTTTGACGAGGTGAATATCAGTAACGGCCCTTCTCTTTTGAACAGAAAAATATTTTTGTATCCAACCGTGAAACTCCGAGAAAAGTTGTGAAGATCAGGACGAAAATACATCAAGAATAGAACATTCATCTTTTCGTGTCACCAAACCCTGTTCATCTCTTTCCGTGACTTGACAAACTTGATATTTAGGTTTCTCGATACGATAAACTTTTCGGGACCGACCATAAATATGGAAATATTTGGCCGGAATTCAGCTTTTTAGATGATAAAACTTGCTAAATAAACGGAGATCATAGGTTTTTAAACACAATTATCACCAAAAGATTTCCAAATGGTATTAGGGACTGTCATTTATCATTCTTATAGCAGGCTTTGAGGACTACCTAAGCATGTTTGGGTTTGTAGGAATCCATAGCCAAGCTATCAGGCTATAGCAGGCTTTGAGGACTTCATAGCTGATCAGATATATATTCACAAGAATCAGATTCATGCCTTTTTTCTATTACATTTCAACGATAGGCCTAATCTATGATATCAATACTAGTATTCAGAGACCTGATTTTATAAATACGTGATTTTAATCTCAATAAAATCCTTCCATCTTTAAGAACAAAACATAAATTTGATCATCTGTTGACTCTCAGAGCTGATGTCCAACGTTTCATTATGCACACTGGGATTACAGAGGGTCAACTGTGTGGGGTGGGGTGAGGGTCTGTCTAGCGGGCCTTATGCAGAAGAGGATTTGTTTGGCAATGGGTATTTTGTAATAAGTAGAGTGTAATAGTTCATTTTATGTTGGTTCCATGTGATACCTCCAATGTTTAAGCCTTATGCAGAGGAAGATTTATCTGGTGTGGCCCATTCTGTACGCTGTGATATGAACCTGTTCATTCAAACGTACCTTAATGTGGTACAATCGATATATATTCCAGACCAATTTTACCTGTGTATACCTGAAGGGTCAACTTTTTGTGGGTGTCTGGCGGGCCTTATGCAGAAGATGATTTGTCTGGCAATGGGTATTGTGCAATAAGTATAGTGCAATTGTTCATTTTATGTTGGTTTCATGTGGTACCTCCAATGTTTAACCCAGCCCAAATTTTGGGACCCTCTCTGGGGGGTCTGGCGGACCTTATGCAGAGGACAATTTGTCAGGTATGGGCCGTGTTGTCCTCAGTAACATGTACCTGTTGATCTAAACTTACTTTCATCTGGTACTTTGAATGTATACTCTGGTCAAATTTTACCAGAGTGTCCACTGAGTGCATTAAGGGTCAACATTTGGGGGTGTCTGGCGGGCCTTTGCAGCAGACGATTTGTCTGGCAATGGGGTTTTTATTCTTAGTAGAGTGAAATAGTTCATTTTATGTTGATTTCATGTGGTACCTCCAATGTTTAACCCAGCCCAAATTTTGGGACCCTCTTTGGGGGTGTCTGGCAGGCCTTTTGCAGAGGAAGATTTGTCTGGCGTGGCCCATTCTGTACTCTGTGAGATGTAACAGTTCATTTACACTTACTTTCATGTGGTACCTCCAATGTTTGATCCAGCCCTTGAATGGCCCCTTCTTTTGGGGGGCCAGGGGCCACACGCAGCAGGGGCTCCCCGGCAGACATTCATATATGAATATGTTGGGTTACACAGTAAATGTTCCTGTGTTCGGATATTGGTACCTTGTTCGTTTGACCAAAGTGCTCTGGGCTGCCGCTCTATACTCACTCACTTATATATGGTTCTGTTATGACATCAAGGGGAATTCCCAATGGGCATAGAGCGATTTTTGTTTTGCGCCAAAGTAGCACCAATACACATTTATCACTGCACCATGTATTTGATTAACAGACACCAGATGGTTGATGTAATGAACAATGAGACATGTCCTCCGTCTGTCTTACTGGTCGCAGCCCACTTGCGGTTACCATCATCCGGGCATTGTTTATAGCACCGTCTACAGGCCACTACTGGCGCTTCAACAAGTGTGCTAATGTGTTTTGTTGGATTAACGTCTACATCCCCGATTGGCTACAAATAACAACATACTTTAAAAGGCAGCATACAAATTATTGTTCACTTAACCCCAAAATATTATTCCGTCGAAAACGTTAGATTGCAAACAAAAGCCGCTACGGATTTTGGAAAGGATTGCGAGACCCACAAAATCGCAATCGGTTTATGTTTTCGTTCTGAAATCCTCATTCAATCTCAAGAGTAGTGATGTATATGATACTGATGTGATACGAGGGATTGATGAGGGAGTGCGGCAGCTAGATCACATCATCGGTGTGGAGATCCGTGATCAGAGTGAGTGAGTGAGTGAGTTTCGTTTTACGCCGCTTTTTGCAATATTTCAGCAATATCACGGCGGGGGACACCAGAAATGGGCTTCACACATTGTACCCATGTCGGGAATCGAACCCTGGTCCTCGGCGTGACGAGCGAACGCTTAAACCACTTGGCTACCCGGCCGCCCCTCCGTGATCAGAGGATGCCATTCTGGCAGCAAGGGCGGTTGCACCATTACATGGCGTTACATGACACAGCTGGAGTGTTGCTGACTGCGGCCTTGAGACACTATCACTCACCTATTCACTCACTAACCCCAACTCACACCATTACATGGCGTTACATGACACAGTTGGAGTGTTGCTGACTGCGGCCTTGAGACACTACCACTCACCTATTCACTCACTAACCCCAACTCACACCATTACATGGCGTTACATGACACAGTTGGAGTGTTGCTGACTGCGGCCTTGAGACACTACCACTCACCTATTCACTCACTAACCCCAGCTTCCACCATTACATGGCGTTACATGACAGTTGGAGTGTTGCTGACTGCGGCCTTGAGACACTATCGCTCACCTATTCACTCACTAACCCCAACTCCCATTGCATTGCGTTACATGACACAGTTGGAGTGTTGCTGACTGCGGCCTTGAGACACTATCGCTCACCTATTCACTCACTAACCCCAACTCACACCATTACATGGCGTTACATGACATAGTTGGAGTGTTGCTGACTGCGGCCTTGAGACACTATCGCTCACCTATTCACTCACTAACCCCAACTCCCATTGCATTGCGTTACATGACACAGTTGGAGTGTTGCTGACTGCGGCCTTGAGACACTGTCGCTCACCTATTCACTCACTAACCCCAACTCACACCATTACATGGCGTTACATGACATAGTTGGAGTGTTGCTGACTGCGGCCTTGAGACACTATCGCTCACCTGTTCACTCACTAACCCCAACTCACACCATTACATGGCGTTACATGACACAGTTGGAGTGTTGCTGACTGCGGCCTTGAGACACTATCGCACACCTATTCACTCACTAACCCCAACTCACACCATTACATGGCGTTACATGACACAGTTGGAGTGTTGCTGACTGCGGCCTTGAGACACTATCGCACACCTATTCACTCACTAACCCCAACTCACACCATTACATGGCGTTACATGACACAGTTGGAGTGTTGCTGACTGCGGCCTTGAGACACTATCGCACACCTATTCACTCACTAACCCCAACTCACACCATTACATGGCGTTACATGACACAGTTGGAGTGTTGCTGACTGCGGCCTTGAGACACTATCGCACACCTATTCACTCACTAACCCCAACTCACACCATTACATGGCGTTACATGACATAGTTGGAGTGTTGCTGACTGCGGCCTTGAGACACTATCGCTCACCTGTTCACTCACTAACCCCAACTGACACCATTACATGGCGTTACATGACACAGTTGGAGTGTTGCTGACTGCGGCCTTGAGACACTATCGCACACCTATTCACTCACTAACCCCAACTCACACCATTACATGGCGTTACATGACACAGTTGGAGTGTTGCTGACTGCGGCCTTGAGACACTATCGCACACCTATTCACTCACTAACCCCAACTCACACCATTACATGGCGTTACATGACACAGTTGGAGTGTTGCTGACTGCGGCCTTGAGACACTATCGCACACCTATTCACTCACTAACCCCAACTCACACCATTACATGGCGTTACATGACACAGTTGGAGTGTTGCTGACTGCGGCCTTGAGACACTATCGCACACCTATTCACTCACTAACCCCAACTCACACCATTACATGGCGTTACATGACACAGTTGGAGTGTTGCTGACTGCGGCCTTGAGACACTATCGCTCACCTGTTCACTCACTAACCCCAACTCACACCATTACATGGCGTTACATGACACAGTTGGAGTGTTGCTGACTGCGGCCTTGAGACACTATCGCTCACCTATTCATTCACTAACCCAAGCTTCCACCATTACATGGCGTTACATGACACAGTTGGAGTGTTGCTGACTTCGGCCTTGAGACACTATCACTCACCTGTTCACTCACTAACCCCAGCTTCCACCATTGCATTGCGTTACATGACACAGTTGGAGTGTTGCTGACTGCGGCCTTGAGACACTATCGCTCACCTGTTCACTCACTAACCCCAACTCCCATTGCATTGCGTTACATGACACAGTTGGAGTGTTGCTGACTGCGGCCTTGAGACACTATCACTCACCTATTCACTCACTAACCCAAGCTTCCACCATTGCATGGCGTTACATGACACAGTTCGAGTGTTGCTGACTGCGGCCTTGAGACACTATCACTCACCTATTCACTCACTAACCCAAGCTTCCACCATTACATGGCGTTACATGACACAGTTGGAGTGTTGCTGACTGCGGCCTTGAGACACTATCGCTCACCTATTCACTCACTAACCCCAGCTTCCACCATTACATGGCGTTACATGACACAGTTGGAGTGTTGCTGACTGCGGCCTTGAGACACTATCGCTCACCTATTCACTCACTAACCCCAACTCTCATTGCATTGCGTTACATGACACAGTTCGAGTGTTGCTGACTGCGGTCTTGAGACACTATCGCTCACCTATTCACTCACTAACCCCAACTCGCACCATTACATGGCGTTACATGACATAGTTGGAGTGTTGCTGACTGCGGCCTTGAGACACTATCGCTCACCTGTTCACTCACTAACCCCAGCTTCCACCATTACATGGCGTTACATGACATAGTTGGAGTGTTGCTGACTGCGGCCTTGAGACACTATCGCTCACCTGTTCACTCACTAACCCCAGCTTCCACCATTACATGGCGTTACATGACATAGTTGGAGTGTTGCTGACTGCGGCCTTGAGACACTGTCGCTCACCTATTCACTCACTAACCCCAACTCACACCATTACATGGCGTTACATGACATAGTTGGAGTGTTGCTGACTGCGGCCTTGAGACACTATCACTCACCTATTCACTCACTAACCCCAACTCACACCATTACATGGCGTTACATGACACAGTTGGAGTGTTGCTGACTGCGGCCTTGAGACACTATCGCTCACTTATTCACTCACTAACCCCAACTCACACGTTGGCTAAATTCCCACCTTTCAAGCTCAATGTACTTGCAAGAAAAATATTTTACAATTCCCACACAAACAAAAGGTTTATATAAATAGCAACGTTTATCGATCGGCCAGTACAGCGAAAGGAAGCCTATTTATCGTGCTGATGTTGTAATAGTGCTTAATGTTGTAACCTCACTCTTCAATGTTTCAGAGCCTGTGTTTGGTGCTGGTCGGGTTCGAGGCGGTGAAAGTGTTCGCGGGTTTGGATTCTGACGTCCACAGTCCCCCCTACACCGTCATGTTCTACGTGGGACGGTCTCTGGAGGCTGTCACATACGTGAGTTCATTGTTCATGTACAACAAGTAATATAAATAGTTGACACCGCAGAGCATAACGTTATAATAGGAATGACGTAAGGCGTATTATTTTTAACGTCACACATCATAACGTTATAATAGGACTGACGTAAATTATATAATTAGTTATGCCGAACCTCATAACGTTATAATAGGATTGACGTAAAGTGTATTATTGATGACAACATACATCATAACGTTATAAAAGGAATGACGTAAGGCATGTTATTGTTGACGTCATACATTGTAACGTTATAATAGGAAAGATGGAAAGCGTATTATTGTTGACGCCATACATCATTACGTAATAAAAGGAATGACGTATTGTTGTTATGACACCTCTTCTTTACTATTATAGCTTATTATTTAATGAGTGAGTGAGTGAGTCTGGTTTAACGCTGCTTTTAACAGTATTCCAGTCATATCACGGCGTGTCAGCTTAATGTGGGAGGAAAGCCCGAAGTGATGCAGGTCTTAGACATTTACCACTTCGGTGAAACCCACGAGCACGGGTATGGTGCTGACAAACCTAGAAACATAATCGGGGCGAACCGGGATTCGAACCCACAATCATAGGTTTCTGGCGTACCTAAGGGACGCAACTCTGCACAGCGAATCGCGGCGCCTTAGACGACTGGGCCACCCGTGCCCCCCTATTATTTAATGCTTTAGCTGTGGAAGTGCTAAAGGTGAACACATCCCCCCCCCCCCCCCCCACCCCTCACACCCCACCCCCATATATATAAATGCAACTAATCATACATGTTATACAACCGATCACACGTGTTATACAACTAATCACACATGTTATAAACTAATCACACATGTTATTAACTAATCACATATGCTATACAACTAATCACACGAGTTAAACAACTAATCACACGTGTTATACAACTAATCACACATGTCATACAACTGATCACACGAGTTATACAACTAATCACACGAGTTATAAAACTAATCACACGTGCTATACAACTGATCACACGTGTTATACAACTAATCACACGTGTTATAAACTAATCACACATGTTATACAACTGATTACACGTGTTATACAACTAATCACACGTGTTATACAACTAATCACACGAGTTATAAAACTTATCACACATGTTATACAACTGATCACACGTGTTTTACAACTGATCACATTGTAACCATCGTGTGTGGGATCCGTGGTTTATAACATCAGGCAACTGATCACCCGTGTTATACAACTAATCCCACATGTTATACAAGTCGCTATATAAGTGCAATAATCTTGGACGCGACGTTAAACCCAATTTCACCTCACCTCACATGTTATACAACTATCAACTTAAGATTGATATCTTAAAAAAAGACTTCATAATATGGGCTCCGTGGCCGCATGTCTGGTTTTATTCTAAGGTCTTTAAAAGCGATCCGAAATAAACTGCCATGCAAAAGAAAGTATACACTTGAACATTTGATTTGACTAAAAAAAACTACAAAGGTTATCAAAACGTTACAAAGCTTAAAACAGTCGCTAAAACACTGCAAACTTAAGGTCCAAAACACAACAATGATACCCGTATCTAATACATCTCCATCGAATAACCATTTCTTGTTTGTTCATTTTTAGCTACCATCAAACTTCGGGTATTACTTTCGTTTGTCCGGCAGTTTATATAATCACGAATTGGAGCCTTCTTATTTATGCTACAGCTTATAGTCTCGCTGCCGTCTACAGTGACAATGTTGACATTCATGTATTTGTTGACGGTGTTTCGTGTTGTGGTACAAATATGAATAGCATGAAAAGACGGGGATCGGACATTTGACATTCATAATGACATGTTTTACACTTATTTGTTCCAGGACATTCTTCAATCGGGTTTTTTTGCAGCAACAGCAATTTAACCAAAAATAGATATTCACTGGTCATGTTGGGTACCCTGTAAAAATGTGTTATGGGTCCTCCACAACATTAGCTGGCTCCTTTCTTCAAAGAAAATATTCTGTCTCGAAACAGTACCGCAAAAAATAACCTGGGACTCCGAACAGGGGACACAACTCTGCACATCACTGATCAAATCTAAACTCAATTATTTCTGTTTTATACGCGATGCACCTTCCTGAGGCAAGGGCGTTGTCTAACTATAAAATTCCAGTTTCCACCCTTGCCGAACTAACTGGAATTTCCAGGCTCGATCGTAGCGCCACCATTGGCTGTTACTAGTTATGTCCCTCCTATTGACCAATTAGATTCCACCTCTCTTACCACTTGCTTCAAACAATATGGCGGCGTCTTGTCCAGATGACCTGATCGATAATCAAGATCAAATTTGTAATGAAAAGGGTCTTTCCTCGCGAAGTGCCTGAAATCACTTGAGTACCTTGATTAAGAACATGAAAAGATTAACAAAATATTGGTCGACGCCCAGTTCGCAGAACACATGATTTGCCAATCCTGCAGTCGACCGAAATCTGCCCGTTGACATGTGGTTTGCGAACCGGATGTCTAGTTCGTCACGCGATTTTGATTGGACTATGCGAAGACTCGTTAGTGCAGCCAAAACTCCGAAAATTCAGCCTAGTTTGGCAAGGGTGGAAACTGGACTTTTAAAGTCAGTTAACGCTCTTGCCTTGGGAAGATGTACGACTAAAGTATATCAGTACGGGGGCTTGCCGCCAATCACCATCAGGGTTCGATAACCAACCAAGGTACAATGTATGAGAAACATTAAACTTGCGATATTATGTTCCAGCTGTTGGCGGCCATGTTGTCGCTCCTGTGCACATCTCATGGAGTGACAACTTCAAGCATCCTCTTCGTGTTCTGGCTGCAGCTGAGCGTGGCCGGCATCATCCCGCTCTACTCCAACTTCATACAGGAGGTACGTCACTGGATTGTCTGGTCCAGACTCGCTATCACTGGATTGTCTTGTCTAGCCTCGATTGGTTACAGATCGCCGTCTTATGGCAAGAGTGCTGTAGGTGCTGCGTTAGGCAACACACATCACTCTTTTATGTAAATTGTGCGAGTAGCAGGACAGGTTTACCCTTTTCGCGAACACCTGGGGTCATCACTGATTTTTAGTGATCCATTCATGTAATTTTCATCACTTTTGCGTCAAGTGGAATTTGTTTCGAGACTAATTATTCTCTTGCGTTGAAGTTTTATATTATCTGTAGATATGTTTAATTCATGAACTTCTGAATAGCATCGGTACTGCTGGCCATGTCATCTAAGGCGTCATCTCAACTCCAATAGCCGCTCCCGGATCCGCAGATCCAATATTCAGCTCGCTTATGATCCTTTATCTATGGGGGCGGTCGGGTAGCCTCGTGGTTAAAGCGTTCGCTCGTCACGCCGAAGACCCGGGTTCGATTCCCGACATGGGTACAACGTGTGAAGCCCATTTATGGTGTTCCCCGCCGTGATATTGCTGGAATATTGCTAAAAGCGGCGTAAAACGTCACTCACTCACTTAATCTATGATCTGTGGGCACCATACCAACATGCTCAACGCCTACGAGCCCGAGTACATGACACGTATTTTATGGATAACAACTTCTTTTATTTTTATTTACGAAGTTTCAGGGCGTCTTGTCCCTTTATTCAACTGATGAAAGAGCCCGAAGTAGCTCTGAAACGTTGTTTTAAAGAACAAAAGAGGTTGTCCATAAAAAGACTGAGACTGTATTCATGTTCTTCCAACTTCTAAATGCCTATCAAAGACTTCGTCTACGAGTTCTGTATTATTATTCACTTTTGTCCTGGGCGGTCGGGTAGCCTAGTGGTTAAAGCGTTCGCTCATCCCGCCGAAGACCCGGGTTCGATTCCCGACATGGGTACAATGTGTGAAGCCCATTTCTGGTGTCCCCGACGTGATATTGCTGGTATATCGCTAAAAGCGGCGTAAAACCATACTCACTCCTCACATCACCTAAGTGATGTGCAAAACGGCGGTAAGCCTCATCCACTCACTGTAATATATTTTAGATAGTGACAAAGTGGCTTTAAGTGAATATTTTAAGCCGTCCCTGGACAACTGACACTTCACCATAAAGCATACAATCAATGGCAATGGTTATTTCCATGCGAAGAGCACTGAAAAGTGGTTATTAAAGATAAGCCCTTGTTGTTCTGGGCCTGCTTGCACAAAGCGATCTTAGCGCTAAGATGATCGTAACTCCCATACTTTAACATAGGCTGACAATAGTCTTAGCGCTAAGATCGCTTTGTGCAAGTGGGCCCAGGACTGTAGTGTTCCAGTTCACGAAAGCATTCACTTCATGTAAGAGAATGTGTCAAGTCTTGTCTTTCGATGAGAACATTAACATGATGCCCTTATTGGTAAAAAATGAAGTCTCACGTCTCTATGGAATACTGTAAGGGACATTCTCGCGATCTCGCATTCTCGCGATCTCGACCTTTGGAAACGAGGTAAATATACTTATATATATTTTGGCCAAATCTCGCGTTCTCGCGATCTCGCATTCTCGTGTTTGGGGTATATTTACCTCGTTTCCAAAGGTCGAGATCGCGAGAATGCGAGATCGCGAGAATGTCCCATACAGTATTCCATACGCCACTGTAGCAATAACCACGAAGGTTGAACTCACCTTTCAATCCACTTTTTACACAGTTGGCATATTCAAGTGAGTGAGTGAGTATGGTTTTACGCCGCTTTATGCAATATTCCAGCAATATCACGGCGGGGGACACCAGAAAAATGGGCTTCACACCTTGTACCCATGTCGGGAATCGAACCCGGGTCTTCGTCGTGACGAGCGAACGCTTTAACCACTAGGCTACCCGACCGCCCGGCATATTCTACATAGCAATGGTTATTTCCATGCGAAGAGCACTGAAAAGTGGTTATTAAAGATGAGCCCTCGTTGTTACGGAGAGTAGCGTTCCAGTTCACGAATCATGTGAGCGGAGTAATGTCCCTTTGTACGAAGACAGACGACCCGTGAAGATCCGGGTTAGAATTGGTCATCACTAAACCATGCTTGTCGTACGGGGCGACTAACGTGATCGAGTAGCTAGTCTCACTGACTTGGTAGGTGCATGCCATCGTATCCCATTTGCGTAGATGCTCATGATATCAATCACAGTATTGTCTGGTCCAGAATCGAATAATTACAGACCGTTGTCATATAACTGGACTATTTCTGAGTGCGGCGGTAAATAACAAACAAACAAATCAAAACGTAGACAGACGAACAAGAGCGTCCAGTAAGAGGGTTTCCGGACAAACGGGGTCAGGATTCACGAGGTTGTCCTGTAGTGACGAGGATGCCCTGTAGTATCGAGGTTGCCCTGTAGTGACGAGGATGCCCTGTAGTGACGAGGTTGCCCTGTAGTGACAAGGATGCCCTGTAGTGACGAGGATGCCCTGTAGTGACGAGGATGCCCTGTAGTGACGAGGTTGCCTGTAGTGACGAGGTTGCCCTGTAGTGACGAGGTTGCCCTTTAGTGACGAGGATGCCCTGTAGTGACGAGGTTGCCCTGTAGTGACGAGGCTGCCCTGTAGTGACGAGGATGCCCTGCAGTGACGAGGATGCCCTGTAGTGACGAGGATGCCCTGTAGTGACGAGGATGCATGTGTTTGTTACAGGTGTACACCACCCAGCCGTTCCTGTTCTATGCGTTCCTCCTGCAGTACCCCCTTGTCATCCTCCAGCTCATCCTGCACTGCTTCGCAGAGAAGACTCACAACTTCAACGAATACGACTATGAGACGGTGAGCTTCAGTAGGACTGTCGTCGGGGTACACTAATGGAGGTCACTCTGTGCCATGGCCTTGAGGACCTCGGGGTACACCAACGGAGGTCACTCTGTGCCATAACCTTGAGGACCCCATGAAGGTCCAGACTAGAATAGGTCTTCAGCAACCCATGCTAGCCGTAAGAGGTGACTAACGGGATCGCGTGATCTTGGTTGATGCATGTCATCGTATCCCAATTTCGTTGATCGATGCTCATGATGTCAATCACTGGATTGTCTGGTCCAGACTCGATTATCTACAGATCGCCGTCATATGGTTGTAATATTGCTGAGTGCGAGTTTAAACAACAAACAAACAAACAAACAAACAAACAAACAAACAAACAAACAAACAAGCAAGCATGGCCTTGAGTAATGGTTACGACATTAATTAACGGTTTACAACTGGAGTCCAGCCGGTTTCATAGATTACCAATAACGTGTAGAAGATGATAACAGTGAGGGGAGGTGCGGGGTGTGCGACGTCGGTGTGTCGGTGTAACGTCGGCTTGAACAGTATTACAGTATTTCAGTTACAACGATGTGGGAAGGGATGCGTGTAGTGTATGTGTGCATGCGTGCGTGCGTGCGTGTGTGTGTGTGTGCGTGCGTGCGTGCATGTGTGTGTGTGTGTGCGTGCGTGCGTGCGTGCGTGCGTGTGCGTGCGTGCGTGCGTGCGTGTGTGTGTGTGCATGCGTTCGTGTGTGTGCGTGTGTGTGCGTGCATGTGTGTGTGCATGCGTTCGTGTGTGTGTGTGTGTGCGTGCGTGCATGCGTGTGTGTGTGTGTCTGTGTCTGTGTGTCTGTGTGTGTGTCTGTGTGTGTGTGTCTGTGTGGCTATCATAAAAGGTACATTTTGAGAATGTGTTTGATTTCTATTTCAGCCACAGTGTCCGGAAGTGAAAGCATCGTTTATCTCCCGGATCCTGTTCTGGTGGATGACGAAGTGAGTAGAACAGAATCGCTTATCCCTTCCAAGACACCCTAACCCTAAAATCATCGCAATGATGTGATACTAATGCAAACAACCTCTACTACTATATCTACTATACTGCTGCTGCTGCTCCTACTACTACTACTACTACTACTACTACTACTACTACTACTTCAACAACTACTACTACTACTACAATTAATTTTGCTGTTACTAATGTGACTATTAGTACTACCGCCGTCATAGAGCCTTGAAAATTGCCGAGTGCGGCGTTAAATAACAAACAAACAACACTATTACGACGACGACGACGACTACTACTTCTACTACTACTACGACTACTACTAGTACTTCAACAGCTGACCGCCTCCGTGGTCAAGTGGTAGTACGTCTGCCCGGAGAGCGGAAGGTCCAGGTTCGATCCCCGGCCGCATGATACAAAAATACGTCAAACGATGGTACATATACTTGTTGTTACCCTGTCTGGCGCTCGGCATTAAGGGGCTAAAACACGGACTAGTCGGCACGGAATCAGTATACTGTGTCTGTGTGGGGTGTGCATACTAAACTGCGGCCTAGTATGTCAGTGCAATAACCTTGAACGCGACGTTAAACCCCATTTACTTCACCTTCTCCTAAGAAAGACTTCCTGCCACGTGCTGCCGGGACGTGTCGGTAGGCTGGTACCACACAGGCCTTGCCCTCGGACCGTGGTCACAGACAGGTGAGGCGCCTCGACGTTATAAATGCCCGGTCACTGATGGTCTCTTACTGATAAATCTGGCATCTAGGGCAGCGGGGCACAGGGCGGCAGGGTGTTCGGTCGGCCTGAGGTCATGATCAGGGCTCGATAGCTAGACACTGGGGCTCCGTTATATTTATCACTGGGCCAACTGTCGTTCTGGCCTGATTCAGAATCGTTTTATACTGGATGGACATTTAACAGCCTGAAGCTAATGGTAGATATATTGATGGTTAGGTAACCTGGTGCTAAGGGTAGATATATTGATGGTCGGTGGGTGGGTAGCCTGGTGCTAAGGGTAGATATATTGATGATCGGTTGGTGGGTAGCCTGGTGCTAAGGGTAGATATATTGATGGTCGGTGGGTGGGTAGCCTGGTGCTAAGGGTAGATATATTGATGGTCGATGGGTGGGTAGCCTGGTGCTAAGGGTAGATATATTGATGATCGGTTGGTGGGTAGCCTGGTGCTAAGGGTAGATATATTGATGGTCGGTTGGTGGGTAGCCTGGTGCTAAGGGTAGATATATTGATAGGTGGGTAACCTGGTGCTTATGGTAGATATATTGATGGTTGGGTAACCTGGTGCTAAGGGTAGATATATTGATGGTCGGTTGGTGGGTAGCCTGGAGCTAATGGTAGATATATAGATGGTCGGTGGGTGGGTAGCCTGGTGCTAATGGTAGATATATTGATGGCTGAGTGGGTGCGTGGGTAGCCTGGGTTTAGTAGCAGATATACAATGAACAGAGACTAACCCAATAGCAAGGATTCGCTGGTGGTGTGTTGGAATCCAATATTCGAGCTGATTATTATTCTTGGTTTAACAGCACCATACGCCTGGTTGTTTATTCCACCGAAGTGTTAAAGTCCACTAGCTGCCTAACGTGCAAACACATCAAGCCAAACAATTGTTCAATTGGTCGGAAACTCCACTTACTCACTAAGATCTTTCAAAAATCCCCGCTGGGGCCTTCGTAAAACGAAAATGACCCAAATAGTGTATCTTTTTGTACCGTTTACAATCTAAACATGTGTTAACGTGTTTAAATTCTAACATGTTTAAACACTAAACATATTTAAATTCTGAACATGGTAACTTTCTAAGCATGTTTAGATCATCGGGATGCTGTGTTTAGGTGCTGTTTTGGCTGTGAGATTCGTTTCATGTGTTTAGACCCTAAAAGAGTTTAGATAGAGCCAACCAAAAGTGTGTTCTGGTTTAGGATTTAAACACATTTCTAAACATGTTCAGATCTAAACATATCTTGTTTGTGTTCACATTCTGAACACATATTTACAGGGTGTACTCATACACCGGCTCTCCTCGTCTGTTTGCAGACTGATTGTACTTGGCTTCCGGAAGCCGCTAGATGGAGGAGACCTCTGGGACTTGCACCCACGTGACCAGTGTCACCGCGTGCTGCCCCAGTTCGAGGCTGTCTGGAGAGAAGAGCAACAGAAGTAAGCTCCACGTCGGGCTCAAGACATTTCCACTCTCTCCACTTAAGTGAATAACATCATATTTGCGTGTTTCAAATTATATGTTTAGTTTTACTTAAAGAACATGTTAAAGTTTGCCCAAAGCATTCAGTGGAAGATTTTACCATATTAATGTTTAATTATGAGGAGATCAAGTGTAATAAATAATTAACTGGTTCAATTCTTTGAATGGCATTATAGGTGATACACAAAAGGAAAGAATTTATGGATGTCAACTTCTTTATTATGAGGAACACAACGTTTCGGAGTACATGTATATACTTACTCCTTCATCGGGTGAATAAGTGCTATTAAGTTTCCGCTGGCTTCCCTTGTTAATTTTCCACCTTTGTTATCTTATTATTTTTGTTGTTCTTCCTGGCACACATACATGCTCTCTGCCTCATAGCATTCATTCACCTGATGAAGGAGTAAACATATACTCCGAAATGTTGTGTTCCTCATAATAACGATCGTAACAGGCGACTAACGGGATCGGGTGGTCTTGGTTGATGCATGTCATCGTATGTCAATTGCAGGGATCGATGCTCCTGATGTCAATGACTGGATTTTCTGGTCAAGACTCGATTATTTACAGACCTCCGTCATATAGCTGGAATATTGCTGAGTGCGGCGTAAAACAACAAACAAACAAACATCACAATAAAGAAGTTGACATCCATAAGTTCTCTTCCTTGTGTGCAGAATATGAATTTATTTTGGTTTCAGGTCCAGTTCATCATCCGTGCACAAGTCAGGCTCATTGGGTAGTTTCCCGACCAGTTCTTCCGGCTCTGATGAGCGATGGCCGCTACTTTCTTCCGGGCGCCTGCGCAACCACCAGGGCGTGACGGACGGTGCCCAACAGAAGTGGCCCTCGCTGTCCCGCGTCCTCTTCAGGACGTTCTATCCCGTCCTCCTCAAGTCGTACTGCTGTAAGGCCGTGTCGGATGTGTTGCAGTTTGTGTCTCCTCTACTGCTGAGGTATGTGTGTATCAAGTCGTCACCAATTATTTACAAACAGACCCACCGGTACCCAACTACCCACCAACCCACCGCTTCCCAACTCCCTGCCAACCTACCCATCCAGACATCCACCAACCCGACTTCCCTCCAGCCAACCCCTTCGCCCCAGGTTTTAAACACACCAGTAAGTGAGAATGGTTTTACGCCGCTTTTAGCAATATTCCAGCAATATCACGGCGGGGGACACCAGAAATGGGCTTCACACATTGTACCCATGTCGGGAATCGAACCCGGGTCTTCGGCGTGACGAGCCAACGCTTTAACCACTAGGCTACCCGACCGCCCCATTAAACACACCAACCAATCCTCACTACTTAGCTCTCGCACAAAGACACAGTCTGTTCTGTGACTGTAAGTTTCCAGTATTAGAGAATAGTATTAGTCACACGCACAAACACATTTAAGAACACTAAGAATTTCAGACCTCGGCGGTATACGGACCTCTTGATTTGTGGTCCTGTGCTACCGCCTGTTCTACGGAGACTGTTGTACAAGTGTGAGTGAGTGAGTGAGTGAGTGAGTGAGTGAGTGAGTGACGTTTTACGCCGCTTTTAGCAATATTCCAGCAATATCACGGCGGGGAACACCATAAATGGGCTTCACACACTGTACCCATGTCGGGAATCGAACCCGGGTCTTCGGCGTGACGAGCCAACGCTTTAACCACTAGGCTACCCGACCGCCCCTGTACAAGTGTGAATATTCCTAGTCGCCATTAACCGAGCATGGTTTATTTGTACATTTTGATGTTAATATTGTACCAAGTTCGTTGAAGGATCTGGTGGTATACGTGTTCTGCAAGTGCCTGTGAATCTAATTTCAATAAATATTAAAAATATTATCCTTATTTGAGTTACTGCCCGTTAGGTGCACTTTATTTAAACATGTTTACATTCGAAACATGTTTAAATAATACCCATGTTTAGATTATTTGGATGTTTAGGCTGTGAGACGATAGCTCATTTCATGTGTTTAGACCATTAAAGTGTTTAGATAGAACCCTCTCATCTACCAACCACCCTCTCATCTACCAACCATCCTCTCATCTACCAACCACCCTCTCACCTACCAACCATCCTCTCATCTACCAACCACCCTCTCATCTACCAACCACCTTATCACCTACCAACCACCCTCTCATCTACCAACCACCCTCTCATCTACCAACCACCCTCTCATCTACCAACCACCCTCTCATCTACCAACCACCCTCTCACCTACCAACCACCCTCTCATCTACCAACCACCCTCTCATCTACCAACCACCCTCTCACCTACAAACCACCCTCTCACCTACCAACCACCCTCTCATCTACCAACCACCCTCTCACCTACCAACCCACCTTATCACCTACCACCCACCCTCTCATCTACCAACCACCCTCTCATCTACCAACCACCCTCTCATCTACCAACCACCCTCTCATCTACCAACCACCCTCTCACCTACCAACCACCCTCTCATCTACCAACCACCCTCTCACCTACAAACCACCCTCTCACCTACCAACCACCCTCTCATCTACCAACCACCCTCTCACCTACCAACCCACCTTATCACCTACCACCCACCCTCTCATCTACCAACCACCCTCTCATCTACCAACCACCCTCTCATCTACCAACCACCCTCTCATCTACCAACCACCCTCTCATCTACCAACCACCCTCTCACCTACCAACCACCCTCTCATCTACCAACCACCCTCTCATCTACCAACCACCCTCTCACCTACAAACCACCCTCTCACCTACCAACCACCCTCTCATCTACCAACCACCCTCTCACCTACCAACCCACCTTATCACCTACCACCCACCCTCTCATCTACCAACCACCCTCTCATCTACCAACCACCCTCTCATCTACCAACCACCCTCTCATCTACCAACCACCCTCTCATCTACCAACCACCCTCTCAACCAACCACCCTCTCATCTACCAACCACCCTCTCATCTACCAACCACCCTCTTATCTACCAACCACCCTCTCATCTACCAACCACCCTCTCACCTACCAACCACCCTCTCATCTACCAACCACCCTCTCATCTACCAACCACCCTCTCATCTACCAACCACCCTCTCACCTACCAACCACCCTCTCATCTACCAACCACCCTCTCACCTACCAACCACCCTCTCATCTACCAACCCTCCTTATCACCTACCAACCACCCTCTCATCTACCAACCACCCTCTCATCTACCAACCACCCTCTCATCTACCAACCACCCTCTCACCTACCAACCACCCTCTCATCTACCAACCATCCTCTCATCTACCAACCATCCTCTCATCTACCAACCACCCTCTCATCTACCAACCACCCTCTCATCTACCAACCAACCTCTCATCTACCAACCACCCTCTCACATGCATCACCCAAGTTAGCAAGTGTGACCACCTGATCCTGTTAGTCGCCTCTTACGCAAGCATAGTCGCCGCTAAGAGCTATGAGATACGCAAGACGTTCAAAACAATGTTGAAATACTCTCCATATTTCACAAGTAAAGTTATATAAATAGAGTTATATAATGAATAATAAATATCGGATTGTTTGCTTACATAAAGAGTGTAGACAAGATCTGACCTTATTCATGCAGTGTAGGTACGCGGTGGGGTGTGGGTGGGGCGGGTTTGTGCACTTACTGTCCCGTGTGCAGACTGCTATATGTATGTAATTATATTTACCGTAGGCTTATTTGTTTTTAATCAATATGCAAATCGATATATGCCTGTTATTTTGAACATCTGCGCCACATTTTGTATATGTCACTCATTTTCTCTGTATTGAAATGCAATACGTGTATTTAGATAGCGGATATTGCGCGGCTGGTGTGTGGGAAGGCATACCGCGTTACGAACCACGCGCTTGTTATGAAACACACTACCTATTGTTGTCATCTTACATAAGGATGATGTCGGGAACCATGTGTGACTCACTGAAACTATATTTATCCCTGGCTTATTTTGCTTACAAAGCGTCCATTTTACGCATTATTTGGTGAGTTTTTGTACTGAATCTTATAACCAGTTATTTTAAGTCACTTATAAAGCCATCTCTTGATTTTTCTCATTTCGCAACACACAACTAATATTTTGTTTTGGGTGAAAATTTTCGAATACATGATCAAGGAACCGACATATGTGTACTGCAGCTAAAAAGATATTATTGGGAATTTTACAAACGTTTGAACATTTTAGCGACTGTTCTCATGAATGTTTTTTTTTAAATCATTGACACAATGGATAGATCCTATTCTCTCTAATCGTTTGGAAATATGGGGTGACTGCCAACACACACAGACACATAGTCATGAACTCTCTCACGCACTCAAACATTCCCTCATCCATTCCTCCACTCCCTCAATCAAACATTGACTCATCCATTCTCTCAAACGCTCACTCATCCATTCCTTCACTCACTCAGTCAAACATTCACTCATCCACTCCTTCACTCACTCAGTCAAACACTCGCTTTTCCGTTTTCTCAAACATTCACTCATCCACTCCTTCACTCACTCAGTCAAACATTCACTCATCCACTCACTCAGTCAACTATTCATTCATCCACTCACTCACTCACACAGTCAAACAGTCATTCATCCACTCCTTCACTCACTCAGTCAAACACTCGCTTTTCCGTTTTCTCAAACATTCACTCATCCACTCCTTCACTCACACAGTCAAACATTCACTCATCCACTCCGTCACTCACTCATCCACTCCTTCACTCACTCAGTCAAACATTCACTCATCCACTCACTCAGTCAAACATTCAAGTCAAACACTCGCTTTTCCGTTTTCTTAAACATTTACTCATCCACTCACTCACTCACAAAGTCAAACATTCATTCATCCACTCCTTCACTCACTCAGTCAAACACTCGCTTTTCCGTTTTCTCAACCATTCACTCATCCACTCCTTCACTCACTCAGTCAAACATTCACTCATCCACTCACTCAGTCAAACATTCATTCATCCACTCACTCACTCACACAGTCAAACAGTCATTCATCCACTCCTTCACTCACTCAGTCAAACACTCGCTTTTCCGTTTTCTCAACCATTCACTCATCCACTCCTTCACTCACTCAGTCAAACATTCACTCATCCACTCACTCAGTCAAACATTCATTCATCCACTCACTCACTCACACAGTCAAACAGTCATTCATCCACTCCTTCACTCACTCAGTCAAACACTCGCTTTTCCGTTTTCTCAAACATTCACTCATCCACTCCTTCACTCACACAGTCAAACATTCACTCATCCACTCCGTCACTCACTCATCCACTCCTTCACTCACTCAGTCAAACATTCACTCATCCACTCACTCAGTCAAACATTCAAGTCAAACACTCGCTTTTCCGTTTTCTTAAACATTTACTCATCCACTCACTCACTCACAAAGTCAAACATTCATTCATCCACTCCTTCACTCACTCAGTCAAACACTCGCTTTTCCGTTTTCTCAACCATTCACTCATCCACTCCTTCACTCACTCAGTCAAACATTCACTCATCCACTCACTCAGTCAAACATTCATTCATCCACTCACTCACTCACACAGTCAAACATTCATTCATCCACTCACTCAGTCAAACATTCACTCACCCATTCTGTCACACGCTCACTCATCCAGTCCCTCACTCACTCTGTTCGCAGCGCCCTGATCTACCACATCGAGCTGGGGGCCGCCGACTACCCCTGGAAGGGGTATGTCCTGTCCCTGGGGCTGTTCGTGGTCGCCTTCGTCCAGTCCTGCTTCTACCACCAGCACTTCCACTACGCGATGACCCTGGGGATGAGGATCAGGACAACCCTCATGGCCACCCTGTACAAGAAGGCAAGTACCATGATGGCCACAGGGGGCAAGGTGCACTCTCCTACCCAGAGTTGCCTGCGGTCAGCACCATTCGTCACCACTCGCCCCTTTCCGTAATCGATGAATGTTATGTGCGAAAATACGACAAACCAATCAGAATGCGCGCATGATTTCAAGTTCTTTGTCAAATAATCCCTCAGAAATAATTTTTGATTTTACATACGTCTTGCATCTTAAAATATACCCAAGACACAGTTAAATGTGTTCAATCATACTGTATCATTCCGCATGTCCCGATGTGCTTTAAATTGCATCTGAAATATATATAATATATGGGGAAATATATGTTAACCCTTAGGCAACGAGTTGACAATTGTTTTAGGTATGCCCGTTTGCGCTAAGACGGAACCCGGTCTTAAAAATGGCCATGAGAGGGGCACGAGTCGCTATTCGGCTTGTCCCGGAATAAGACGAGTTGGTCACGAATAGGTCAGCACAGTACCTCTACCACAGGCCAGCCCCATGTGACGATGCGTCACATCTTACAAAGTCCATTCAAGATATTGCATATGTTTTTCATCCGTTTCATTTTTCACGAATCTACACATTTAGATAAACATATGTAATCATTTTAATGAAATGGTTAACTTTCGTTGTGAAATAACCTAAAAGGTGAAAATCTATTTCCATTTGCGTAGTTATTCTTTGTTTACATTGGTTGTACGGCTCCACGTGCTCTTGTCGAAGCCATACCAAAAGCTAGCGATACGGTCAATTTGATCTATAATAACTCACTGTCGCAGTTGTAGTAGCACATTAAAAGAGCATCGAAAGGCTTGTATAAGGTCAGTCAGTTCTGATTTCAGAATAAGCGGATTTGTTTACAAACAAAAAAAAGTCCGGTCTCGTGATATGCAAATTAACCTGTGGCAGTGGTGTAATGCTAAGTCATTATTGCGCCGGAGTGTGAGCAAGGTTGTCTCCCTTGTCGTGGGTCTGAATAAGGTTCATGGACTGTCAGAACTATACCAGTGGCAGAAAGCGATTACGTCATCACTATGAATCCCGGCACGCTCATATTTCACATCAGATTTACTGACGTAATTATATAAAACGTCAGTAATGACGCCTGAATAACGTCAAAAAGGATGGGGGGGCGATCGGGTAGCCTGGTGGTTAAAGCGTTCGCTCGTCACGCCGAAGACCCGGGTTCGATTCTCGACATGGGTACAATGTGTGAAGCCAATGTCTGGTGTCCCCCGCCGTGATATTGCTGGAATAGTGCTAAAAGCGGCGTAAAACCATACTCACTCACTCACTCACTCAAAAGGATGTAGGGGCACGGGTGGCCCAGTCGTCTAAGGCTCTGCAATTCGTTGTGCAGAGTTGCGTCCCTTGGGCACGCCAGAAACCTGATTGTTGGTTCGAATCCCGGTTCGCCCCTATTATGTTTCTAGGTTTGTCAGCATTATACCGATGCTCGTGGGTTTCACCAAAGTGGGCTTTCCTCCCGCATAAAGCTGACACGCCGTGATATAACTAAAATACTGTTAAAAGCGGTGTTAATCCAAACCAACTCACTCACTTACTCACCGAGGATGCAGAGCCCATAACGTAGTTTTAGATGGGTGGTGGGCTTTGTATTACGCTGCTTGTACCAATATTCAAGCACTTTCACGGCGGGGAACACCAGAAATATGTTTCACGAAATCGAACCTGGGCCTTCGGCGTGACAAGCTAACACTTTAACCACTAAGCTACCCCACCATCCCTTAGACGAGTGCTTCGTACGGATATGGCCCCGTCCCCTGTGTGTAGGATAAAGCAAGACCGAGAGTTTTTATGATATATGAAACCCGCATCCGCGGATAATCCCAAGGATAAGGGTTTAAATATCATTAAAAAACCGAGGGGAAGTGTTTTATCTAGACCCGTAAAGATTCCGGGGTAGAATAGGTCTTCAGCAACCCATGCTTGCCGTAAAAGGTGACCATGCTTGTCGTAAAAGGCGACTAACGGGATCGGGCGGTCAGACTCGCTGACTTGGTTGATGCATGTCATCGATCCCAATTGCGTGGGTCGATGCTCATGATATTAATCACTGGATTGTCTGGTCCAGGCTCGATTTTTTACAGACCGCCGTCATATAGCTGGAATATTGAAGAGTGCGGTGTTAAACAACAAACCAACCAACTGTAAACCGGAAAAAGAAACTTAAAACATTTATCAACATTTTTATGTTTCAAACATACTTTCCATGAACCTTAGGAATCGGACGTAAAATATCCTTTCCTGGCGTACGATACTTGAAAGAGACATTCTTAAAAGCATTGTGGTTTATCAGCGTCCTAGTTATACACTCAGTGGGCTACAGATACAGAGGTTGCGTGTTCGATCGTCGGGAATATAAAGAAAATATTTGTCATTGATTCCATTACATTGTGTTCAAATGCAAAATATTTTTTTAGCGAGAAACATTCATATGTTACAATCTGAACGGAAGTCGTTTTAATAAAATCCCAGGGATGTTATAACATGAGATTTAACACTAATGGAGAACAAAAGGATGACGTCACTGGATGGAGGTTTATAAGTTGGTTAAGGGTGGTACAGATAGATCTGCAAGTGATACATGAGAAACGCAACTGTGTTGAAGTGTAGCTTTGGTTGTAGGCGTTGTTCCTGAACAGCGAGGCTCAGAAGACGTCCACGGTGGGGGAGATCGTGAACCTGATGGCCGTGGACTGTCAGCGGATTCAGGACATGATCAGCTACACCTGGATGGTATGGTCCATCCCCTTCCAGGTAGGAGAAACAGCCTGCTTCACAACCTTCCAAATCGAGGTGGTCGACACAGGCAGGCGCGTCTTGCACGTCATCAAGAGGCATTCCATTCTCCGGAATACAGTGTTTATATAGCGAATCTCACCCTCGTGTCTTTTGATATCAAATATACCAACACGAGTTGATAAAAGTGGAAAAACTCCACCTTTATCAACGAGTGTTGATATATTTGATCTATCTATCTATCTATCTATCTATCTAGAGAGAGAGAGAGAGAGAGAGAGAGAGAAAGAGAGAGAGAGAGAGAGAGAGAGAGAGTCCAAGGACGAGTCCAAATTTACTATCCGGATACCCACCCCCATATTACCCGACCATACCCGGGTACCCACTGTAGGTCTCAAGAGGTACAACATGTCCGATTAGGATTTTTTTTACCACAGCACTTGCAAAACGTATTTAGATACATGTATTAAACAATCTGGTCATGCATACACTGAAGTTAACTTAAGTTATATCTTTATTCAACCATATGAAAAGTCAGAAGGATTGGGTGCATAGTCAGAAAGAAATGCGAACATTAGTGACTTGTAGTGTAACCATAGAGGTCAAGATAGTTTGCGTCATTAAACAATATATCACCGGGTCCGGGTAGTCCTGTGGGTACCCGGGTCCTACTCAGTACCCACCCGATCCGAGTACCCGAGTTACACGTAACAGCCCTATAACCCTGGGTCCGGGTAGTCCTGTGGGTACCCGGGTCCTACTCAGTACCCACCGACCCGAGTACCCGAGTTACCCGTAACAGCCCTATAACCCTGGGTCCGGGTAGTCCTGTGGGTGCCCGGGTCCTACTCAGTACCCGCCCGACCCGAGTACCCGAGTTACCCGTCCCTGCCCTACTATGTTCGTTAAGAAAACGTGTTTCCAGTACGTACCAATTAAAGACATAACTAACTATCAGTCAAGTGTTACCACAGAGTGTCTTTATTCTTATCACGAAACATTGCACGTGATTTCCAAACTTTACTCGCTAATCCTGCACGAGATGAATGGTACATCTCGAGTCATGAACCTATGACGTCACATGTGATGCCTTCATGAGCGTTGGTTTACACACCATGCCATCGAACAATCTAATATCTCTTGAAACTGAGTATTTCTTCATATATTAACCAACATGTATGGTATTCGGGTTTCTTTTGGCGGTGAGTATATATATATGTTTTGGTATCAGCCTTCATGGTGAAGTATAACACTGCCAGGTTCACGTGCTCGCTTTTAGGCTTGTTTGGTTGTTTATCTGCTGTGGTCGAGAATGGGCGCCCCAGTTCTTGCTGGAATAAACATTGGGGTGCAATTTGACCTTTCGCGGATGAATACGGACTTTCTCTGGGATCTGTGTTCATATTTTACGAGAGTATCTCCACTTTTATTTACAACAAATAATAAATACCAGACGCCAAAAATTTAACACTGTTTGTTCATTGATACCACAACCAGCGAATTTTAACTTATAACACATATTGGGTTACAGTGTTAAGATTTTAAGAGAGCTTCTCCAGTTTGTTTTACAATACATCATACACGCTTAACATTTTAAGAGTGTTAGTTCATTGATACCACAATCAGAGAATCTAATATCTCTTGAAAATGAGTAATTCTTCATATATTAACCAACATGTATGGTATTCGCGTTTCTTTTGGCGGTGAGTATATACATGCTTTAGTATCAGCCTTCATAAAGTATAACACTGCCAAGTTCACGTTCTCGCTTTTAGGCTTGTTTGGCTGTTTATCTGCTGTGGTCGAAAATGGGCGCCCCAGTTCTTGCTGGACTCTTTGTTCTGTTCCTGCTCCTGCCCATCAACGCCTACCTCGCCTACAAGCAACAGCAACTACAACGACTCAACCTCATCCAGAAGGACAGCAGGATCAAACTTCTCAACGAAGTGCTCAACGGAATTAAGGTGACACAGCTAATTTATGTTCATTAAATATACAAATATATAATGGACGCGACAGACGCCTGTACAACCTAGGGTGTTTCAGACTAACAGTAGAAGAGACAACGGATAACGGTAATGGGTAGGTTTGCAATGAAATAACGGTTGACCAAGGCGTTTTAATCGGTACAGAGTTGTGGCCCTTATTTATGACTGGATCCGCTGGCCTTGTGATTGAATTCCAAGTTCACTCATATTTTCTGGCAGTACCATGAAAGTAAATTGTCCTGTTTTATCCCAAAAAAATCATTTTCATTGGACATGCGCTGGGTGTCCTGATATATATGTATGAAATACGATTGGCTCCACCTTTCACAGTCAAACACGCGTATTTTGAAGAAGTGACTATACAAATCCTGTCTCTAATCCCATCCTTAAATATTAAATCGTGTGTCCCAAAGTGTTAAACGTACGCTTTCTTCTTCATCAACTGTTTTAATTGTTTGAGTGGCATTCTAGAAGTTGGCAAAGGAGTAAGGAAAAAGTACAACTTTGGGGATAACAACCTTTGGTTTATTGCATAAAGCGATGTTTCGATGTGGATTCTTACACCGTTATCAAGCTGGTCATTGACCAGACCTACAACCTACACCCTCGTTACCACTCCAGCTTGAGTGAGTGAGTGAGTTTGGTTTTACGCCGCTTCTAGCAATATTCCAGCAATATCACGGCGGGGGACACCAGAAATGGGCTTCACACATTGTACCCATGTCGAGAATCGAACCCGGGTCCTCGGCGTGACGAGCGTACGCTTTAACCACTAGGCTACCCCACCGCCCCACTCCAGTTTGATAACGGTATCAGAATCTACATCGAAACAACGCTATATGCAACAAACCAGAAGTTGTTATCCAAAAAACTGTACGTCTTTCTCACTTCTTCTTTATCGCCTTTGAGGCATCACCTTACTCCATATCTCCCCCTCATCTGTAGGTGCTGAAGCTGTACGCCTGGGAACCCTCATTCAGGGACAAGATTCTCGCCATCAGGGAGAAGGAGCTGAAGATCCTCATGAAGATCGCCTACCTCAACGGCATCAGCACCTTCGTCTGGACATGTGCCCCGTATTTAGTAAATAAAATCCCTTCTGACATCATGTCTAGCTCGCCTTGCCATCATTAAATGCACACCATTGTCAGAGAATTTATATCCTTAAATATTTTCACGCTAATTGTATCAAGAGTTGGCAGCATAGTTTTAACATAAATCATTTAACAAAGGCGAGCGTTTGTACCGGTTTTACTCGACGTTTGTAAATACAAAAAGAGCCAAGATCAATGATTGATATTTGAACATTTTACAGTCTCAACTCTACTGCGAAGATGCAATGTAATCATGAACCTAAATCACCACTCCGACAGGTGACGCTGGCGACGTTCTCTGCATACGTGCTGACGTCCAATGTTCACCTGGACGCGGGAACGGCGTTCGTGACGCTCTCTCTGTTCAACATCCTCCAGTTTCCCATCAACTTCATCCCCGAGATGATCTCCAACACGGCTCAGGTAGACCTACACCCTCGTTAACTCGAAGTTTTTTGTCTCGATGTTACGTTATAGACCATACCTACATCCGACACCCTCGATCAGTCGAAGTCTTTTGTATCCATGTTACGTCATTGACCAGACCTACTTCCTTAACTCTCGTTAACTCGAAGTCCTTTGTCTCGATGTTACGTTATAGACCAGACCTACATGCGACACCCTCGATCAGTCGAAGTCTTTTGTATCCAAGTTACGTCATTGACCAGACCTTTTTCCTAAACTCTCGTTAACACGAAATCCTTTGTCTTCCTGTTATGTCATGGATCGGACCTACATCCTACACCCTCCTAAGTCGAAGTCCTTTGTCTACATGTTACGTCATTGACACGACAAACACCTCACTGTGGTCTCTTTTAATTTGTTTGTTGTTTAACGCCGCACTCAGCAATATTCCAGCTATATGACGGCCGTCTGTAAATAATCGAGTCTGGGCCAGACAATCCAGTGATTGCTATCATAAGTGTCGATCTACGCAACTGGGATACGATGCCATGCATCAACCAAGTCAGCGAGCCTGACCACCCGATCCCGTTAGTCACCTCTTATGACAAACATTGTCGCCTTTTAGGACAAACATGGGTTGCTGAAGACCTATTCTACCCCGGATCTGTTACCATGTATACAAACAGTGGGGTGCAATTCGACCTTTCGCGGATGAATACGGACATTCTCTGGGACTTGTGTTCATATTTTACGAGAGCATCCCCACTTTGATTTACAACAAATAATAAATTCCAGACGCCAAAAATTTAACAGTGTTAGTTCATTGATACCACAACCAGCGAATTTTAACTTATAACACATATTCGATAACAGTGTTCAGATTTTAAGAGAGCTTCTCCAGTTTGTTTTACAATACATAATAGACGCTTAACAGTTTAAGAGTGTTAGTTCATTGATACCACAATCAGAGAATTACAACTTATAATACAAAGTCGGTACCAGTATATGCCCTTGGTGTACCTACAGGCCAGGGTGTCCATCGACCGTATAGACAAGTTCCTCAAGAGCGGCGAGTTGGACCCCACTATCGTCGGAAAATATCCAAACGGAGGTAAGTAGACGCATGTCCGCTACCTCGTAGCTAACATTCGTGACCAACTCGTATTATTCCGGGACAAGCCGAATAGCGACTCGTGCCCCTCTCATGGCCATTTTTGCAACTGGGTTCCGTCTGAGTGCAAACGGGCATACCTAAAACAATTGTCAACTCGTGGGTTAATGGTTAACATATATTTCCCCATATATTATATATATTTCAGATGCAATTTAAAGCACATCAGGACATGCGGAATTAGACAGTATGATTGAACACATGTAACTGCGTCTTAGGTATATTTTTAGATGCAATGACATATGTCAAATCAAAAAAAAATTCCGAGGGATTCTTTGACGAAGAACTTGAAATCATGGGCGCATTCTGATTTGGTTTGTCGTATTTTCGCACATAACATTCATCGATAGGGGGACGAGTCCTCTTGCGAGTGGTGACGAATTGGTTACCTTATAATGTCTCGGAAACGTTGCCACTTGTTGCCAAACCATGTACACTTAATTAAGTACACCAAGTATTTCGATTTAACATTTATTAACACGAAAGGATCAGTTTATTGACCCATTTGCTTGTGAAGCCCGAGCAAAATCAGCATAAGAAGTTAGTCGGGCGTTATGAAGGCGTTAATCACAGCCATGGATCAGCGACCAGTGAATGTCGGCCAGTACTAGCAGTGCAGTGCGCAGCTACGATATACCTTAGGCGCAATGTCTTTCAAATTAAAATACAAATTCAAATTCAATTCAAATTTAAGTTGAGAGTTGACAACAAATACATTTCGAATTTACTTAAGTGACTGATCACGTATTGTTCAGCTTGGAGGTGAGGTGAGGTGAAATTGGGTTTAACGTCGCGTCCAAGATTATTGCACTTATATAGCGACGTGCATGTACGTGTATGTGTTTGTGTGGCTGCTTGTACTAGTCCGGACTGATGCCGATTTATAGTACTAGTCAAAAACATGGTGTAAGATGTAAAACAGTGACTGATTTGATATCAGTATTGTTCATATTGTTTTAAACATGCCCTGTTGATTAATCATTTTGGGGAAATTATTTTATTAAAAATTTAATAGATTTTAATAGATAAAAGAGTTTATCGCCCTCTTGATACCTCGCATCAAAGTTTTCTTGTCTAAAATATCTTCATCAGTAGGGCTTGCGAACCGTTTCACGGTCATCTTGGCAGCTTGCGGACGACGTAAACAAATGCAGAGTTATCGCCCTTTAATCACAATCGGATATGAATGTACATATGAATATGAATGATTGTACATGAACTTTGTGTTTTCTTCAGAGTATGCGCTGACCATCAACAAGGCCACTTTCAGATGGGACAAGGAAGGCCGAAACATATTGACCAAGTAGGTACAGGTGCTGGAGAGGTCGCCACGTAGAAAGCGCACCATAAGTGCCTGACCCTGCCTCATCTAACACTGTCACAAACACTTCTGTCTACCATCTGGAAACTGTACATCGCGAATGTGAAAGACTTGGTCAATTTGGTTTCGTCCCCTCATCGCTCTCCGCTATCGTTTCTCTCCATAGCACCTCCGCCTCTGTATCGCCTCATCTCTCCTCTCCACATTACCCTCCTCTCTATACCGCCTCATATCTCCTCTCCACATTACCCTCCTCTCTATACCGCCCCATCTCTCCTCTCCAAATCACCCTCCTCTCTGTACCGCCCCATTTCTCCTTTCCATATTGCCCTCCTCTCTATACTGTTCCATCTCTCCTCTCCATATCACCCTCCTCTCTATACCGCCCCATCTCTCTTTTCCATATTACCCTCCTCTCTATACTGTTCCATCTCTCCTCTCCATATTACCCTCCTCTCTATACTGCACCATCTCTCCTCTCCGTATCACCCTCCTCTCTATACTGTTCCATCTCTCCTCTCCATATTACCCTCCTCTCTATACTGCACCTTCTCTCCTCTACATATCACCCTCCTCTCTATACTGTTCCATCTCTCCTCTCCAAATCACCCTCCTCTCTATACTGTTCCATCTCTCCTCTACATATCACCCTCCCCTCTATACCGCCCCATCTCTCCTCTCCATATCACCCTCCTCTCTATACTGCACCATCTCTCCTCTACATATCACCCTCCTCTCTATACCGCCCCATCTCTCCTCTCCAAATCACCCTCATCTCTATACCGCCCCATCTCTCCTCTACATATCACCGTCCTCTCTATACCGCCCCATCTCTCCTCTCCATATCACCCTCCTCTCTATACCGTACTATCTCGCCTCCCCTGTCACCCTCCTCTCTATACCATTCTATCTCACCTCTCCATATTACCCTCCTCTCTATACCGCGCCATCTCGCCTCTCTATATCACCCCCTCTTCTCTATACCGTCTCCATATCACCCGTCTCTCTTTACCGTTCAATCTCTCCTCTCCATATTACCCTACTCTATACCGTCCCCTATCTCCTCTCCATATCACCCGTCTCTCTATACCGTCTCTCATCTCTCCTCTCTGTACCGCCCTATCTGTCCACTCAATATCATCATCCTCTCTATACCGCTCCCTATGTCTAAAATCTTGGCAACCAATGTTAAAAAGGACGAAGCACAGCTTTTACTTGATGTTGCTAACAGTTGTTCAAGCGATGTACTTTACTATCCAGCATCACCCTGTCGGTGGTGGAGGGGAAGCTCGTTGCTGTCGCCGGCCAGGTGGGATCGGGCAAGTCCTCCCTGCTGTCGGCGTGTTTAGGCGACATGGAGATCGTGCATGGCAAGGCGAACCTCAGGGTAAATACAATCAGAGCGTTCCTCAGGAAGTTTCCGTTTCGATATTAATACCTAACCTCGGAGTGATAACAATCAGAGCGTTCCCAGGAACATTTCAATCTCGATAATAATAACTAACCTCGGAATAAATACAATCAGAGCGTTCCTCGTGATACTCCCATCTCGACATTATTATCTAACCTCTGAGTGAATACAAACAGGTCGTTCGTCGTGATACTCTCCCCTAACCACAGATTGTTGCATCCATACGTATATTGTTAATATATTTCATTCACTGAGGAAACACGAACACAAAATTAAAATACCTTAAGCCATTGCAAGACGCACCAAATGAGGAACGATGGTATTAATTACTTATGCATTGGTGTTCGTTCACTTTCTGAAACATATGTCTCCGGAAGGTATGTATGGATTTTCCAAAAGCCATGATATATCCGAGTTCTTGCCATTTACTCAAAGATTGTCTACCTATATACCTATGATCTCTGGGATGGAGATGCTATGACAAGACCCGTGAAGATCTGGGTCAGAATAGGTCTTCAGCAACCCATGCTTGCCGTAAAAGGCGACCATGCTTGTCGTAAGAGGCGACTAACGGGATCGGGTGGTCAGGCTTGCTGACTTGGTTAATGCATGTCATCATATCCTAATTGCGTAGATCGATGCTCACGATGTCAATCACTGGATTGTCTGGACCAGACTCGATTATTTACAGCTGTAATATTGCTGAGTGCAGCGTCAAAGAACAACCAACCAAATTGCAATGGCAAAAAGGTCCATATTTCAGATTACGCAATGAATACACCAGTTTACCGTTGGTAACGCTGTTCTGTTCAGGGCAGGATCGCATACGTTCCTCAACAGCCATGGATCCAGAATGCAACAGTGCGGGACAACATCCTGTTTGGGACTCAAATGAACCGGAAACGATACGACAAAGTTATTGAGGCATGCGCACTGAAGGACGATTTAGACATGTTGCCTGGAGGGGATATGACGGAGATAGGAGAAAAGGTACAGTAACTATATAATGTCAATGTCAGTTTCAGTTTTCATCTGACTTGCGAATCTGTTTCATTATGCATATGAATCGGAACTTGTGCTCGGATTGGCGAAGTCAAAACTAGGTGATTTTGCCAAGTAGTTTAATTTAAGCTTCAGGTACATCGATGATCTGATATCATTCAATAACAAATAGCCAATTCCCTTCCAGAGATTTACCCACTTGAACTAGAAGTAAAGGAGACCAGTATGACCGCCTCATCTGTTTCATATTTAGATTTATGCATAAAGATTCAGAGTGACAAAAGACTCTCCACAAGACTGTGTGACAAGAGGGAAGACTTCAACTTTTTAATAGTCAACTTTCACTTCATGTCGAGCAATATTCCAGCAGCTCCAGCCTTTGCTGCCTTCATTTCACAACTTTTGAGATACAGTCGAGCATACTCTTTCTATCAAGAGCGTCACACGACTCTTGCTCTGAAGAAAGGCTTTAAGAAAGTTTTATGGCAGACATGTGGAGGACATTTCCAAATTTGATACATCAGTTACAAAAATGATGTCCGATGCAATTCCCTATTTTAATTTGCACCATATATTCCCGTCTTTGTTCAGGTTAACAATTGACTTTCCTTTGCATGTGTTTGTGACGGTTGCCACCGTTGCCACAGGATACGCTCACCTTTTCGCGAACACCTCGTGTAATCACTATTTGACAGTGATTCATAAACACTTGCTCATGATATAGTCTGAATCGAACAATCCACTCTGCTTTTAGCGTGGATTTCTTTTGAATGTGGATTGGGTTTTGTCGCTTTTGTTTAAAACTTCATAAACAAAACGTGTCCTCTTATAAGGCTCCATGGCATCTTCTGCACTTGTCCGGGTTCGTGTCCCTATGTGGATAACATGGTTGAACTCACTTGACTATCCATGAACAGAAATTCATCAGTTTGTATCCATAGATTCCTCTCATGCCTCAGACACCCGGTGTCAGAACGAATGGTGCATGCATAATGAATGGAACACACCAGTGTCGATTAGGGACCGACCGTTTCATATTCACGTGTTCTTAGAAACAGTACATGTTTGCGGGGACTGCTTCGAGGGTCGCTGATCTATGTACTGTTTCATCACACAATGGTTAGAACACCCATAATATCCATAGAACGGTTAGAACTTGAGGCAACCGAGAAGATCCGGGGTAGAAATGGTCCTCAGCATCCCATGCTTGCCCTAAAAGGCGACTATACTTGTCGTAAGAGGCGACTAACGTGATCGGGAGGTCAGGCTCGCTGACTTGGTTGATGCATGTCATCGTATCCAATTGTGTGGATCGATGTTCAGGATATCAATCACTGGATAGTCTGGTCCAGACTTGATTATTTACAGCCCGCGTCATACAGCTGGAATATTGCCGATTGCGGCGTTAAACAACAAACAAATAAACTTGAAGCAATTTTCATTTTATTATTAATATCCCAAGCCACCGAGCATCAAATGAGTCACTAATCAGTCAGAGTCAAGCATGCATGAACAAGGCACCCGGTGTCTATATATTCAGGATTACATTCCAGGGCATCAATCTGAGCGGGGGACAGAAGCAGCGCGTGAGTCTTGCACGTGCCGTGTACAGTGACGCCGACATCTACCTCCTTGACGACACACTGAGCGCCGTCGACTCCCACGTGGGCAAACACATCTTCAGGAAGGTCATCAGTGACAAAGGGTTGCTGAAGTACAAGGTGAGACGCCACCTGCAGCATGGTCAGTGTCTTCAGTATACATCGTAGATCCGGGGTAGAATAGGTCTTCAGCAACCCATGCTTGCCCTAAAAGGCGACTATGCTTGTCGTAAGAGGCGACTAACGGGATCGGGTGGTCAGGCTTGCTGACTTGGTTAATGCATGACATCGATCCCAATTGCGTGGATCGATGCCCATGATGTCAATCACTGGATTGTCTGGTCCAGACTCGATTATTTACAGACCGCCGTCATATAGCTGGAATATTGCTGAGTGCGGCGTTAAACAACAAACAAAACAAAACATGTTGTTGTGATGTGTGCATCTAATTACCGTATTTTGGATAATCACGGAGTTGGTTAGCCATGTGACAAGCTGTGTTGCGTACACCATGCAACTACGTTTTGTATGGATTCAGCGTGGACCTGCTTCGTATTCAATACTGATGGTACTTACCAAAGCGACAGTGAGAATGTATGAGTGTTTCACTTCTAAATTTGGACTTTTTGGATGCATCATATCACAGGACAAAGCAGTGTATGAGAAAATGGCGAAATCGAAAGTTTACAAGACAAGACAATTTTATTCAGTATAGAGGCCAGTGGCCCAAAATACAGACATATAAAGGTTTCATTTCTCAGCGCTACTTTACATCCACCCACACACACCCACATTGGCTTTTTGTCTGCAGTTACATTCCATTGATTTGGTTGATTGGTTGGCTGACTTCATCACATTGCTGTTATGTGCCTTGATTATTTGTTGGATGTTTCTCATGCAACTGTAGCTGACTTTAACTGATGATCTGTTGAATATTCTATTGAGTTTGCTGTCCTTTGGAAAATTTTGTTGATAAGTTTCAGGAAGTGCTTGTCTACATTCGTCTTCACATTCTTGCTGAAGGGTGTGTGTGTGTGGGGGGGGGGGGGGGGGGGGGATTGTACCATTTTTTCTGTGTTTGAGTTTGATCTTTATTTGGGTTTAGTTCGCACTTCGACACACACACACATACCGTGTGTAGCATTCTTGGAAAATAGGTATATTAAGTGGTATTGAACATATTTCTTATTTTTTGCACATTAATAGGTATAAACAGAGATCACTTATTGTTTGTGTATTGAGTGTTCATAATATTTATGAATATGTTTACTGCACTGTCATTCCTGATGTATTTACTAATATACTTTTTTCTAATATAGGTATATGCATCACATACAAGTAAAACATGAATCTCGTCTTCTAAGTACATTTTGTCATTTAGCCTGCAATGAGGGCATAGTCTTAAATGGTATGGTATATAAGTGTATCTTCCTGTTTCTGTAATAAGTCTAAAACTGCCACATCTAAATCTTGTGAAACAGATTCTCAAATGTAAAGGAGTAGCAATGCATAAGTATGTTTCCACATGAAATTTACAGCGATATTAAATACAAGCACTTACAGTTGGTCCACACACGTGCTGGCGTGGCGGAGTATCCTAGTGTTAAAGTGTTCTCCCTCAGAGATTGATTCCCAACATCTCCGCAATCTGAGGAGCCACATAGAAGCGATATAAAACTATATACACCGATATAAATCAACTTGTTTCTTCAGACTCGTATTTTCGTGACCCACGCCGTTCACTGGCTCCCCCTGGTGGACACGGTGGTGGTTCTGTCTGAGGGGCGGGTAACTGAGAGCGGCTCGTACGTCAAGCTGATGATGCATGATGGTCCGTTCGCACAGTTTCTCAAGTACCACTTCTCCACCGAGGACAACGACACCGAGACAGACGAAGACCCAGAGGGTACATAACATAGTTCATTACTTAGACTTGTCCCTGGGGCGGTGGGGTAGCCTAGTGGTGAAAGTGTTCGCACGTCACGCCGAAGACCCGGGTTTGATTCCCGTCATGGGTACAATTTGTGAAGCCCATTTCTGGTGTACCCCGCCGTGAGATTACTTGAATATTGCTAAAAGCGTGTAAAACCATACTCACTCACTCCTACTTCTCCGTTCATTTTATCCAACATGTGTTTAGTAACGATATTTGAATTGTATGACATACTTCAAATCTTGCAGTTCGTGAACTCAAGGAAAAGATGTGGCAACACGTGGAATCCGTGACGAGCACGTCGGACTGCGCAACTTCCGGTGACGAGTTGAATTTGGCGATTCGCAGGCGCAGGCGCAGGTATGTCTCTTTTCTCTCTGTCATAAATGTTATTGTTCATATCCTCATCAACCTGATATCAGGAAATGAGACGAGGGTAAGAAATTATCTGCCGATCGCCCTGGTTGTTGCACATTTATGACTGTAAATGGTAAGCATAATCTGTGACGCTATTGAGTAAGTGGACCTTTGTACATTCCCGCAGTAAGCTGACGGCCTCTACCGGAAGCAGCACCTCGGACGAGAGACGCCAGTCTGATGTTGATGCCGGCAGACTCATAGATGAAGAGAAGGCAGAAACTGGCAAAGTACATACCCGTTTTGTCATACCCGTGGTTTTCTACATTCCCGTGTTGTCTTACACATATGTTGTCAAAACCCGTGTTGTCTTGCTCGTCTTGTCTTACCCGTCTTGTCATACTCGTCTTGTCTTACCCGTCTTGTCATACCCGTCTTGTCTTGCTCGTCTTGTCTTACCCGTGTTGTCTTGCTCTTGCTCGTCTTGTCTTGCTCGTCTTGTCTTACCCGTCTTGTCTTACACGTCTTGTCTTGCTCTTGCTCGTCTTGTCTTGCTCGTCTTGTCTTGCTCGTCTTGTCTTACCCGTCTTGTCTTGCTCTTGCTCGTCTTGTCTTACCCGTCTTGTCTTGCTCGTCTTGTCTTACCCGTCTTGTCATACCCGTCTTGTCTTGCTCGTCTTGTCTTACCCGTCTTGTCTTACCCGTCTTGTCTTACCCGTCTTGTCTTACCCGTCTTGTCATACCCGTCTTGTCTTGCTCGTCTTGTCTTGCTCGTCTTGTCTTACCCGTCTTGTCTTGCTCGTCTTGTCTTACCCGTCTTGTCATACCCGTCTTGTCTTGCTCGTCTTGTCTTACCCGTCTTGTCTTGCTCGTCTTGTCTTACCCGTCTTGTCATACCCGTCTTGTCTTGCTCGTCTTGTCTTACCCGTGTTGTCTTGCTCGTCTTGTCTTGCTCTTGCTCGTCTTGTCTTGCTCTTGCTCGTCTTGTCTTGCTCGTCTTGTCTTACCCGTCTTGTCTTACCCGTGTTGTCTTGCTCGTCTTGTCTTGCTCTTGCTCGTCTTGTCTTGCTCTTGCTCGTCTTGTCTTGCTCGTCTTGTCTTACCCGTCTTGTCTTACACGTCTTGTCTTGCTCTTGCTCGTCTTGTCTTGCTCGTCTTGTCTTGCTCGTCTTGTCTTACACGTCTTGTCTTGCTCTTGCTCGTCTTGTCTTGCTCGTCTTGTCTTACCCGTGTTGTCATACCCGTCTTGTCTTACCCGTGTTGTCTTGCTCGTCTTGTCTTACCCGTCTTGTCTTACTCGTCTCGTAATACACGTCTTGTCAGATGCGTGTTGTCATACTCGTCTTGTCATACCAGTGTTGTCATACCCATGTTGTCATACCCGTCTTTTCTTACTCGTCTTGTCATACCTGTGTTGTCATACCCGTCTTGTCATACATGTCTTGTCATACCAGTGTTGTCATACCCGTCTTGTCATACATGTCTTGTCATACCTGTGTTGTCATACCCGTCTTGTCATACATGTCTTGTCATACCCATGTTTTCTTACTCGTCTTGTCATACATGTCTTGTCATACCCGTCTTGTCATACTCGTCTTGTCATACCAGTGTTGTCATACCCGTGTTGTCATACCATTGTTGTCATACCCGTGTTGGCATTCTCGTCTTGTCATACCCGTCTTGTCATACCAGTGTTGTTATACCCGTGTTGTCATACCCGTGTTTGCATGCTCGTCTTGTCATACCCGTCTTGTCATACTCGTCTTGTCATACTCGTCTTGTCATACCAGTGTTGTCATACCCGTGTTGTCATACCCGTGTTTGCATGCTCGTCTTGTCATACCCGTCTTGTCATACTCGTCTTGTCATACCCGTGTTGTCATACCCGTGTTGTCGTACTCACCTTGCCATACTCTTTGTCTAGGTATTCCATCCAGTTTACCTTGATATACTGGCAACTGTTTCATTTGAACCTAAAAATGTCAATTAGGCAAAAGGCTACATGTCCATATTTGACGTTATGGAAAGGAACAGGGCCAAATTACTGCACAACAATTACAATAGCAGTCCATAATAGAGTGGTTGAATAATATTTAATGGCAGCATAAAATGTGAGAAATGATAATGACAAGAATAACAATCACAACAGTGGTCACGTCACGCTTCCGAGATAGGCCACGGTCAAATGTGATCTTCAGACAAAAGCTGGTCTTGATGTAATGAGAGATGAAATATGAAATAAGACAGGGACGCTCCCGCTCCATTTATATAGTCTAACCACCCTCCAGCACTTTCTACACAGTACCAGACCAGTCCAGTGTCACATGAACATCACAGAATATTCCACGTTTCAATAGCGCTTGATATCCACCCATGCTATTCCGGAAGTTACGGTTAATTCAGCATCTAAATATAATAAATTCCTAACCACTCCTTATATTAAATAGTTCTACATTCCTGACAACTAACCATTGTCCAAATCCAAAGCAATGAACTTCTACTGAATCTCAACAATAATTTAATCAATAAATTACACTGCCATATAGTATTACAGATCTACTTGTGAACGTGACTCTTGTATTGTTGTCTATTCAGGTGAAGTCATCTGTATTCATCAGCTACATCCGGGCGGTGGGCGTGTCGGCCACGTGTGTTATATTCCTACTGTTTGCCTGCTACCAGGCGGCGAGTGTAGCGGCCAACATCTGGCTAGCCAGGTGGACGGGGGACGAACCCTCCCCCAACTCTACCACAGACCCCACCCTGCCCGTAGACCGGTACTACCTGACCATCTACGGCGTGCTTGGATGCGCTCAAGGTATCTCTCTATATGTCCGTCAGCCTTCTTCAGTGTTTTGCTTGCCGTAAAAGGCGACTATGCTTACCGTAAAAGGCGACTATGCTTGTCGTAAAAGGCGACTATGCTTGCCGTAAAAGGCGACTATGCTTGCCGTAAAAGGCGACTATGCTTGCCGTAAAAGGCGACTATCCTTGCCGTAAAAGGCGACTATGCTTGCCGTAAAAGGCGACTATGCTTACCGTAAAAGGCGACTATGCTTACCGTAAGAGGCGACTGTGCTTGCCGTAAAGGGCGACTATGCTTGCCGTAAAAGGCGACTATGCTTGCCGTAAAAGGCGACTATGCTTGCCGTAAAAGGCAACTATGCTTGCCGTAAAAGGCGACTAACGGGATCGGATGGTCAGACTCGCTGATTTGGTTGATGCATGTCATCGTATCCCAATTGGGTGGATTGATGCTCATGATGTCAATCACTGGATTGTCTGGGCCAGACTCGATTATTTACAGACCGCCGTCATTTAGCTGAAATATTGCTGAGTGCAGCGTTAAACAACAAACAAGCAACAAGCACTATTTACCGTAGGATAAACTGCCGAGCAAAAGTTTACACCCATGTTTAATGGTGGCTAAAACTGAAACAAACAAGAAGTGGTTATTCAATTTGATATGGGTATCATAGTTGTGTTTTGGACCTTTGTTTAAAGTGTTTAATAAGCTATTAGCAGCCTAGTAGCATTTTGATAAAGTTTGACATTCTTAGGTCAAATCTTAATGGAAATTTCCTCCATCGCGTTTCCGAGCCAGATTAGTTACCAGTGGCCAAGGCTTGTCTGCTACTGAAGATATTATGTGATACAGTGGGAACTTTATTGACTGGGGCATAAACCAGCAGTCATTAGATAGTGTGAGTGAGTGAGTGAGTTTGGTTTTACGCCGCTTTTAGCAATATTCCAGCAATATCACGGCGGGGGACACCAGAAATGGGCTTCACACATTGGAGTGAGTTAATATTAGCGTCGCATCGGCAATAGTTGGGCCATGGTGAGCTTGGGTGCTATGAAGAGTAGAGATGAAACGACTACCATCTACCAGATAAAACGACTACCATCTACCAGATGAAACGGCTACCACCTACCAGATGAAACGGATACCATCTACCAGATGAAACGGATACCTTCTACCAGATGAAACGGATACCATCTACCAGATGAAACGGCTACCACCTACCAGATGAGACGGATACCATCTACCAGATGAAATGGATACCATCTACCAGATGAAACGGATACCATCTACCAGATGAAACGGATACCATCTACCAGATGAAACGGATACCATCCACCAGATGAAACGGATACCATCTACCAGATGAAACGGATGCCATCTGCCAGATGAAACGGATACCATCTACCAGATGAAACAGATACCATCTACCAGATGAATGAAACGGATACCATCTACCAGATGAAACGGATACCATCTACCAGATGAAACGGATACCATCTACCAGATGAAACAGATACCATCTACCAGATGAAACAGATACCATCCACCAGATGAAACGGATACCATCTACCATAGTGTCTGTTGAGTACGAGGAGGGCTTACCTTCTAATGGTATATATTAAACGAGAACAAAGAAATTCAAAGGCAATTGGTAAAATGGTTACAGAGTTACTTACGCACTAAAAAAATGACAGTGTGCATTGTGCCGTATCAGCTGAAACGCTGCCAGAGTGAGTGAGTGAGGGAGGGAGGGATGCGGCCAAACAAACCAAAAGTTGCTGTTCTTGGGAAATTCCAGTGCCTTCCGGGGAGGAGGACATAAACTGGATTAATTCACCGAGTCTGACCTCCCGATCCACAATTTATTTAAAGAGCAACGCAATTTCCATGGACACTGTCTGTTAAAAAAAGGCGTTCCCCAGAGTGTGAGGGGCCCACGTAGCCCAGTGGTCTAAGACGCTTCAATTCACAATGGAGAGTTGCGTCCCTTGGGCACGCCAGAAACCTATGATCGTGGGTTCGAATCCTAGTTCGCCCCGGTTGTGTTACTTGGTTTGTCAGCACCATACCCGTGCACGTGGTTTTCACCAAAGTGGTTTGAGACCTGCGTCACTTCGGGCTTTGCTCCCACATTAAGAGGCCACGCCGTGACGCATTTGCAATACTGTCCAAACGGCGTAAAACCCAACTCACTCAATCCAGTGTGTCATATACCCATTTAATAACGATAATACATACGCTGGATAATCGAGGGTGGGAAAATACGCGATATTCACATTAACGCCTTTACTATGCAGATAATTCAGAGCTAAGGGGTTATATTTCCCTTTTGAAATCATATCGGTGTCTCCCCATCCAGGGTTTTTCGTCCTCATCTACGCTTTCCTGGCGTCTACGAGAATGGTTCGCGCCGCCCGGACCCTCCACCACGACATGCTGACCCGGACCATCCGCTCGCCCATGTCCTTCTTTGACACGACACCTATCGGCAGAATTGTGAACCGTTTTGCACGTGACGTGGAGACCATTGACAACAAAATGCCGCGTATCATGTTCATGTACGTGACCACCATCTTCTCCGTGTTCAGCACGCTGCTCGTCATCAGCATCAACACCCCGCTCTTCCTCGCAGTGGTTATCCCCCTTGTCACATTCTACTTCATGGTTCAGGTGAGTCTTATTCAAGTCAATTTAGATTCATATCTCTCTTTGTAGCTAAAATGGATAGAATTATCATTAACATGGATTCGAAATCAATTCTTGGCGTTACGTCATTCTCATTAACTCGCTCCAGTTTGGACGGTATTTGTTTCGTGATTAAGCTCAAGTTTATGTTCCCGTTAATACAGACAGTTTCCTTCCCATTGAGTGAGTATGGTTTTACGTTGCTTTTAGCAATATTCAAGCAATATCACGGCGGGGGACACCAAAAATCGGCTCCACACATTGTACCCATGTCTGGAATCGAAGCCGGGTCTTCGGCTTGACGAGCGAACGCTTGAACCACTAGGCTACTCACACTAGGCTGTTCATCCATGAATTCTTATCCTTACTTAGTACTCCAACTTCTAAATGCCTATCAAAGAGGTTACTAGGCTACTCGACCGCACCCTTCCCAGTGAAATCGTCCTGGTATTTTGACCGCAAAAGTTTACCGAAACATTATCTTGAGAATCTTCATCTGAAGATTCTTTTGTATGGCGTCATGATAAATGATAATTGAGAAAAACCTCTGCTGTCTGGGAAAACTTGAACCGTGACGTCAGTCTACTTTGTCCTTATCACGTAACACAAATATGGCCACGACGTTACGGATGACCTTATCTTTATTTTCAGTAATCGAATAGAATAATATATGATGTCAACGCCCGGAAATAACCAGTCTCGATTATCTGTCGAAGCAGTTTCCTTTTTGCATAAAAGCCAAAATAGTTATAAATTATATATGAATGAACCACTCAAAATCAGTGTTCGCGAAAAGACTGTGCTTGTCCTACTCTTCCGGTAGCACCCGACACTCGATTTGCAGGATAACGTAAGTGATTGTTGCCCAGCGCATGCGCAGTGTTTCATTGAGTACATTCTTCACTTTCTTCCTCCAGCGTTTCTTCGTCCCTTCCTCGCGCCAGCTAAAGCGGCTCCAGGCCACGTCCAGATCTCCCATCTTCTCCCACTTCAGCGAGTCCATCAGCGGAGCCAGCTCCATCCGGGCCTACGGAGCCACGGACCGCTTCATCGAGGAGTCCATACGACGCATGGACAAGAACCAGATCTTCTACTTTGCTGCCGTCACGGCCAATAGGTCGGTTCAGCCTGCATACTGAATCGAATCACCCGGAAACACGTATTTGACGCTTTTATTATTGAAACGAAAACATTATTTTGTCATCAGTGGTGCTTGGGTAGAATTGTTGCAGAAATTCTGCGATATATCAAAATTGTATTTTCTTACTGAACATAAAGACCGCCGAGGTCTAGTGGATAGAGCGTGTGCGTGAAAGTCGGAAGTTCGATCCCCAAATGCGTCATACTAAAAGATGGCACTTTTTACTAATGTTATATTTGGGATAACACTTTCTTAGTAAAGTACAAATTCTAGTATATTTGCACAAATGGCATTGTGTATTCGGGGTACTTTTTGTTACCATACCTGGCGCTCGGCATTAAGGGTCTAAAACAAGCACTCGTCGGCTCGGAGTCAGTTTGAGTGGGGTATCCATGTTAAACTGTGGCATGGTATCTCAGTGAGCTACCACTATAAAATCGTTATTTGCCCGGACTAGTACAAGCAGCCACACGTGGCTACATAAGTGCAATGATCTTGAACGCGTCGTCAAACTCCATTTCGCCTCTCCTACAAAACGTAAAATGAAATTGAAGGATAAAGTCATTGTGACAAAGGTAGCCACAAATGTATATATGGTATGTATGTTACACTCCGTGATGTCTATGTGAGTGTAGGTATCTCTTATTAGTTCCAACGCCAAGGGACCGCCTCCGTGGTCTAGTGGTAGAGCGTCCGCCCGGAGAGCGGAAGGTCCGGGGTTCGATCCCCGGGCGCGTCATACCAAAAGACGTTTTAAGGTGGTACTTGTTGTTACCCTGTCTGGCGCTCGGCATTAAGGGGCTAAAACAAGAACTGGTCGGCTCGGAGTCAGTATACTGTCTCTGAGTGGGGTATTCATGTGAAACTGCGGCATGGTATCTCAGTGAGCTAGCACTTTAAATCGGCAACAGTCCGGACTAGTACAAAGCAGCCACACAAACACACACGTACATGTACGTCGCTATATAAGTGCAATAATCTTGGACGCGACGTTAAACCCCATTTCACCTCACCTCCAACGCCTAGGTTCATCAAACACTCGAGTGAACTAGTCTTTTTTTTCCCCGGCGTGGTGATATTGCTGCTCAAGGATTGGTATTTGATATGTACCCAAACCCTGGTGGTGCCACTTTGGTAGCATTAATTTTTTTTTTTGTGAATTGAAATATTACGGTTATTTTTTCTAAATTTCATGGAGTTTTCTCATTACTTCTTTTTTTCTCTCGTTGCTTCCAGTTTTTTGTCGTTATTTCGATTATGTTCTCCTTATATGATGTTTGTTTCCGAAACTCGAAATTTCGATTTTTTTTCTTGTTATTTCAATTACTTTCTCGAAATTTCGAATATTCTTTCATTACTCCGAAATTTCGAATTTTCTTTCATTACTCTGAAATTACGAGAACAAACTCGAAGTAACAAGAAAATAATTGACATTACGATAATATAATCGAAGTAACGAGAGAAAACTCGAAATTTCGAGAATATGAACAAATAGTTGCAATAACTCGAAATTACGATTAAATATATATATACTACCAAAGTTGCGCCATTAGGCTTTCGTACATATGAGCTGTGCCCCATGTATTTCAATATAAAAGGAACCCTTGTGGTGGTTTGGGACAGATTCTCCACCTGCAACACACACACACACACACACACACACACACACTGCTCCCCCTGTTATCTACCACACAAAACCCGTGTAGAAACCAACACGTCATCCGAACGTTCATTGTGAAGGAAATGACTTTTGTCGTGTCCATGTTTGAAGTTTTGACCTTGACATCTACAGATGGCTGGGTATCTGGATCGAGTTCGTGAGCAGCTGTGTGGTGTTCGCCGCCTCCGTCTTCTCGCTCCTCACCCCCGGGATCAGCGGCGGGGCGGTGGGGCTCTCCATCACCTATGCCTTACAGGTAGGGCCAAGCCAGTTCTCAGCGACGCGTGAATGAGTGCGTGAGTGAGTTTGGTTTTACGCCGCTTTTAGCAATAATCCAGCATTATCAGGGCGGGGCACACCAGAAATGGGCTTCACACATTGTACCCATGTCGCGATTTTAACCCGGGTCTTCGGCGTGACGAGCGAACCCTTTAACCACTAGGCTACCCACCGCCCCGACGCGTGAATGTATGAGTTGGGAGCCACGTCAACAATATTTCAGTAATATCACGGTGTCCGCATTATGTCAGACGGAAGACCAAAATGATGCAGGTCCACACTGGATTTCCGTCTCAGATATTTCAAATCGGTGAAATCTGTGGGAAATGGTGTGGCGCTAACGAACCAGGGAGCAATATCGGAGCCATTTCGGATTCAAACTCCATTGCGGTTTTGGGACCGAGCATTTTTGGTATTTAAAGCTATGAGCCGGAAGTGTTGGGGTTTTTTAAAGAAAAACGCGTTGCAACAATGTAATTTTTGCGGCAACCAATTTCTGTCTTGTCATCATTCTGAATAAAGCATAATTACTTTTTTCAAGATATTTCGGGGACACTTTGTCTTTTTCGATACAATCCCAGCTCGTACACGACCTGTTGACTTCCTCTTTACGTTAGTAACACACTGACAAGGCAAAATAATTACAGGTGGTCATTTATGGAGTTAATATCGCCTCATGCGGTTTGTTATTCTCTGGAAAATGTTTCGTTATAACCTATATATTTCTCATTTAACTCGTCAATCGAGGCTGTTCGTTTGACAAAGCGAAATGTTTTACTTGGCCCACGTGTAATCCTTCACCTTCAGCAGACGTCTCATAGCTTTCAAGAATATCTTTTTTTAAAGTTATTTTGCATATTATCATATTCAAATGCATGATAAAGAATTTAAGTGACCTCGATTATATCTTTTATTACTTTTGTGTATATGTTTTAAAATTGGTGAAACGGATGGTGAAACGACCCTGCGTGTTAGGAAGGGAGAATTTACGTTTCAAAGTTTTATATTTGTAATGAAAAAAGAAATTCCGGTAGACAACTACACAAAAAGTATAAAATTAATTTAATGATATTCCATGTGTCTCGTGAAATATCATGTTTCTCTCACCTCGTGGCGGGTGAAAGGAGATATTTCCGTCCACACATTAAATTTATCATCCAAAACTGGCTCCCACAGGAGGTATCGCTTGGGTGAGATCAAGCGATATCAGGGGTGCGTTGCAAAGCGCCAATCGCTTGTAAGCGATGTTCAGCGATTCGCCTTACAACAGTGCGCTAACTTTCAGCCGGTTGCAAGCGAAACAATCGCTGACTGAGGTCGCTTCGTTCTCAAACCAAAATGGCGGCTTACTTTGACAGCGGAACAAGGAATTCTTGACTGGATCAACGAGAAAATGGGCACAGGTAGCTAACACCCAATCATCCTCAGTCTGCTCCACATCTTCAAAGTAGTCATAAATTTCATCAGCTTGTCATCGAGCCTCTTTTTTTACGTTCTTCATTACGCGGATGGTCAGGCTCGCTGACATGGTTGATGCATGTCATCGTATCCCAATTACGTGGATAGATGCTCATGATGTCAATCACTGGATTGTCTGGTCCATACTTGATTATTTACAAACCGCCGTCATATAGCTGGAAGATTGCTGCTAGCGGCGTAAACAACAAACAAACAAACGCCAAGGCAACCAAGCGGTAGTTGCGCCACCATTTTGGAAGAGTGCGCAAGCGCTTCGAACTGTTGCAGACCCAGGGTTGAGCGATGAATTTGATTTCTCTAAGCGATTCGTCGCTTGCAACGCGCCCCTACACTGTAGATATCGCTGCAATGAAATTGCATCACAATGCTTTGCAGACCATTGTGACGTCATTGGTTACCATGACGTCACAATCAATTGACATCACTAATTGCTCTGCTACTGAAGCTGTTAGCAGTACTTTTCACAATTAAGACACTGCTTATTACTGTCTACAAACTGAAAAGGTTTGCAGAATGATGTTGGATGATAAATAAAATCTCACCCTTTTGTCTTTTGATATCAAATATATCAACACTCGTTGATAAAAGTGGAAAAAATCCTGAGCAAGCCTCGGAGTCATCCCACTTTTATCAACTCGTGTTGATATATTTGATATCAAAAGACACTCGGGTGAGATTCTCTATATCCACTACATCTTTAAACTTTTAAATTGATCTTATACAGGTTTTTTACCTAAAAACAGTCACCCGTGACATGCGGGGATTCCCTCTTCGATGTGGTAAGATCCCCGTCTTGGACGCGTTAAGATCCGGGTTAGAATAGGTCTTCGGCAGCCCACGCTTGCCGTAAAAGGCGATGATCATGACGTCAATCACTGGATTGTCTGGTCCAGACTCGATTATTTACAGACAGCCGTCATACAGCTGGAATAGTGCTGAATACGGCTTTAAGCAGCACATAAACTGCAAACATCTGGGCCCACTTGCACAAAGCAATCTTAGCGCGAGACTATTGTAAGCCTATGTTAAAGAATGGGAGTCAAAATCATCTTAGCGCTAAGACCGCTTTGTGCAAGTGGACCCTGGTAGTGGTGGCTGCGAGGCATCGTCCGCTGACGGCGTGGATCGTTATTCATGCTGACAACCTCTGTCTTACTTATCATAACGCTATTATTTCCCCTCCCGAACCCACCTACAATACCCGAACCTGCACGTGTTGCCCGTGTTGCCCGAGACCTCGTTCTCGATCCTATATATACACATTGAATCTCATGTCTGTTTTCAGATCACACAGTCTCTCAAGTGGCTGGTCCGCACCCTAAGTGACCTTGAGACCAACATCGTGTCAGTGGAAAGGGTGAAGGAATACTCCGACCTTGACACAGAGGTCAGTGTGTATCACGTGACATCTGTCCCTTAGTCGGGCGCGGGTAGTGTAGTATACATCTCACAGTGTGTGGCAGACATCAGGTACCTGATCAGTTAAGCCGAGAATTCCGAAACTTCAGACATGGTTAACAAAAGCAATCGTTCTACTCCAAACATTTCTCGAGATCAAACGACCAATATTATACTCGACCAGGTTCACATGGTTTTGGTTTGGTTTGTTTGTTGTTTAACGCCGCAATCGGCAATATTCCAGCCATATGACAGCGGTCTGTAAATAATCGAGTCTGTACCTGACAATCCAGTGATTGATATCATGAGCATCCATCCACGCAATAGAGTCAGCGATCCTGACCACCCGATCCCGTTAGTCTCCGTTTACGACAAGCATAGTCACCTTTTACGGCAAGCATTGGTTGCTGAAGACCTATTCTATCCCGGAATGTTCACATGGGCCTGGGGACAAATTCAAGTACGGTTAAAACATACCAAGCCATGACGAGGGGTCAGGAGAATGGCGTGACAAACGATTGTCGACGGGTAATTAGGGTACTATTTTACCGCTTAAAGGATACACGACCTCGTACCTCATAAAGCAGACAAAGCTAATCATTTTTTACCTGCCTGTTACCAGCTAAAACTGCCAACCTAGCACCCGTGTTTTTTCTGCACTATTTTCACCAAGCTCAAAACTGGCCTTTCACAATCTCATTAAAATCAGATCTTAGTTCTCGCTGCCGCTAAACAAAGATCTGAGGACATCCCATTACAGGTCACATCACATCGACCTTTCACGAACTCTGACCGACCAATGGAATTACTGACAAGAAGTCGACATTAGCCAATCAAGAAGCAGCTTTCTCGTGCTTTACGGCACTAATTTCAAATCGGCGACTACGCTCCGAAACATGTTTTGACAAATTCTCGCTTAAAAATTTGAAACCTGAACAAAAGAACATTCTCGAATGGCTAATATATGGTCTACATTGTACAGGTTCAGTCGTTAAGCCCGTAAATATCGTTCGGAATATCCCGTCTTAAGGTTTTCGAGGCTGCATGATGAGAAATCACATTCCGACTGTCACTTTCATGATCTGGTAAGCGACGCTCTGATTGGTCGGATGAAAGGTCGTTCCCCTAATGGGATGTCCTCAGATCCTTGCATAACGGTCGCGAGAACTAAGGTCTGATTTTAATGAGATTGAGGCCGTTCAATGATTGGACTGTGTACCTTGTGATTATGTAACTAATCAGTATAGGACTGGACCTTGCTATGCTCACGTCATTTTTTTCTCGCTTCCAGGCAGATTGGGTCAACTCCGACTACCGGCCTGGTCACGACTGGCCTCAGACAGGAAGTGTAGAGTTCAAGTTGTACACCACGCGATACAGACCCGGCCTTGACCTGGTTCTGAAGGGTGTCACGTGTCGCATCAAGGGCGGGGAGAAGGTCAGTGGGTGTATACCTAAATGAATGATCAAATACAGATATTAAAAGTATTTGTCCGACAATCAGATAGTATTAAAACGAGTACTTTTCAGTGTATTACCATTGTTTTGACTATTGTGGTACCCATGTAAATCTTGTTATGTCAAACCTGGATATGACGAAATTGAGCATCCGCCCAAAGACTTCTTGAAGAACTGCATTCGTGACCAACTCGTGTTATTCCGGGACAAGCCGAATAGCGTCTCGTGCCTCTCTCATGGCCATTTTTGCGACCGGGTTCCGTCTTAGCGCAAACGGGCATACCTAAAACAATTGCCTAATGGTTAACTTATATTTCCCCATATATTATAAATATTTCAGATGCAATTTAAAGCACATCGGGACATGCGGAATTATACAGTATGATTGAACACATGTAACTGTGTCTTGGGTATATTTTTAGATGCAAGATTATGTAAAATCAAAAATTATTTCTGAAGGATTTTTGACGAAAAACTTGAAATCATGCGCACATTCTGATTGGTTTGTCGTATTTTCGCACATAACATTCATCGATAGGGGGACGAGTCTTCTTGCAGGTTACGGAAAGGGGCGAGTGGTGACGAATGAGGGGGACGAGTCTTCTTGCAGGTTACGGAAAGGGGCGAGTGGTGACGAATAGAAGAACTGAATTAGAATGGTTAATACTCTTCCTGTATTGTGACGTCACGTTCCAGGTGGGTATTGTCGGACGGACGGGGGCCGGGAAGTCCTCCCTCAGCGTGGCCCTATTCCGCCTGGTGGAAGCGGTGGGCGGCAGCATTGAGATAGATGGTCACGCGATAGAACGTCTTGGACTTCATGATCTTCGGTCAAGAATTACAATTCTGCCGCAGGTAGGTCTTGAGTATCTGCCTTGCCCACCATCCCACCCATTTACGTTTATTTCAAAAACTCGATTTTGTTTCACAATTATTTTCTCGAAATTATGAGGTTCTTGTCGTTACTTTAAAATTACGAGAATAAAAATCGAAGTAACGAGGGAAAACTCGAAATTTCGAGAAAATAAACAAATGATTGAAATAAATAAAATATGTTTATTTATATATGCTACCAGATATGGCACCACTGAGTTTCGTACATATTAGCAGTTCTCGTATGTAGCTCAATCTAAAAGAAATCCTTGTGATAGTTTGGGACAGATTCCCCTCCTGCATACGCCCCCCGCCGTTTTCTGTACATTTGATTTATTGCTTCCAGTTTGTTTGTTTTTTAACGACGCACTCAGCAATATTCCGGCTATATGACGGAAGTCTGTAAATAATCGAGTCTGGACCAGACAATCCTGTGATTGATATCATGAGCATCGATCCACGCAATCGGAATACGATGATATGCATCAACCAAGTCAGCGTGCCTGACTACCCGATCCCGTTAGTCGCCTCTTACAAGTATAGACGACTTTAACGGCAAGCATGTGTTGCTGAAGACCTATTCTACCCCGGATCTTCACGGGTCTATTGCTTGTATTGGACGGCTGTTGAACACACAATGCCACGGTAGTTCTTTTAGCGTCTGTCTTACAATACAGTAAACTACGGTTATAACGAACTGACCGATACAACGAACTTATATTGTAGTCCCGGCCATTTGTTGTATATATGCTTATAACGACGGTTATAACGAACTAAAGTTAGCGGCCCCTTTGAGATCGTTATAACCGTAGTATACTGAAGATATGGGTCTCAGTAAGAAACTATAGTAGTGAACGTTTGTCGTTTCTTTGTTGTTCAAGGCCGCACTCAGCAATATTCCAGCTATATGACGGCGGTCTGTAAATAATCGACTCTGGACCAGACAATCCAGTGATTGACATCATGAGCATCGATCCTCACGATTGGAATACGATGACATGCATCAACCAAGTCAGCGAGCCTGACTACCCGATCCCGTTAGTCGCCTCTTACAAGTATAGTCGCCTTTAACGGCAAGCATGTGTTGCTGAAGACCTATTCTACCCCGGATCTTCACGGGTCTATTGCTTCAAGTACTGAGCGCGGGTCGATTATGACCCATGCTTTTTAAACTAATATTGGGTGGTAGTGTAGCCAGGGAGTTAAAGTACTCGCTCGTCACTCCGAAGACCCGGGTTGTATCTTAAACAATAGCAAAACTGGTTTAACTTACGACCTGCAGTACACGGGGTTTTTCATCCAGGATTAACCAACAAACACACTAGTGAAAGAACGTAATGTTTGTTAAAGGGAGGCATCATTGCGTAAGGGAGGCCTGGCAGAATGTGATTATAACGAATTGACCCGTGCTAGAACGCATTATCTCGTGCTGTAACGGATTGACTCGTGCTGTAACGGATTGACGCGTGCTATAACGGATGTGTGTGTGTGTGTGTGTGTGTGAGAGAGAGAGAGAGAGAGAGAGAGAGAGAGAGAGAGAGCTCAATGAGATACCATGCCGCAGTTTAACATGGATACCCTACTCAGACACAGTATACTGACTCCGGCAAGACCAGACCAGTCCCCTCAATGACAGGTTCGATTCCCGACATGGGTACAATGTGTGAAGCCCATTTCTGGTGTCCCCCGCCGCCGTGATATTGCTGGAATATTGCTAAAGGCGGCGTAAAACCATGGACGCGGCGTAAAACCATGGACTCGGCGTAAAACAAAGGACTCGGCGAAAAACCATGGATGCGGCGTAAAACCATGGACGCGGCGTAAAACCATGGACGCGGCGTAAAACCATGCACGCGACGTAAAATTATGGACGTGGCGTAAAAACCATGGACGCGGCATAAAACTATGAACGCGGCGTAAAACCATGGCCGTAAGGCACTTCTCGCCCTTGTATATGTTTTTCACGAATACACCATGTATCGATCTTCCAGTCTGTCATAAAGCTGACACGCTTACAATAAAACTGAAATACGTTTTAAGTGAAATAAAGAGAGATTCATGTATTTCTTTCGTAGGATCCAGTATTGTTTTCCGGTTCACTCCGGATGAATCTGGACCCGTTCGAGCGGTATAGCGAGGACGCCGTGTGGCTGGCGCTACAGCAAGCCCATCTGAAGCAGTTCGTGGCGAGTCTGTCAGAGGGACTGGATTACCAGTGCGGGGAGGGAGGGGTCAATCTCAGGTGAGTGCATCAAGAAGACCCCATAAACTGGAGGAAAGTATGACCATGCAGAGTAACCCTACGTTTCATCGAACAAAATATATTATCCCCGAATATTCAGGAAAAAAATACTTATACTCCAGAGCCACCCACTCCCCACCTCCACCCCCATATCACAATGGACTGTCCCAAAGTTAGTGTCTTGTAATGTAACAGAACTGTAGGTAAATATATACATTTAGACAGTCATACATTTATAGATGTAAGCAAGTTTAGACTGAAGGCTGGGTCTCATGTCCATCTAACCATATCAAAACAGTCTAATTTACCTCCTCCTCCTCCTCTCTCTCTCTCTCTCTCTCTCGCTCTCTCTCTCTCTCACTCTCTCCCTCTCTCTCTCTCTCTCACACCTTTCATGCACGCACACACGCACGCACGCACGCACGCAATCACTCACCCCACATTGATGTTCTGTTTTCCCAGCGTCGGTCAGCGGCAGTTGGTGTGTCTGGCCCGAGCGCTGTTGCGGAAGTCCAAGTTGCTGGTGTTGGATGAAGCTACGGCCGCCGTTGACCTCGAGACGGACACTCTGATCCAGGAGACAATACGCGCAGAGTTCACCAACTGTACCATATTGTCCATAGCACACCGACTACACACCATCATGGACTATGACAGGTGAGTCTGACTGACCATCGCACACCGTCTACACACCATCATGGACTATGACAGGTGAGACTGACTGACCATCGCACACCCTCTACACACCATCATGGACTATGACAGGTGAGTCTGACTCACCATCACACACCGTCTACACACCATTATGGACTATGACAGGTGAGACTGACTGACCATCGCACACCGTCTACACACCATTATGGACTATGACAGGTGAGTCTGACTGACCATCGCACACCGTCTACACACCATCATGGACTATGACAGGTGAGACTGACTGACCATTGCACACCGTCTACACACCATCATGGACTATGACAGGTGAGTCTGACTGACCATCGCACACCGTCTACACACCATCATGGACTATGACAGGTGAGTCTGACTGACCATCGCACACCGTCTACACACCATCATGGACTATGACAGGTGAGTCTGACTGACCATCGCACACCGTCTACACACCATCATGGACTATGACAGGTGAGTCTGACTGACTATCGCACACCGTCTACACACCATCATGGACTATGACAGGTGAGTCTGACTGTCCATCGCACACCGCCTACACACCATCATGGACTATGACAGGTGAGTCTGACTGACCATCGCACACCGTCTACACACCATTATGGAGTGATACAAGCGAGTCAAGTTTTGTATTGAGTATATCTGCCCATCGGCAGCCGCATTAGCGGCTTCCTTCCACAATATGTTGCATTGCTACACACCGGGTTAAACCTATGGTTTGAGTATTTAATTTGGAATTATGTAACTGAAATACCTTTAGAAGCGATATAAAACCTCATTCATCTTCAGGATACTTGTGATGGGCGCTGGGGCTGTTCTGGAATTCGACCATCCTCACGTCCTGCTGATGAACAAGAGCAGTCACTTTTACTCACTGGCCAGAGATGCGGGGCTGGTTTAGAACACGGCACTACATGCGGGGACAGTTGAGGACACAGCTCGAGATTCGGGGATACTTAAGGACACAGCTCGATATTCGGGGACAGCTGAGGACACAGCTCGAGATTCGGGGACAGTTGAGGAGACAGCTCGAGATTCGAGGATACTTAGGGACACAGCTCGAGATTCGGGGATACTTAAGAACACAGCTCGAGCTTCGGGGACAGTTGAGGACACAGCTCGAGATTCGGGGATACTTAAGGACACAGCCAGGGCACCGCGGCGATTGTAGGGGGCACAGTCTCTTCAGCTCTGTGGTCATAGATGCGGAAACTACAGCCAGAGATGCGGGGCAACCATCCGAGATGCAGACGTGATGACAGTACCATCCATGAGTTTATCTTCATCGCTTTAACTGCCATTATTCATTATCGACTCTGCATTTTGTGAGTTGCTGCTTCCAAGGGTGATCTTTTATAGGAATGGTCACTCCTTCGGCATTTCATAACAATTCGGGGCGGTCGGGTAGCCCAGTGGTTAAAGCGTTCGCTCGTCACGCCGAAACCCGGGTTCGATTCCCGACATGGGTACAATGTGTGAAGCCCATTTCTGGTGTCCCCCGCCGTGATATTGCTGGACTATTGCTAAAAGCGGCGTAAAACCATACTCACTCACTCATAACAGATCATCTCCGTAGAGCCCATGTTTGTTGCGGGAGCTGACTACAATTGGAATCGGATGGGTACAATAAGCTATTGAATAGAGATCAAGGTGTGTATCAGTGTTCGAGCCTTCAAACACTGACGTCCATGGTCCAGGCTAGATTGTTGACAAGCTTTCCTAGTGTATGTGCTAATCAGGACTTTAAGATCACCTGATGGGAAACAACTGCTCGTAGGTTGTTGCCTGTTTGTCTGGAGGTGTCCATTGGATGCAGCCATATTGAAAAACCTGTTAGTGGCAATTTTATGTTCAATAAGACATGAATTAGAAGTCAGACATGTTCCTTTTTGGGGATATTTTAAGGTCAGACCTCGAATCAATCTCTCCCTAAAGGCCATGATCTTAAGTCCCTCAAAATGCATTCTTGGATCTGTAAACCTAACTTATTTACAGAAGCTCGAATCATGTTTCTAATATGGCCACCATGGCAGCCATATTGGAAAACCTGAATTTGTCATTACTCATCCAGTTTTTTCGCATTTGGTATATATACTCACCACCAAAAGAAACGTGAACCACGTAGAGGAGTATGTACTTTAAGAAGAGATGTTTCCAACGTATACCAATTTATGACAACACTAACAATCAGTCAAATGTTACCACAGTGTGTCTTTATTCTTATCGCGATATGCTGCACGTGATGTCAAAACTTTACAGCTCATCCTGCCCGAGACAAATCGTCATGGATCTATGACGTCACATGTGATGCGTTCATGAGCGTCGGTTCACACAACAAACCAGTCTGTTCATTTGTGCATCGAACCAAACTAATATCTCTTGAATATGAGTAATTCTTCATGTATTAACCAAAATGTATCGTATTCGTGTTTCTTTTGGCAGTGAATATATATATATAGAAACCTATGATTGTGGATTCAAATCTCGGTTCGCCCCGATTATGTTTCTAGGTTTGTCAGCACCATACCCTTGATCGTGGGTTTCACCGAAGTGGTAAACGTCTGAGACCTGCATTACTTCGGGCTTTCCTCCCACATTAAGCTGACACGCCGTGATATAACTGGAATACTGTTAAAAGCTGCGTTAAACCCAACTCACTCATTCACTCACTCACTACGGAGCGTTGTACTCAATATTACGCTCGGAAGTTGACAATGATATGTTTCTATGTCAAGAGTTCAGGGCCTGTCTTTGTACCATATTTGTTGATTTCAGTTTGGTAAAATTTTGTATAAACACCTTCACACAACACCTGTCAAGAAAAAAATGAATCAAACCAGTTTTAATAGATATCGCCCCACTCCTCCAAGATAAGAAACCCGGCGAACACGTGATCTATTGTTGTCCAGTGTGTATATTTTTATCCGAGTGTTTGGTCTACATGTTGTAAGTGAGTTTAACAACATACGTGATTATTTTTGCCAAACCCACGTGCATTTACCTTACAAGCTTCGCTGCCATCGTTGTTACCCTGTGTCAAATATTTGAGATTCACCATGTGTTAACTTGTCCTGTATTTATCTACACACCTGTAGCTAGTTATGGCTGATTTGCATGTGTGCGTATGACGTTTAGTTTCGCTTTCTACATACATCAAACATCGCTAAATCGATGTCCAAGGGTCAAAGGTTCGTTAAATACAATGTTTATTCGACATGCAGGATATTTACATGAAATATTTTCAACTTTGTCAGGGATCGCCTTTCGTGTCAATCAAGCGGCCCACCGAGTTATTGCCCATCATCAAATGGAAGCTACTCTATTCTATGAAACGTCATGTTTGTATCGAGTTTGCCTGGCCTGTCCTAACGATTCGTAACGGGATTACGAAATGCAATCAAATATTTACATTTTCATTTTAATCCATAAATGACCCAATCTCATTAAAATCAGATCTTAGTTCTCGCTATCGCTTAACAAAGATATTTGTTTAGCAGCATCGAGAACTTAGGGTCATTTACAATCCCATTAAAATCAGATCTAACAGATATCGTTGCCTTTTTCTTACCGAGGAATTACCCATTATATGATAAATCGAGTTATACGTAGTTCGAGACGTGCGGTTGTCGATATCTGTGTCAATTAATAGGGATCCTGTCTTGAGAGGAACGATGTTTGGGTCTGGTTGCAAGAATAGAAACGTAAACATTTTAAAAGTTCATCACTTTGGAATTCAAGTGTACTCTAGGGCACTCACTGAGATATTCAGTGTGCCCTTTGGAATTCAAGTGAACTCTAGGGCACTCACTGAGATATTTAGTGTGCCCTTTGGAATTCAAGTGTACTCTAGGGCACTCACTGAGATATTCAGTGTGCCCTTCGTAATCCAAGTGTACTCTAGGGCACTCACTGAGATATTTAGTGTGCCCTTTGGTATTCAAGTGTACTCTAGGGCACTCACTGAGATATTTAGTGTGCCCTTTGGAATTCAAGTGTACTCTAGGGCACTCACTGAGATATTTAGTGTGCCCTTTCGAATTCAAGTGTACTCTAGGGCACTCACTGATATATTTAGTGTGCCCTTTCGAATTCAAGTGTAATCTAGGGCACTCACTGAGATATTTAGTGTGCCCTTTCGAATTCAAGTGTACTCTAGGGCACTCACTGAGACATTTAGTGTGCCCTTTCGTATTCAAGTGTACTCTAGGGCACTCTGTGATATATTTAATGTACACTTTGGTATTCAAGTGTACTCTAGGGCACTCACTGAGATATTTAGTGTGCCCTTTCGAATTCAAGTGTACTCTAGGGCACTCACTGAGACATTTAGTGTGCCCTTTCGAATTCAAGTGTACTCTAGGGCACTCACTGAGACATTTAGTGTGCCCTTTGGTATTCAAGTGTACTCTAGGGCACTCACTGATATATTTAGTGTGCCCTTTCGAATTCAAGTGTACTCTAGGGCACTCACTGAGATATTTAGTGTGCCCTTTCGAATTCAAGTGTACTCTAGGGCACTCACTGAGACATTTAGTGTGCCCTTTCGAATTCAAGTGTACTCTAGGGCACTCATTGAGACATTTAGTGTGCCCTTTGGTATTCAAGTGTACTCTAGGGCACTCACTGAGACATTTAGTGTGCCCTTTCGTATTCAAGTGTACTCTAGGGCACTCACTGATATATTTAGTGTGCCCTTTGGAATCCAAGTGTACTCTAGGGCACTCACTGAGACATTTAGTGTGCCCTTTCGAATTCAAGTGTAATCTAGGGCACTCACTGAGATATTTAGTGTGCCCTTTCGAATTCAAGTGTACTCTAGGGCACTCACTGAGACATTTAGTGTGCCCTTTCGAATTCAAGTGTACTCTAGGGCACTCACTGAGATATTTAGTGTGCCCTTTCGAATTCAAGTGTAATCTAGGGCACTCACTGAGATATTTAGTGTGCCCTTTCGAATTCAAGTGTAATCTAGGGCACTCACTGAGATATTTAGTGTGCCCTTTCGAATTCAAGTGTACTCTAGGGCACTCGCTGAGATATTTAGTGTGCCCGCAGAAACATGATAAAAAAACACACTTGCTCATTTCTCCTTGAGCTAGACAGTGAGTTTCTCCTTGAGCTGGACAGTGAGTTTCTCCTTGAGATAGACACTGAGTAGTGTCCTTTCGAGTTTGGAGTTTAAGTTTGATATTACAATTTTTAATTCATTAATCATACTGTGTATTGATCGCGCTCATGTCATCATTCCCTCATCCCTGTCCAGTTTACTCTCACTGGCTTCATGTAACATATGCACCATCACAAGGTACTTCCATATAACAAATCTGTGTGTGTGTGTGCCTTTCCACGTAAAAGAAATGATTTAGATATGGTTAGAATATCAGGGCCCCATTCCACAAAGCGATCTTAGCGCTACGACTCTTAAGCCAATGTTAATGTATGGGACTTAAGATCGTCTCAGCACTACGATCCCTTTGTGGAACGGGGCCCAAACGTATTCTAACCTTATCTAAATCATTTCTTTTCCTTACGATTTTAATTACTGAGTCAAATTAAAAACTTCACATTTTAAAAGTAATCCAATATGTGATATACAATGTGACGATCCTCTGCATGTGACGTCACACGTGATCGACATGGCCTAGGGCGATCAGCGGTGGTACCCGTTTGCTGTAGACGCGTCTGTAAATCATAAACAGTCCGTCGATTACAACCCATCGTCCTTGCGACTTCAGCTACGGACGTTCCCGTCTGCAACATGCCGATGGCACGTTCACGTTGCACATTTGAAAGGCGTGGCATGGCAAATGGCCGTAAAGACTTTTGTTTTCTTGTGTTTTTCTTTTTTTGTTAATGACTGCTAACAAGTATGACTGAAAATACGTGCGGTATTATGGCCACGTGACCAGTTGCACGTGAAAAACCACGTTTGCCACTATAGTACTGTGCACATGCTTTTGATCGATTCACCTGCACAAAACGGGTGTTATCTGAAGACAATACGTGGCCATTACAGTTTAAATACACAATAAGGGCCCACAATGATAACTGGTCAAAATGTTAAAATTTTAGGATTGTGAAGTTTTTAATTTGGTTCAGTATACATGGAATTTCGAATCCTGGATGGGTTTCTAGTTAGCATATTTAATATTGTTGATTGTAGCAAGAGGTCTCATAGTCATTGTTAGCGGTGTATTTGAGGAAACTAATATCACATTGTTTTGTATTACTTTTATTTTATACTACTGTTATATGTATAACTGTGTATCATGTGCAGCATGCGACATGACTAGGTGAATACCTAGAGTTTATCCTACTCCACAGAAGAATGGTTAGTTTTATACACCAATATTTTTACACTTATAAAGGTATATTGAGTAGATATGTCTTTGGTTCTTTAGTTGCCCCCATGGCCTAGTGGTAGAGCGTCCGCTCGGACAGCGGAAGGTTGGGGGTTCGATCCCCGGCCGCGTCATACAAAAAAACGTTGAAAGATGGCACCCTGTTGTAAAGACGTTGTTTCCCTGCCTGGGGTTCGGCATTAAGGGGCTGTAAAAGAACTGTTCGGCTCGGTGTCAGTATACTGGTCGTTTTCGGGACCTGTAGTTTGATTTAATGCGGAATAAAGCCCCAATCCATATCACAAAACGTCAATGTACTCCCAGGACACCTGGTACGAACTCCGGGAAAAACGCTGTTCCTGAGTACCCTATACACGTCTCCTGGTCTGAACTCCGGGATAGAGCTTTTCCTGAGTACCCAATACACGTCTCCTGGTCCGAACTCCGGGATAGAGCTTTTTCCTGAGTACCCTATACACGTCTCCTGGTCTGAACTCCGAGATGGAGCTGTTCTTGAGTAACCTATACACGTCTCCTGATCTGAACTCCGGGCTAGAGCTGTTCCTGAGCACCCAATACACGTCTCCTGATCTGAACTCCGGGATGGAGATGTTCCTGAGTACCCTATACACGTCTCCTGGTCTGAACTCCGAGATGGAGCTGTTCCTGAGCACCCAATACTCGTCTCCTGGTCCGAACTCCGGGATAGAACTTTCCTGAGTACCCAATACACGTCTCATGCTCCGAACTCAAGGATAGAACAATTCGGACCCATGGTCTTGATCGCGGGGATAGATCAGGACACATCTGACAAAACATTAACAACTGTGTCCATTGTTCAGTATTCTATTTTTCAATTTACATTTGTACCAGTTCATTCAGTTATTAACATATTCATTCCACTATAATAGTAATTGAAACAAATTCGCGTCATTTGAAAGGTTGCTGCAATCTGCTGATATTTCATATCCGAAAGCCAGCCGTGCATAACATTGCCATAACAACAATAAAAACTGCACTTGCGTTGACCAATGGTTTAGACCTATACACTGTTGCTAAGCAACATGTAGAACTCACACACATATATACACATTCACAGACGTGTGGGACTCAGGATACCATAATCCCAAAACACGATTAGTCAAAATATATTTACATTAGACCGCAATGATCTAAAATTGGCAGTATATCTCAACATGATCCACATCTCTTTCGACCATTGCGGTTTTGCAGGGCCGCCATCTTGTCTTCTAGAATCGATCTGTAATTCTTATTAATAGATCAGGGGCGGTCGGGTAGCCTTGTGGTTAAAGCGTTCGCTCGTCACGCCGAAGACCCGGGTTCGATTCCCGACATGGGTACAATGTGTGAAGCCCATTTCTGGTGTCCCCCGCCGTGATATTGCTGGGATATTGCTAAAAGCGGCGTAAAACCAAACTCACTCCCTCACTATTAATAGATCACTTCCGGTGACATGAAGTACGCTTACTTGGAGCTAAGTGAGCAAGGAATCTAGAATAATCGCAATTAGTTCATGATTTGTACCGTATCGATAATGAAGGGTACATGTAGTTCTACATCCTCGTTTGCATCGATGACGGTCCGGGAGGCTACTGATGCTGCAGATACGTCAATGCCCTAAGTGTCCTGTCACTCATGCCTTCACGGGGCGGTCGGGTAGCCTAGTGGTCAAAGCGTTCGCTCGTCACGCGGAAGACCCGGGTTCGAATCCCGACATGGGTACAATGTGTGAAGCCCATTTCTGGTGTCCCCCGCCGTGATATTGCTGGAATATTGCTAAAAGCGGCGTAAAACCAAACTCACTCACTCACGTTTCTCCGAGTTTTCAGCACAGTTGGTCAACTCATATCTTTCCGACCCTACATTCTCGTACTTTCCATGTTGTCGTCCGACCCGTTCTCTGACTGACCAGTTCCTGAATCATCTCCATCAAATGCTGTGTTGACCTCACCCAACTCCTCGTCCAGTGTATCCATTTTAACGTCATACACATAATCACATGGGCCCCCACCCGGTATATGTATAACGGAAACAGAATTCACATTCTGTTGTTCTCCATTCACAGAGGTGGAGTTATCCTGTTGCGTCATCTGTGGAATGTCGATGGTGGCGTCCTTGAACTTGGCCCAGTCTTGTTCTCGTCCACTCCCGAACATGACGAACACAATGTTGGCGAAGAGGACAATGGTGGCGGTGATGATGAACACGATCTGCCACTGTTTCCTGGTCCCCTGCAGAACATGTAAAGAGTTAAATGGATGGTTGTTGGTTGGTTTGTTGTTTAACGCCGCACTCAGCAATATTCCAGCTATATGACGGCGGTCAGTAAATAATCGAGTCTGGTACAGACAATCCAGTGATTAATGTCATGAGCATCGATCCACGTAATTGGGATCGATGACATGCATCAAACCAAGTCAGCGACCCTGACCACCCGATCCCGTTAGTCGCCTTTTACGATATTCATAGTCGCCTTTTACGGCAAGCATGGGTTGCTGAAGACCTATTCTTCACAGCAACCATCCATCTCACAGGCCATCTTGACTTACTGAAACAGGCAATGTCCGACATCGTATTTAAAAAAAGCAGGTCTAATAATTTTGTTAAGGGTTCTTGTAAAAGATGTGTGGAAAACAAATCTTAAAAAATACACATTCTTCGTCCTCAGAAAACATACATACATTTGTACGTACTCACTACAACTGAACTGTGCAATAGGTTGAACTGCAAGACTTTAGGTTACAGTAGGTGAGTGAGTGTGTGTTTTAGCGACGCTTTGAACAATATTCCAACTATATCCCGACGTGACAGCTTAATGTGTGAGGACAACCCGAACTGATACAGATCTGACCCGTTTACCACTTCGGTGAAACCCACGAGCACGGGTATGGTACTGACAAACCTAGAAACATAATCGGGGCGAACTGAACCCACAATCATAGGTTTCTGGCGTAACCAAGGGACGCAACTCTGCACAACGAATTGTGGCGCCTCAGATGACTGGCCCACCCGTACCCCTATTGGTTGGTTGGTTGGTTTGTTGTTTAACGCCGCACTCAGCAATATTCCAGCTATATGACGGCGGTCTGTAAATAATCGAGCCTGGACCAGACAATCCAGTGATTAATACCATGAGCATCGATCCACGCAATTGGGATCGAAGACATGCATCAACCAAGTCAGCGAGCCTGACCACCCGATCCCGTTAGTCGCCTTTTACGACAAGCATAGTCGCCTTTTACGGCAAGCATGTGTTGCTGAAGACCTATTCTACCCCGGAATCTTCACGGTACCCCCATAGGTTACAGTGTGTTCAAGGAAGAGATAATAGCTTTTGATAGCAAACATTCCATAACTATTTGAAGAAATGAAACCCATCTGGATGATATCAAACATACCTTAGTGTTTACAAAGTGGACTTGAGACATTGCAGTGTGTTGAATGGTGTTATGGTTTAATTTGTTGTTTAACGCCGCACTCAGCAACATCACAGGTATATGACGGCGGTCTGTAAATAATCGAGTCTGGACCAGACAATCCAGTGATTGACATCATGATCGATCCACGCAATTGGGATACGATGACATGCATCAACCAAGACACCGGCATCCCGTTAGTCAGTGACTGAGTGATTGAGAATGGCTGTGACGTTTTGGGTTTTCCATTGATATTTGCTACTCGGCGGTTGTTTGTTGTTCTGCAATGTTGTGTGTCCATATACTCACATCTATAGTGATAGCTCCTGTTACGAGAGGGCTGATGATTCCGCCGATGATTGCAAACGTCTGTGTGAAGCCCATTATTTGACCGGAGTATCTAGTGACGAAACAAAGATGTGAGGTGAGGTGAAATGGGGTCTAACGTCGCGTCTAAGATTATTGCACTTACATAGCGACGTGCATGTACGTGTGTGTGTTTGTGTGGCTGCTTATTCTAGTCCGGACTGATGCCGATTTATAGTGCTAGCTCACTGAGATACCATGCCGCAGTTTAACATGAATACCCTACTCAGACACAGTATACTGACTCCGAGCCGACCAGTCCTTGTTTTAGCCCCTTAATGTCGAGCGCCAGACAGGGTAACAACAAGTACCATCTTTTGGTATGACGCGGCCGGGGATTGAACCCCGGACCTTCCGCTCTCCGGGCAGACGCTCTACCACTAGACCACGGAGGCGGACGACCAAACAAAGAAGTAAGAAGGATATCATTAAACAAGGAAGCCCCATCGAGGCAAATCACAAGTTGCCAGGGCAACGCGTATTTCCCATATTTGGCAGCCTGGCAACCGGACATCTTCCAACGTGACAAGCGACACAGCTAGAAAACACACATGTTCATATCTGATTTTCAAATCAGGGCCGCTTAGGGGTGTTTGTTTGTTGTTTAACGCCGCAATTGAGTCTGGGCCAGACAATCAAGTGATTGACATCATGGGCACCGATCTACACAATTGGATACGATGACAAAGTCAACTAGCCTGACGACCCGATCCCGTTTGTCGCCTCTTACGACAAGCATGGCTTGCTGAATACCGGTTCTAACTCGGATCTTTACGGGCGGTATGTTGCTGATAGACGAAAAATCATTATTTGGGCGAACCACAACCAGCGGATCCTGACACGACAAAGGGAGACAAATCTGCTCAACGAGTTTTCGGCTGGTTTTCTACCTTGGGGCGATGTCAAGATGGTTAACTCTGAAGGAAGCTATTGTTGTCGAGTTGACCGTCATGGTTAACGTCAATAACCCCACAGCTAGCATCCTCTGGTCGGCGCTCAAATAACTCACGCCAATCAGCAACGATGCTGGAATAACGGATCCTGAAATACAACATAAGCTATACCTTATATATGATTTATACATATACCCGGGCATAAAAAAACAGTAGCCTAATGGTTAAAGCTTTGGCCTGCATGGCGAAGGCCCAGGTTCGATTCTTTAAATGGGTACATTATGGGAAGCCCATTTCTGGCGTTCCCCGCCGTGATATTGTTGGAATATAGATAAAAACGGCGTAAAACCAAACGCTCTGGCTTACTCCAGAATAATTTAGTGGATATGTATTCTGAGCTACTGTTTGCATCACAAGTGTCAACGGGTGCACGGGTGGCCCAGTCGTCTAAGGCGCGGTGATTCGCTGTGCAGAGTTGCGTCCCTTGAAACCTATGATTGTGGGTTGGAATCCCGGTTCGCCCCGATTATGTTTCTAGGTTTGTCAGCACCATACCCGTGCTGGTGGGTTTCACCGAAGTGGTAAACGTCTGAGACCTGCATCACTTCGGGATTTCCTCCCACATTAAGCTGACACGCCGTGATATAACTGGAATACTGTTAAAAGCGGGGTTAAACCCAACTCGCTCACTCACTCACTCACTCACTAGTGACAACACTATACTCGTATTCTTAATATTTACCAACTGTCTGGAACATCTTTCGTGTATACGTTGTTGACATGACCGCCTTTGCCTGCATCATATCGGCGAGGTAGGCTGTGGCAATGCCACCAAGAAACCGGCCGAGGAACGGCAGTGAAGATAATAAGCCATTCTGAAACACACAGTTTAGAACAAATAACTTTACCCAAAGGGTCACGGATATTGGAGACATTATTTCCAGAAAGTGTCACTGGCGATTCCGTTTTCTTACTTCTGGATTAGCTTGGGTCTCGCCAATGTCCATTGTAAGGTTATTAGTTCCACGGAATATAACTAATAGTTAATAATAGCCCCCTATTCACCAATCCTGAATTTGGTATGAAATGAAAGACAATGAAAACTATTCTCCTCACTTGATTTTATCATATTATTTTTTATTTTCAATTGAAAATATCTTAAGTTGGCGATACAGCTGATGGGTTTCTCAGACATATTTTTTTTTAAAACATAATTAGATTTCAAGCATGATAGGGGTCATGAAGTTGCACATTCATTTGTTACAAAAGTCTTCCTTGAACCCTTTTCTTTTTACACAAACTTACCCAGCTACAGGTTACGTTTTTCAAACTGTTGCAGGAATGAGTGATGGTTACATAGACACGCTCAAATGTAACAACCGTTCATTATCAATTACATAAAAAACAAACTCGGTATACTTTCTTTTGTCCCTCAGTATATATCCAATTCTCGTATTGCATAATTTTCTATCATATAAACATACCTGATAACCATTATTGTGATGTCAATTCCCAATCTATTTAACTTGACAGGTATAAGCACTAAGAGCTTACTTGTCAATTTTTCAAAATGCTTGAAAATATTTAATTGAAGTAAATCTTGACCCATGTTGACGCAACCATTAATCAACCATGTGTACATGATCGCGAGTTGGCCTCTGACCTCTTCTATCTTGAACTCGAGGACGTCGTTCATGTACATGGGGATGAAGGTGGTGATGGTCGTCTCGATCCACGTCTGGGAGATGTGAGCTGTCAGCAACGCCCAGAAGGGGGGAGACTTGAAGATCTTCATCCACGGCGGCTGCAGCAGAGATGGTGAGAATCGTCAGCATTCTGATACTGGCGGACATGTGATCGGGTTCCAGGAATACAAAGACCAACAGTGCCAGGACAGTGTCGACAATGAATTGCTGTGCACAGATAGAGAGAGTGACAGAGAGTTTGTAGTTTAACGCCGCATTCAGCAATATTTCAGCTATGTGACGCCGGTCTGTAAATAATCGAATCTGGACCAGACAATCCAGTGATTAAATTCATGAGCATCGATCAACGCAATTGGGAGTGAGTGAGTATGGTTTTACGCCGCTTTCAGCAATATTCTCATAAAATCACGGCGGGGGACACCAGAGATGAGCTTCACACATTGTACCCATGTGGGGAATGGAACCCGGGTCTTCAGCGTAACGAGCGAAGGCTTTAACCACTAGACTACCCCACCGCGTTTGGGATGTGATGACAGCGAGCCTGACCACCCGATCCCGTTAGTCAGTGACTGAGTGACTGAGAATGGCTGCGATATATTGGTTTTGCTGTTGATATGGGCTACCCAGCGGTTAGATACGCGTTAAATATACAATCTCAACAATAACTATCAATATATATGGGTAAGATAACTAATCACAATTATACATGGATTATTTGTACGTGCCCTGCTTGGAATGACGCTAAATGGCCGCTACGTCTTAGTACAGTAGAGACATGCAGCCGTTTCACCCGGAAGTGTGTCTATCACAACCTACCACGCAAAGGGCGATGCTGCCTCAGCATCATCAGCTGGTACATATACATTATGTAATCACCTTAACCGACGTGCTTTTCGTAGTTTTCTTGAAGTAAATAATTTCTTTTTCTTTTTCCTCTATCCTTGGGTGGATCTCTGGCGAGTCGTAGACGAGGAAACACCAGAAGAATAGCCATACAACACCAGCCCCACCTGACAGGATTAAGGTCATAGTATCATACTTCAGTATTGAGGTAATAACAGTGAGTGAGTATGGTTTTACGCCGCTTTTAGCAATATTCCAGCAATATCACGGCGGGGGACACCAGAAATGGGTTTCACACATTGTGCCCATGTGGGGAATCGAACCCGGGTCTTCAGCGTGACGAGCGAACGCTTCAACCACTAGGCTACCCCACCGCCCCCAATCAATTAAAGAACCCATCGACATTCCTGGACTTAAAATGCAAAATAATGTCAGTGCTCACCATAGACGTAGAATATGAAGGGCCACCCTTCGTCCACGTTAATCTCACAGAGCGAGGCCGACACCGCCGTCACTAAGATACTGGCCATGTTTACACCTGAATATAGACCAGTGTTCAGCCATGAAATGTTGTGTGAAGCAGCTTGGCGAAATATTCCAACAAATCGAAATATTGCATAATGTGATACCAGTGATGTAAGGCATAGACAGATACATAGACTGGGGGAAACCAAGTAAAGTAGAACCCTGGCAGTCCGGACCTCATTAGAATCCGGACACCGGAACATTGTAATAAATGACACTTGAACATAGTCATATTACAAAGATAACATATAGATACAAACATACACAGATACCATAGACGTATTACACAGAGAACATAGACTTATTACACAGGGAACACAGACGTATTACACAGACAACATAGACGTATTACACAGAGAACATATACATATTACACAGGGAACATAGACGTATTACACAGAGAACATATACATATTACACAGGGAACATAGACATATTACAAAGATAACTTATAGATATGAACATACACAGAGACCATAGACATATTATACAGAGGACACAGACACATTACACAGAGAACATAGACGTATTACACAGAGAACATAGACGTATTACACAGAGAACATATACATATTACACAGGGAACATATACATATTACACAGAGGACAAAGACATATTACACAGAGAACATATACATATTACACAGAGGACACAGACATATTACACAGAGGACAAAGAAATATTACACAGAGAACATGTACATATTACACAGAGAACATATACATATTACACAGAGAACATAGACGTATTACACAGAGAACATAGACGTATTACACAGAGAACACAGACATATTACACAGAGGACACAGACATATTACACAGAGAACATAGACGTATTACACAGAGAACACAGACATATTACACAGAGAACATATACATATTACACAGAGAACATAGACATATTACACAGAGGACACAGACATATTACACAGAGAACATAGACGTATTACACAGAGAACACAGACGTATTACACAGAGAACACAGACGTATTACACAGAGAACACAGACATATTACACAGAGGACACAGATATATTACACAGAGGACACAGACATATTACACAGAGAACATAGACATATTACACAGAGAACATAGACATATTACACAGAGAACATAGACATATTACACAGAGGACACAGACATATTACACAGTGAACAAAGACGTATTACACAGAGAACACAGACATATTACACAGAGAACATAGACATATTACACAGAGAACATGTACATATTACAAAGAGAACATAGACGTATTACAAAGAGGACACAGACATATTACACAGAGAACATATACATATCACACAGAGAACATAGACGTATTACAAAGAGAACATAGACTTATTACACAGAGAACACAGATATATTACACAGAGAACATAGACATATTACACAGAGAACATAGACGTATTACACAGAGAACATAGACTTATTACACAGAGAACACAGATATATTACACAGAGAACATAGACATATTACACAGAGAACATAGACGTATTACACAGAGAACACAGACGTATTACACAGAGAACATATACATATTACACAGGGAACATATACATATTACACAGAGGACAAAGACATATTACACAGAGAACATATACATATTACACAGAGGACACAGACATTTTACACAGAGAACATATACATATTACACAGAGGACACAGACATATTACACAGAGAACATAGACGTATTACATAGAGAACATAGACGTATTACACACAGAACACAGGCATATTACACAGAGAACATAGACTATAACACACAGAACACAGGCATATTACACAGAGAACATAGACGTATTACACACAGAACATATACATATTACACAGAGGACACAGACATATTACACAGAGAACATAGACATATTACACAGAGGACATATACATATTATACAGAGAACATATACATATTACACACAGAACACAGACATATTACACAGAGAACATAGACGTATTACACAGAGAACACAGACATTTTACACAGAGAACATATACATATTACACAGAGGACACAGACATATTACACAGAGAACATAGACATATTACACAGAGGACATATACATATTACACAGAGAACATATACATATTACACACAGAACACAGACATATTACACAGAGAACATAGACGTATTGCACAGAGAACATATACATATTACACAGAGAACATAGACATATTACACAGAGTACATAGACGTATTACACAGAGAACACAGGCATATTACACAGAGAACATAGACGTATTACATAGAGAACATAGACGTATTACACACAGAACACAGGCATATTACACAGAGAACATAGACTATAACACAGAGAACACAGGCATATTACACAGAGAACATAGACGTATTACACACAGAACATATACATATTACACAGAGGACACAGACATATTACACAGAGAACATAGACATATTACACAGAGGACATATACATATTATACAGAGAACATATACATATTACACACAGAACACAGACATATTACACAGAGAACATAGACGTATTACACAGAGAACACAGACATATTACACAGAGAACATAGACATATTACACAGAGAACACAGGCATATTACACAGAGAACACAGGCATATTACACAGAGAACATAGACGTATTACACAGACAACACAGACGTATTACACACAGAACACAGGCATATTACACAGAGAACATAGACTATAAAACAGAGAACACAGGCATATTACACAGAGAACATAGACGTATTACACAGAGAACACAGACATATTACAAAGATAACATATAGATACAAACATAAACAGAGACCATAGACATATTGCACAGAGAACATAGACGCATTACACAGAGAACATAGACATATTACACAGAGAACATAGACGTATAACACAGAGAACACAGACATACAAAGATAACATATAGATACAAACATAAACAGATACTATAGGCGTATTACACAGAGAACATAGACGTATTACACAGAGAACACAGGCATGCAAAGATAACATATAGATACAAAAATAAACAGATACTATAGACGTACTGCACAGAGAACATATACATATTACACAGAGGACACAGGCATATTACACAGAGAACAAAGACGTATTACACAGAGAACACAGACATATTACACAGAGAACACAGACATATTACACAGAGAACATAGACGTATTACACAGAGAACATAGACATATTACACAGAGGACACAGGCATATTACACAGAGAACATAGATATACTACACAGAGAACAAAGATGTATTACGCAGAGAACATATACATATTACACAGAGGACACAGACAGGTTACACAGAGAACATATACATATTACACAGAGAACATATACATATTACACATACACATAGACGTATGAATCGAAAAACCGATGTGCAAACTTTTATAAAATCCGCTACGCTGATTTATACAGCTTGCACATCGGTTTTTCGATTGACCCGAAAAAATACACAGTCAATCATTAATTACATTTAGAACACAGACATATTACACAGAGAACATAGACATACATATGCTCTAGGTCGTAGCAGGATCACGCGGGGTACATGGGGATAATAGGTTTTATTCCCCGGGCCGCATAAAACCCCATGTACCCCGATTGATCCTTCTTCAACGAATTTATCTTACCGTCATGTTTTGATATGACATTGTAAAATAATTCAAATAAATTCCAAATTGACAGAAAACAGCTGCTCGATTGAGCAAAGGTTAGTTTGAGCTATGTCATGTGACATCCATTGGCTCGGGAAAAGCGTGCGGCTTTTTGCTTTGAAACCGGGTATAACGGATGTATTCTGTCTCTCAGAAATGCACGAGCAGCCTGTAGTGCTCTTGGCGGGGTATAAGAGATTTATTCCCCCGCTGAGAAATTTAATACCCTCCAAGTCGGGTTACACAGTATTTTATCAAGAACACGTGGATCAATCAGATCTCATCATTCTGATATGGAGGTATGATAAAGGTATTTCACCAAACTGTTTAATGTCTACTAATTGAGTTTCGAAACAATCGGTAACACATTCACACCTAAACTCTAAACATCAATACGAGTTTCCTAATATTTTGATCAGTGTTGAGATCCCATATTACGATGAAACAGGACATGACTTCAAAATGCAATGTTCACCAGACATGTTAAGTTAATCTTTGTCAATGACATACGGACTAACCTGAATTTGTAACAGCTGCCAGTTGGGCCTTTTCATTTATGGGAGCCCAGTAGGACCACATCACATAGAGTGAAGGATTGATGGTGCCCTGGAAGAAACAAAGCAATTTCTCAAAATGAGGAACACATATCAATTTGATGTAAATCATATTAATTTAAGTGTTTATTTGGCTGTGAATTATCATTTTGAAAAATTTTAACGAATTGGGCCTAAAGCAACATGAAGAAGAGTTTGAAGCTAGATTTTCCCTTGAATGTTTGTTTGTTTTTTAACTCCGCACTCAGCAATATGTTGTCTACCCCGGATCCATTCCACACCACTCGCCCCTTTCCGTAACCTGCAAGATGACTCGTCCCCCTCATTCGTCACCACTCGCCCCTTTCCGTAACCTGCAAGATGACTCGTCCCCCTCATTCGTCACCACTCGCCCCTTTCCGTAACCTGCAAGATGACTCGTCCCCCTCATTCGTCACCACTCGCCCCTTTCCGTAACCTGCAAGATGACTCGTCCCCCTCATTCGTCACCACTCGCCCCTTTCCGTAACCTGCAAGAAGACTCGTCCCCCTCATTTGTCACCACTCGCCCCTTTCCGTAACCTGCAAGATGACTCGTCCCCCTCATTCGTCACCACTCGCCCCTTTCCGTAACCTGCAAGAAGACTCGTCCCCCTATCGATCAATGTTATGTGCGAAAATACGACAAACCAATCAGAATGTGCGCATGATTTCAAGTTCTTCGTCAAAGAATCCCTCAGAAATAATTTTTGATTTTGCATATGTCTTGCATCTAAAAATATACCCAAGACACAGTTAAATGTGTTCAATCATACTGTATAATTCCGCATGTCCCGATGTGCTTTAAATTGCATCTGAAATATATATAATACATGGGGAAATAATATGTTAACCATTAGGCAACGAGTTGACAATTGTTTTAGGTATGCCCGTTTGCGCTAAGACGGAACCCGGTCGCAAAAATGGCCATGAGAGATCTAGAGGCACGAGTCGCTATTCGGCATGTCCCGGAATAACACGAGTTGGTCACGAATGCCCCGGATCTTAATGGGTCTTCGAATGCAAATGTTTCTAACTTGATGCCGTCTGTGTATGAAAAGCTATTAAGAACACGATTTTTGAATCGGCATCTTATTGTTTCTTATAATTACATTTAGTACTAACGACTAAATGACTTTATCGCGCGTATCCAAACCATGGGCTAATTACGTCTGTAACCCAACCACCCCTCGTAACCCAATCACCCCGGGCCACCACTCGGCACCGTGCCCGGGGAATAATCCCGCGCAAGCATCATCCCGCCCTTTGTTAGTCGGTCATTCGCGAGCAACCCTTCCCCAAGTACACACGTGTGTCACCGTATCTAATCGCTTTCTTTCGCTTTGGACGTTTCTTTTGTACCCAGTCGCGACCGTTTTGTCGATTACGCTTCGAATACCATCTATTCCAACACTCGCCGTATCGCATTTACACAATCGCGACCGTTTCGCCGATTACGCTTTAAATACCATCTATTTTCAGCACTCGCCGTATCGCATTTATTCCGTTCTACTCCCGAACTCCACCCTCGGGACAATTTACGCTTGTGGAATACCAACTCACCACCTCGACCTTTCGTGATGCCTCCAAAGAGAAGAGCAACCGTCAACCACAAGCTTGTGAGGGGAGCCAAGCAGCCCAGGACAACCAGAAGACAAACCCCTGGAGTACACATTGTACAGGAGGCAACAGCTGATGGTGAGTCTGCCAATTACGGCAATATCGAAGGTGGCAACAGAATTAACGTACAATCGGCGCAGCTTGTAAATGCCGCACAGGCTGCCAACTCGGCTACCCAGGTAAACGAGCAACTGGAAAAAATACTCCAGTTGCTGGAACATTCAGCGCCTGGCCCGGTTAGCGCAAACCAACAGGTAAGGCGTGGTTTTAGTTCGCCCGCCATTTCGCCCAACATAGGGAGAATCCCCGATGCCCTCAACGAGGCCGACGGTGACGCGGCTTGGCCAGCCAATCACACCGCAGGATACGGGGATTCCCTTTCCTTCCGTGCGGACGGGATAGACGCGCACGTCAAACAACAGGTGAGGGAAAAAATCTGGCGTGGCGAGTATGTCGACCTCGGCACAATCCTACCAAACACCGAGGGAAGTCACGAGGACGGTACGATTACCATTGCGTACGACTCCTCAGGTAAGGTAATTTTAAACCAATTAAGCAGCAACCAAAGCGTCTGTCCCTGGCGAGCTGGACTTCAGCTTTCCACATTTTCATGTGTATATATGTTAGTAGGCACTCCGAGGTCCGCACAACCCAGGGGTTGCTGTCCTACATGGAAACCATAAGGACGGCGGCACTTCGATTCGGGGGGGATGCCTGGTCAACCTACGACCAACAATTCCGGCACAGAATGTCAAGGGACCCCTCACGACGCTGGGACAACATCGACGGGGAGTTGTGGCTGAAGTACATGGTAACACAGCAGGTACTACAACCAGAATCAGGCGGACGGGGCGCAATCACACGCGTACAGGGGGACATCGCCAGTCAGGTATGCTGGGATTTCAATAAATTTGGCTGTAGCAGGGTTAACTGTAAGTACACTCACAAATGCGGTAAGTGTGGCAAACATTCCCATAGCTCTAGGACCTGCTTTCGAGGGAATGGGGTCCAACCGACCCCATACAAGCCCAATCAGCCTTTTCTTAACAGAAAACAACCCGGCAAGGCAGGTAAATTCAATGGCCCCTTCCCCCGTGGACCTCAATGAAATGGCACCTTGGTTACGCCAATATGCTAGGGTCAATTACAGAGATGCTAATTATTTATGGGTAGGTTTTAGCTTTGGCTTTAAGCTCGAGTTCCAGGGAAGCCGCACGGGTCGCCTGGCACGAAACTTGCGATCAGCCACGCACCAAGACACGGCAGGCTACGTGAAACAAAAACTACAAAAGGAAGTCGACCTTGGCAGGATGGCGGGCCCCTTCAAGGACACCCCCCTAGACAACCTCCAAGTATCCCCAATAGGCCTGGTGCCCAAGAAGCAGCCAGGATATGGTCAGCACCTGGGTAAGCATGCGGAGGAATTCCGTCTAATTCACCATCTATCCTATCCCAGGGGTAAATCTATAAACGACTTCATAGACACAGAGGCCTGCTCCGTTGTGTACGCCAGATTTGATGAAGCTACCCATATGGTTCAACAACTGGGAAAGGGAGCACTACTAGCAAAATTCGACATTCAGTCGGCCTTTAGAATTATACCAGTCCACCCATCCGATTTCGAGCTGCTAGGCATCAGATTCGAAGGTGAGTTCTATTTCGATAAATGCTTACCATTTGGCTGCTCCATATCTTGCGCCATATTTGAAACGTTTAGTACCTTCTTGCAATGGTGCATGCAATCGCATCTTCCAACGCGTCCGATCATGCATTACCTGGACGACTTCCTAACGGGGGGCACAGCAGGCACCAGCCACTGCTCAGACAACCTCAACGGATGCGTGAATACACTTCAACAGCTTGGGGTTCCTATCGCGCACGACAAGACGGTGGGCCCCACAACCAAACTGACATTCCTAGGGCTGGAAATCGACACCATTGCGATGCAGATCAGAATCCCAGAGCCCAAGATCAAGGAGGCAACAAGGGAAATCCATGACATCCTGTCAACAGGTAACATCAAGGTCACAAAAAGGGCCCTTCAGTCCCTCATAGGCAAGCTTAACTTTATGTGCAGGGCTATACCAATGGCAAGGGCATTCAGCCGCAGGCTAATCGATCTGCTTAGCAAAGGTAAGCAACCATTTCACCACATTAGGATTACCAGCTGGGTCAAGGAAGACCTACAAATGTGGTTAACATTTCTTACGAGTTACAACGGCATTTCAGTGTTTCAGGACCAACTATGGGTGGACAGCGATTTCCTCCAGCTGTTTTCAGACGCAGCGGGCGGCGCCGGCTTTGGGGCCTACATGCAGGGCAAATGGTTTAACGGCGCATGGCCAACCCAGTGGGTGACGGATGGAACTACACGGGACTTGACGCTCCTGGAGCTGTTCCCCATCACACTGGCCATCCAAATCTGGGGCAAGCAACTCGCAAACAAAAAGGTCCTCTTTTACTGCGACAACCAAGCCGTCGTAACAATAATCAACAAGCAGTCAACCAAGGCCCCCAGAGTGATGAGCCTACTCCGTCGCCTAATCCTGCAATGCCTCCGATATAATATTATGTTTAAGGCAAAGTATGTATGTTCCACTGCTAACACTATTGCCGATGCTCTCTCGAGGTTTCAGCTCAAACGCTTCCGAGAGGCAGCACCAGCCGCGGACCAGAACCCCACACCTATCCCGTGCAACATATGGCTGATCTGAGGCAGGAAGCCGGCAGACTCCTACAACAATCTCTGTGTACTAATACATGGGCCACTTACCAAACAGGCATCAATGCCTTGCACCAGTTCCGGTCCGCACACCAGCTACAAGAGGTGTGGCCAGTCCCGCTGGATCAGGTCGTAAACTTTATTGCTTATCTGTCAGTCACTCACCACTCCCCCAACACAGTCAAGACTTACATTGCAGCGCTGTCTTCACACCACAAATTCCACGGGCTCACCGACTGTACAAACCATTTCCTGGTAGGCAAGATTGTAACTGGCTTACACAAATCAGCGGGCCGTCCAGACACCAGAAAACCGATCACTGCAGATCTGCTGCAGGTAGTAACCAACAATCTGCCTCACGTATGCTCATCAGCATACGAAGCCAGGCTGTTCAAGGCAGTCTACTGCACAGCCTTCTTCGGCTTCTTTAGGGTTAGCGAACTGGTACAAACTGGACCCTCAAAAACAGGTTGCGCCATCCAGAATCTAAGCTTCTCGGGCAACCCCCAGCAGCTTGCAATCCATTTACCACACTCAAAGTCCGATCAGTACAGGATGGGGACAACAGTTACAATGTCACCTATACCAGGTAACCCGCTATGTCCGGTAGTCGCCATCAAGCACTACCTGGAGGCGCGCCCCTCCGGCCCACAACATGCATTCGTCCACTTTGACCATTCCCCCATTACAAGGTACCAATTCCAGGCACTCCTAAAAAAGGCCTTAGCACACAGCAACATAAACACGGCCTGCTATTCTTCGCACTCCTTCCGCATTGGGGCAGCCACATCAGCTGCCATGAACGGGGTGCCCGAACACCTCATACAACAATACGGCAGGTGGAAATCAGATTGCTACAATGCTTAGATACGCCTACCAACAAATTCAATGTTGCACAACTAATTCAAATAGTCTTTCATGGTACTTACTACACTTCTTATTGTTTACAGTTTGGATGGTGGGATCCAGCTACATGGCCAGGGCACGGCAGTACTTGCTCCTGAAGGGCACCAGTCCGAACCAACCGAGGATGCTATGGCTGGCACGAGGGGGGATGAGGTGGAAGGAGCTGGACACCATTCTGGATGCACAGGTCAAGGCGACACGGCGCAGCCCCAGAGCCCTCATCATTCACCTGGGCTCGAACGACCTGTGCTCGGTCAAGGGCAGCCAACTCTACCTTGACATGGTGGCATCAATCCTCCGGATACAACTCCAGCTTCCTGACACCAGGATCATCGTATCCTCAATGCTGCCCAGGCGCTACTGGCACGATGCCAGGGACCCACTAAAGATCGAGGGGATGCGGAAGAATATCAACCGCCGACTGGCCAACCGAGTCAAAGAGCTCGGCGGTACAATGGTGCCACATCCCCAGATCCTGGCATCAGACAAGACATGGTACGCCTGGGAGGGCGTCCACCTCAGCGACAAAGGACTGTGTGTGTTTACGGACAATTTATTGCATGCCCTGGCGCTCGTTTTGCGCCAGTAAGGATATTATCTCCACAGGTTAGTGTTTCCTTTCAGTACATAGGCAAGCCGGGCAACAATGCTATCTCCGCGTATAGCGTGGCCGTGGGTGTGGGGTAGCACTCAGGTGCTTTGTGGCGGGGTTCTTGTGGGCTACACTGCTAGTAACAAATTAACTTGCTTCCAAATTAATACTTGTGCTTAAGGCTACCTGCTTTTCAGCGGGAACCTTTCCGGGGTTACCTGCTTCTCAGTGGGAACCTTGTCTTTCCCGACTTTTCAGCCGGGGAATCGTAAAATAACATACGTTGGGGCAAACAATTGCCACGTATATGGGCCCGGCGGCGGAAGTCGTCTTGTCAAGCGGTAGCTGACAGTTGGGTCCGCGGCGGGGGCCGCACAATGGTTTTGCTAATGGGGCCGGGCAGTGTGATCTGCTTTGGCCGGCTACCTGGGGCCGGGCAGCGGTAGTCTGACTTAGGCCAGCAGCGTGGAGCTGCTTTTGGCAACGTGGGAGTTGCCAAGCAATGGTAGCGGTTAAATATGCTACCGTGGGGGCCGGACAGCGGTAGCAGTCCCAGGCCAGCAGCGCTAGCTGCAATCGCCGTCGGCCACGCGCGTGGCCATGGCAACGGTAGCATTTTGGTATACACAATTAGCAGCTAAGTAGCCCACTAGTACCTGCACACCCTCGGCCATTTAACCCAACCTCATCTTCTGTTTTTATTATAGGCACGGGCACCCACGGCTCGGTGGCCCGTGCCTCTCCTTGGCATATCGCGGGATAATCGATCTTGGGGGAAACTGCGCACTATATTTCCAGGTTGCACCTTGCTAGGTATCATCAGGTAAGAATGTTGTATTCATACGCCACTCTTATCACAACAACGTCTATTTCAATGTTGGATTTAGATAATAAGCAAAGTTTAATTGAGTAATAAATAAATTACTCCACTCGTCCCCGTTAGATACCGTTCTCGTGTACTTCAAAACGTATCTAACCACGTCTTTGAAAGGCATTTAGAAGTGATACAAATAAGGAAGAGAATATATGGATGTCACCTTTTTTATTATGAGGAACACAACCCAAAACGCAAAGTGCTTGCGACTTATTCGTCATTCATTCAGTACAACACAAGCTGTGTAGCATGCTTGTTCTTCCTCTTGCTTGGTCAATGGAGAGTGATGGTTGAACGTCATGTTCTTGAATTCATTGATAAACACATGAAAACTTGTTTGTTTGTTTGTTTCTTTGTTTGTTTCTTTGTTTCTTTGTTATTTAACGCCGCGCTCAGCAATATTGCAGCTATATGACGGCGGTCTGTAAATAATCGAGTCTGGACCAGACAATCCACTGATTGATATCATGAGCATCGATCTGCACAAATGATGACAAAATTTAGATCTACTTCTATGGCATACACATGGTTACTATGAATTGAGAAATCCAATATACACATTTCGACAAACTGTTGTACAGCAAGTTCAAGAAACAAAATGTTCAGGATTGTGAAAAAAGTCTCCACCCTCGAGCTCTTCTAGCCTTCACATCATGAACCCTACTGCAAGTACAGTAAGCTACGTTTATAACGAACACGGTTATAACGAACTGACAGATAAAACCAACTTAATTTTGGTCCCGGCCATTTGCTGTATATGTGCTGTATATATAGAGAATCTCACCCTCGTGTCTTTTGATATCAAATATATCAACACGAGTTGATAAAAGTGGAAAAATTCCGAGGCTTGCCGAGGATTTTTGCCACTTTTATCTACGAGTGTTGATATATTTGATATCAAAAGACACGAGGGTGAGATTTTATTTATAATCTAACATCATTCTTCCAACTTTTACAATTTGTAGACAGTAATTAGCAGTGACTTCAGTGTAAAAAGTACAGCTAACAGCTTCAGTAGCAGAGTAGTGATGTCATTTGATTGTGATGTCAGGGTAACCAGTGATGTCAAACGGTCTGCAAAGCATTGTGATGTAATTTCATTGCAGCGATATCTACAGTGTAGATATCGCTTGATCTAATCCAAGCGATATCTCCTGTGGGAGCCAGTTTTGTATGATAAATGCTTATAACGAACTGCGGTTTAAACGAACTAAAATTAGAAGTCCCTTTGAGTTCGTTATAACCGTACTTTACTGCACTAAACAATGATAACGAGTACCATGTAATACTTCCCAGTGCTCTTTACAAATGTGAACTAGTTACCAACCTCTCGAAATCAGACTTCACAAATGTGGAAGGAGTTCAAAGAGCTTTTCCTAGACGTGTATAACATTTACCTAAGAGATCACCGACTGCAACCACTAAAGGCACACCTGGACTGTGGTCAATGCAGCCATACATTGATAAACGTAAACTGCCGGACGCTTATGAAGACAGGAAAATAAATTCACATCAAAGAAAATAATCCTATGGAAATTTGTTAATTATTTTTTCAGGAATAAGAAGCTCACAAAACGACTTTTTCCCAGAGCTGTTTGACATTCAAGAATACAACCTACATGATGTGATGAAAACCTTGGGAACATTGAATTCATTGACAAATACCGTTTGAGTAAGACAATAACATACACGCTGTCATCTTATGAAAAATATATGTATCGGTCTGCTGTGACTGCCATACTGTTTGACTACCCTTTTCCATCCTCATTTTACTACTCATGTATTATGGAAATAGCCTACGTTCGTCCCCAATTCAGGTGGTTGAAGCAGTCGCTCGTCACGCCGAAGACCCGGGTTCGATTCCCGACATGGGTACAATGTGTGAAGCCCATTTCTGGTGTCTATGTTTAGACCTCAACTGGCCATCCTATCAGAATCAAGTACATATAAAAATGTTAATATTTATTTTTCATCCCAGATTTATTACTGACTGATATTTTTGTATTTGACGTTATCTTGTGCACTGCTCTTAATAGCAGTGAAAAACATAAAGTATATTTCGGGCCACGCCCCCTCATCAGCTGACTCATCCCCACGTCACCCCACCCCACCCCACCCCACCCCACCCCACACAGACACAAACAGAGACACACAAACACACACAACAAAGCCGACACACGTGATATGACTGAAATACCGCTCAAGGAGGCATAAACTCACTCACCCACTCACCTTGGCAGTAAACAATTGTCTGTTTGTTTGTTTATTGTTTTTTTTGTTTTCTTGTTATTTATCGACACTCTTAGCAATATTCTAGCTACATGTCGCCGGTCTGTAAATAATCGAGTCCGGACCAGACAATCCAGTGACTGACATCATGGTAGTAAACAAATAATGTGAATTAAGAAAAACGTATGACCCCAGGAATATAGTGAGCTTTTAGTAAGATTCCAGCAATATCACGGCGGGAATTGAACCCGGGTATTCGGCGTGACAAGCGAACACTTTTACCACTAGGCTACCCGACCGCCACCCCACCCCCATCCCCCACCCATTCCCCAACAACCTCTCCCCCCACCCACAACCACCCCACCCCCACCCACCCCACCCCCACATTCCCCCCACAGGAATATAGAGTCTCTTCTATTTTTCATACAAATGCCAACAAGAAAAGGCAAATTACTACAAAATGTTCCTCTGCAAATTCACCACGCTCTATGAAAATTTTATTAGACTTTAAAATTGTACTTAAGGCCTGTGAGTCCCATGAATACATTTATACTATTTATACTCACCGATGATACTCCCACGATGATCCGCATGGCAATGGCGAGATATATATTTGTTCTGAGGGCCAATGGAATCAACAAGGTGGCTATGGAGGCTGCGGTCAAAGATGTAGCCACCACTCTCTTTGGCCCAAACTTGGAGGCGAGTGTACCTCCCACCAGGGGAGTCAACAGGTACCCGTAGAAATAGCTGGAGAGAAGTGTCCCTTCCAACTCGGCTGGCACATACGGGTTGATTCTCTGAAAAATGTCAATGTCGTCATGTTCATAAAATGGTATGCCTTCATTACCGAAAGTCCGAAATTGTATGTAAGACTGTCTGACTAGAATCCACCCATCACTGCGACTTCCTATCTTTTCCAGTGCGGTCGGGTAGCCTAGTGGTTAAAGCGTTAGCTTGTCACCCCGAAGACCCGGGTTCGATTCCCGATATGGGTATTATGTGTGAAGCCTATTTCTGGTGTCCTCCGCCGTGATATTGCTGGAATATTGCGAAAAGCGGCGTAAAACCATATTCACTCACTCACGATCTTTTCCACTGCTACTTAACTAAATCCATCTCGTCAATTCCCTAATGAATGACGGATTTACCTGAACGAATACACCACTGTGTTTGTCCATGGAACTTTGCATATCTTTAATTTAGCATGAGTAACAATAATGTCTTAAGGCCATTTGTGACCAACTCGTGTTATTCCGGGACAAGCCGAATAGCGACTCGTGCCCCTCTCAGGCCATTTTTGCGACCGGGTTCCGTCTTAGCGCAAACGGGCATACCTAAAATAATTGTCATGTTGCCTAATGGTTAACATATATTTCCCCATATATTATATATATTTCAGATGCAATTTGAAGCACATCCGGACATGCGGAAATATACAGTATAATTGAACACATGTAACTGTGTCTTGGGTATATTTTTAGATCAAGACATATATAAAATCAAAAATTATTTTTGAGGGACTCTTTGACGAAGAATCATGCGCGCATTCTGATTGGTTTGTCGTATTTTCGCACATAACATTCATCCATAGGGGGACGAGTCTTCTTGTAGGTTACGGAAAGGGGCGAGTGGTGACGAATGGGTTTAAGGAAGCTCGTGTTTTAAGGTATGGTGGTCGTGGAGCACCATGAACTCTCCTTGCCTGTGATAGCCCATGCTGCCTATGACACCGGGTGTTCTCTTAAGCATCTATACATGAACTTTCATAACGCGGTAATATCACAGGTTCCGTAATTGCTGTGCCTTCCTTATGACTTGTTAAAGTGTTATTAATACATTGCTGGGAGTCGGCTCAGTGTTTTGCTGATGCTGTTCTGCTTGATGTAACAATTACTGGATCTTCTTTTGTTGCAGATGACTTGATAATATCCTAATGCATGTTTAATGCCGTAGTCAGCAATATTCCCGCCATTGCCATAATCTAGACTGGGCAAAGCAGTAGCTGAGAGCAATAAAAGCTATTTATTTATTTTTTTTATTTGTCGTTTAACTTCACTCAGCAATGTTCTAGCTATATGACGGGGGGAGGGGGGGGGGGGGGGGGGATGTGTCTGTGAATAATCGAGTCTGAACCAGACAATCCAGTGATTGACACCAAGAGCATCAATCCACGCGACTGGGATACGATAACATGCATCAAACTAGTCAGCGAGTCTGACCATCCGATCTCGTTAGTCACCTCTTACGAGTTGGGTTGGGTTGGGTTGCTGAGGAACAATTCGAACCCGCATCTTTAATAGCACCGATTCCCGATGACACACAATCAGCCATGACGGAGCCTGACTACCCGATCCCCAATCTCAGGTGCTTCATACGATCTCAGGGGCTTACATTCACTCTATTGTCTTTAAAAAAACCAAAGCTATTTATTATATTGGTTTTCTGTGCAAGAAGGTGAGGTGAGGTGACATAGGGATTAACGTCGCGTCCAAGTTTATTGCACTTATATTGCCACGTACTCGCACGTGTTTGTGTGGCTGCTTGCGCTAGTCCGGACTAATGCCGATTTCATATTGCTAGCCCAACGAGATACCATGCCTCAGTATAACATGAATACCCCGCTCAGACACAGAATACTGCCTCCGAGCCGACCAGTCTTTAATGACGAGTGCCAGACAACAAACAAGTGCCGTCTTTTATGACGCGGCTGGGTATCGAACCCCGGACCTTCCGCGCTCTGGGCGGCCGCTCTACCACTAGACCAAGGAGGCGGTCTTCGGGCGGACGCTCTACCACTAGGCCGCGGAGGCGGTCAGTGCAAGACAAGTCATGTGTTACTTTTGATCTTTCAGTCTTTGAATATCGCTCGATGCCTTCCATTAATCTATGTTTTCCTATCCTACGACTTCATGTCGATCAACCTACCTTGTCCTCAGTATGCTCCAATCCCTGTAACGTACGATTGTTCGCTGTGAAACTGGTGACATTTGTGACATTGCTCTCGGTCCAGTTCGATACATCCACGGGTATTATTTCCATACACACAAACGCCATGCTCAGACAATGGCGGAATGTATACAATAGCAGCGACGCCACGAAACTCATATAACACGTGGTCCATCGACAGGAAGTGAACTTTGACACAAACGTGTCATGGGGAGGTAACTCTACTTTTTTGGTTTTGTTCTCCTGCACTCGGGATCCTTGTCGACCCAAAGCCTCGCCATTTGTAAAACCTGTAACAAATATAAAGAATCACACACGAGATACGAGTGATTACGGCAAATACACTGCCGGACATAGGAGTGAGTGGGCGAGTGTGGTTTTACGCCGCTTTTAGCAATATTCCAGCAATATCACGGCGGGGGACACCAGAAATGGGCTTCACACATTGTACCCATGTCGGGACTCGAACCGGGCATAGGAACGTATACACCTAAAATTGGATTTGACCGTAATGGTACAAACGGTATACTTGTGTTTGATTGTTGCTAAAAATGATAAAACACGCAAGAAATGGTTATTCGATAGTGATGTATACTAGCCACATAAAGAAACTGTGCACGGAGAAAATAGAGATATAAGGGCACACCGTCCATATATGAAAGATAGGTTTGAACACAGCAATTATTGGAGACATTCAAAGGCTCATGCACGTGGCATGCGATATGACGTCATTGATGGGGGCCTATGGACGTGCAATGTGTTACTACACGTGCATCCTGTGCAGCTGTACACAGCATGTGCAACTCAAAATTCGCTGTCACTTTGGAAAGCATGATCTGTGGTCATTCAAAAATTCAAAACTTCTCAGGCGCAGACACAAGCATATCACAAGCTAATCATGCCAGGATTGACAGCTGCACAGCGTCATGAAGCCATTGGAATGATCCGAGCGGGAATGAGGCAACAACAGGTGGCAACACATTTCCAATGCCATCGTAACACAATATCGGCATTGGTGAGGCGTTATCAGAACACAAATGACGTTGCCGACCACCCACGTTCATGACGTCCCCAAGTAACGACGCCAAGACAGGACAGATGGATTCGAGTTACACATCTCCGACACAGGTTCCAAACGGCAGTAACGACGTCCCAGACAATTCCTGGACTGCGACGCATCCATCCCAACACTGTCAGGAATCGTTTACGTCAGTACGGGATTCGACCACGACGCCCTGCCATACGTCCCATCCTGACACACCGTCATCGAGTCAACCGTCTAAGATCCATATGGTGTCGAAATCATGTTCGCCAACCTCGAATATGGTGGAGAAATGTTGTCTTTACAGATGAATCGAGGTTCAACATTTCCCACAGTGACGGGCGCCAACGTGTCTACCGGCGTTTGGGAGAACGTTATGCACGCAACTGTATTGTGGAGAGGAATCGTTTTGGAGGTGGCTCTGTGATGATTTGGGGTGGGATAACAGCACGGCACCGAACCCCTTTGGTGGTTGTTCAGGGCAATCTCACCGGTGTTGGCTACAGAGATCAGATTCTGAGGCCTGTGGTCATTCCTTTCCTGCAACGTCATGGCCCGGGATTGACATTTCAACAGGACAACGCTCGTCCTCACACGGCTAGGGTCGCAATGGATTTCCTTCACCATAACAATGTCATGTTACTGCCATGGCCTGCAATTTCTCCAGATCTCTCCCCAATAGAGCATGTGTGGGATGAAATGGAGCGCCGACTGCGTCGTCTTCCACATCCTCCAGATAACGTCCGTGACTTGGCACAGGATTTAAGGAGGATATGGCAGGCCATTCCCCAGGCCTTCCATGCCCATTTGGTGGACTCCATGCGTCGCCGATGCACTGCTGTGATTCACGCACAGTGTGGTCATACCCGTTATTGACTTTGTGACTTTGTCGTTTGACCCCCTACTCCATTTTGATCTTCTGACGTCATCGTAACAGATGTTGTTCAGGTCCCGTTGATATTTTCTTATGGTCCGATCATTCAGCTGCTACAGCGTCTGCATCATTTTGTTCTTGCTGTATTGTATTTCAATCCAGAATATATTTTCTCCGTGCACAGTTTCTTTATGTGGCTAGTATATTTTAGGAGGGGATGACAGCTGTATTTTGAACCTTCAGCCTGCAATGTTTCGGCGACTATTCTCAGTCTAGTAACGTTTTAATAACATGTATATTTTTTACCAACTCCAATTTTCAAGTGTATTATACATTCTGTTCATTGTGGACTATCGTTGACCATTTGTTACATATGTCACAGCTGATATTACAGGTGGTTCGTGGTCTCAATGGTCCTGGGCCCCGTTCCTCAAAGCGATCTTAGCACTAAGGTGATCGTAAGTCCCATACTTTAACATCGGTTTACGATCATCCTAGTGCTAAGATCGTTTTGAGGAACGGGGCCCTGTTCGTATATAGGGTAAGACCAGACTTGAGTCCTCCGTGTTGTAGAATTCATGGACTGCAGCGACAACTGCAGCAGCAACTGTGTCAACGGTAGATGTTTTCCGTTGACGGCGCGTGTACGCTTGTACCCGGATGGATGGGAGATAAATGTCCAAAGGGTGAGTTTCATCACATTTGTACGATTTGTAGAATTCAGTTGTGTAGTGTCAATATATTATCCAAACTATGTAATGTTTGCCTGATTGATCATGTAAAAATCATAAACGACAGTATTAATATCCTTATCGCGAGTGCTATTGCAAGGAGTGAGTGGGTGAGTATGGTTGTACGCCGCTTCTAGCAATATTCCAGCAATATCACGGCGGGGGACACCAGAAATGGGCTTCACACATTGTACCCATGTCGGGATTCGAACCTGGGTCTTCGGCGTGACGAGCGAACGCTTTAACCACTAGGCTACCCGACCTGCCCCTATTGCAAGGAAAGGCCTCGTCTTTCACTTGTTCAACAAAGTGATCGCAACACTAGCAGTGTCATAAGTCCGTTAGTATGGGGTGAGGACAGGCTAGAGCTAAGAACGGGGTCCTGAAGCCCAATCTGTGAGAACTAATATTTGTTCGAGCACAAGGCGAAGTATCCGCCATGATTTACTGGTACCAGAACTGACGTCACGGACGTTGATGACACGTGACATCCGCCATGATGAATCATCAATTAAATTCCCAAATGATGTAACCAGTCTCCTCTCATCTTCACCGGGGGTGGTCGGGTAGCCTAGTGGTTAAAGCGTTCGCTCGTCACGCTGAAGACCCGGGTTCGATTCCCGACATGGGTACAATGTGTGAAGCCCATTTCTGGTGCCCCCCGCCGTGACATTGCTGGAATATTGCTGAAAGCGGCGTAAAACCAAACCCACTCACTCACTCTTCTTCACCATTGCCAGGCCGCCAGCTGGGGACGTATGGACGTGAATGCAGTAACAAATGTACCACGTGCAGACATGAGAGCTGTCACCCTGGCAACGGTACGTGCATTATGGGATGTCAGCAGGGATGGACCGGAACTCAGTGCACTACAGGTTAAGATTTCATCTGAGCTTTACAAGGGCAGACTCATGATGCATCACCCTAATTTTACAATGGTGAGGTGCGGTGAAATGGGGTTTAACGTCGCGTCCAAGATTATTGCACTTATATAGCGACGTGCATGTACGTGTGTGTGTTTGTGTGGCTGCTTGTACTAGTCCGGACTGATGCCGATTTATAGTGCTAGCACACTGAGATACCATGCCGCAGTTTAACACGAATATCCCACTCAGACACAGTATACTGACTCCGAGCCGACCAGTCCTTGTTTTAGCCCGAGCGCCAGACAGGGTAACAACAAGTACCATCTTTTAACGTCTTTTGGTATGACGCGGCCGGGGATCGAACCCCGGACCTTCCGCTCTCCGGGCGGACGCTGTACCATTAGACCACGGAGGCGGTCTAATTTTACAATGAATTAGGAGCAGAATACGTAAAGTATATTGAATAAACGTATCAACAATGGGCACATGGATGACGATTGCAACACAATGATACTATTGATATTTTTGTTGAACTGCACAGAGTAGAAGGCGTTTGCAATATTTAGTAAGTTCCTAATGTGTATGAAAATATATCAAATCAATACAGATCAATACTCATGATGTCAATCACCGGATTGTCTGGTCCAGAGTCCAGACTAGCTTATTTAAACACCGCCGTCATGTCGCCCAACTGTCACGTGACATCGTAGCTGTAAATGTGACGTAACTGCCCCTAATTCGGCCCCTCGTGTCCATCCTGTGCATGTACAGCCCGTTTAGTGTCAGCATGTGTAACAGTTCAAGTCTTCACACCCTGGGTGACACTGCCCTAGTTAACGGACAGGGTTACTTTTTTAAACAAAATCTGTAACAGTCGATAACATTGATAGCAGTGCTGGATGATGATGATAAATATGTCCGGCCACGTGGGGAAGACTTATTTCTGTGAGACACGTGAGCCATTAGCAGGACCATACATTCACCTCGGATGATTTTGTGCCGATAGTAAATGATGATATCGTATAGATATATGCATTGTAATCAAACGAATTATATCGTGATATTAAATACACGTACGGGATAATGGATTCAGATGTTGTTGAGACCGCCCCCGTGGTGTATTTGATAGTGCGTCTGCCCGGAGAGCGGAAGGACGGTGGGTCGGTACTCTGACCGCGTCGCACCGAGGACGACCCTACCTGAGGCTCGGCATTAATACCCCCATCACACCAAACTAGTTCTCAATACGTTCGTAAAAAAATTGTCGAACGGGCTCCAACTGTGTATGAACGTAGTGGACGTTGTAGCAACTATTGACAGTCTTTTCAGAGCTCCAGATAAGCTGCGTATCTGCGTAAAATACGCATCAGAAATGCAGAAATACGCAGTAAAATAAAATCCAAGCGTATCAAATACGCAACGAACATTACAGATACGCTACAAAAATAAAACCTGTATCATCAAAATATTGTGAAGTAACCCTGCGTATTCGATTACCAAATCAACAACTTTTTTTGAAATTATAAACGGGCATTCCGTCAACCTTGCCAAACTCCACGATGACAGTTACATCATGATCATTTGCCATCACACTTTCTTGTGGAAGTATCGTGGTATTTTTTAGTCCTATAAAGCTCTCGAACCCACACAACACCAGGTTGCAGGGACTAGATGAATAGTGTTTTTAAATCAAGTCGGTAACAGAAATTTGAATACCCAGATAGAATTACTGATACCCAATGATTTTAAAATGCATGGGTAAAATACCCACAACACCAAAAGCTTATCTGGAGCTCTGGAGTCTTTTTACGAACTTCATGGACGGGCTCGGACGGGGAGGGTGCTCTAGAACTTTGAGTCTGCTCGAAATTTTATCCCGTCCATCCCGTTCTGCAATTAGTCGGATTGACAACGTACTCAAAACAAACGAGAAAGACGTATTACGAACGGAATTGCCGTACTTCGAACATACTAGGGACGTGTTACGACGTGGTGCAGTCGGACATAAACTTCAGTACGTGTGCGCACCGACCGGGTCGACCTCTCTTTGGAGGCATGATGTGTACAGCTCGGAGCCCTGAACTTGAATGAAGACTGACTACAACGCACTCGGTATCGATAGGAGTCGGGCCAGGACGGGCCAGGACACGAATACACACGCACTTGGGACGAGATGAGGACGTACTGCGAACGAGTTGGTCGGGTTAAGAATTATAGTAGTTAGAACTGGCTTATACGTACGTAGGTAGAACGAGGTTGAACTGGTTAAGAACGGGTTCAGAACGGCTACGGACGTGCTCGAACTGCTTCGAAACGTTGTCGAATGAGGTGAACGGGCACTTTTACACGATCTGAACTGGATACAATCGGACTGCGGACTGCATTCAAGTTCAGGGCTCCGAACTGTACACATCTTGCCTCCAAAGAGTAGACCCGGTCGGTGTGCACACGTACTGAAATTTATGTCCGACTGCACCACGTCGTAACACGTCCCTAGTAGGTTCGAAGTACGGCAATTCCGTTCGTAATACGTCTTTCTCGTTTTAAGTACGTTGTCAATCCGACTAATTGCAGAACGGGATGGACGGGATAAAATTTTGAGGAGATTCAAAGTTCTGGAGCACCCTCCCCGTCCGAGCCCGTCCATGATGTTCGTAAGAAGACTGTCAATAGTTGCTACTACGTCCACTACGTTCATACACAGTTGGAGCCCGTTCGACAACATTTTCACGAACGTATTGAGAACTAGTTTGGTGTGATAGGGGAATAAGGTGATAAAACAATTACAGGTCGGCTCGGGGTCAGTATACTGTGCCTGAGTGGGGTATCAATGTTAAACTGCGGCATGGTATCTCAGGGGGCTAGAACTATAAAACAGGCATAAGTCCGGTCTAGTACAAGCAGCCACACACCCGCCAATGCAGTGGGGCATTAACAGATCAACCTCTGTACCACTGGAACGGTATGACGCTGACACCCCAAACATAACAGATAGGGATGCCTGTAGTCGTTGATGCACTGATGCTAATTGCTTTGGCATTAGATGTAGTAACATGATGTTATTAGTGTAGTGATCAGCAGCAGAATCACCTGGAGTTGCAGCATGTGTTTGTTTGATGTTTAACGATGCACTCAGCTATATTCAAGCTATATGTAAATAATCGAGTCTGGACCAGACAATCCAGTGATGGACATCATATGCATCGATCCACGCGACTGGGATATGATGACATGCATCAATCAAGTCAGCGAGTCTGACCACCCGATCCCGTTAGTCGCCTCTTACGACAAGCATAGTCACCTTTTACGGCGAGCATGGGTTGCTGAAGACCTATTCTACCCCGGATCTTCACGGGTTGTTGTAGTGGTAGTGGGAGAGTGTGGTTTTACGCCGCTTTTAGCAATATTACAGCAACATGACGGCAGGGGACACCAAAAATGGGCTTCACACAATGTACTCATGTCGGGAATCGAACCCGGGTCTTCAGCGTGACGAGCAAACTCTTTAACCACAAGGCTACCCGACCGCCCCTGTAGTGGTAGTATTGGTAGTAGCGCAGTGTGATGTATTCTGTTACAAACAGTGAGTGAGTGAGTTTGGTTTTACGCCGCTTTTAGCTGTATTCCAGCAATATCACGGCGGGGGACACCAGAAATGGGCTTCACACATTGTACCCATGTCGGGAATCGAACCCGGGTCTTCGGCGTGACGAGCGAACGCTTTAACCACTAGGCTACCCGACCGCCCCTGTTACAAACAGGGCATTGCATATTTTGTAGGAGTAGAGAACGATGTTGTAGCTGTAGTGGTTGTATGTACCAGCAATCCAGATATAGGCGGAAAAGTGAAAATGGTAGAATGAATACCTCTTGTTCTTTAAAATGTATTTAAGATTAAGTTGAAACATTGGTGTTCCGGTATTTAGTAAACGATGTATTTAATAATGCCACACGTTGAAAAAAAATAGTTTTTGAAATATTTGATTCACAATATACTTATTATCCGTCTTTAAAAATAGTTATGCACGTGGCCAATATAATATATCATCAAACAGTATCAGGAAGTCATTTGACTATTCGCGTGTTTCTCAATCCTGTCTGCACCAGCCTTGGTTACCTCATACCAGTCAAACCGCCTCCGTGGTCTAGTTGTAGAGCGTCCGCCCGGAGAGCGGAAGGTCCGGGGTTCGATCCCCGGCCGCGTCATACAAAAAGACGTGAAAAGATTGTACTTCTTGTTACCCTGCCTGGCGCTCGGCATTAAGGGGCTAAAACAAGGACTGGTCGGCTCGAGACAGTATACTTGGACGCGACGTTAAACCCAATTTCACCTCACCTCATACCAGTCAAGCTAGCTTGCAATTCGCTAATAAAAAACATCATCAATGAAAACATGAAGCCAGGTGCACGTGCATGATATAGCAGCGTTAAAAACACACCATATTCGTTTGTTGCTATGAATGTGCACAGTTTGTGTAATAAGCTACGATGTAGTGAAGGTTGTACGATGTCCTACCTTTCATGCTGCGACATCCAACTCATGTACTATCTCGCGTCGCATATTTTATCTATATCCAATTGAATCATTCTTGCACACAGTAACATATATAAAGTCGTCCGTGTTATCTACCGCTACATGTGTGCGACATATTCATTTGTTGTCACTGAGACCTTTTTATTCCATGTTTGTTTTCGTAGGGCATTAAACTCTCTGTAGGTGCTGACTTGAGTATGTTGTGTGATCTATAGTGTTATGTATTATATGTTGTTTAGACAAAAAATAATATACATGGTTTTCTGTATATGTTTAAAAAAATAAAGAGACGTTTGAATGTGGACGTCAGTGAATATACGATATACTCCAGCAACATTCTAGCAATACATCAGCTATATTCCAGCAATATTCCCGCAACATTACAACGATATTCCAACAATATTCCATCTCTATTACAATATTCCAGCAATATTCCAACAGTATTCCAGCAATATTCCAGCTATATTTCAACGATATTCCAGCAATATTCCATCTTTATTTCAACGATATTCCAGCAATATTCCATCTCTATTCCAGCAATATTCCAGCTATATTCCAGCAACATTCCAGCAATATCCCAGCTATAGTCCAGCTATATTCCAGCAATATTCCAGCGACATTACAACAATATTCCAGCAATATTCCAGCACATGGGTACAATGTTAGAAGCCAATTTCTGGTGTCCCTCGCCGTGATATTGCTGGAATATTGCTAAAAGCGGCGTAAAACCATACTCAAGTTAAGTTTTTCCAAGTGACATAACATGATAAAACCAAAACATTTTCAAACCTAGCTCATTTCACGTTACTCTACTGATATACATATCATCACCTATTTTGTCGGATTCCTCATGGTGATGGCCTGCTGCTTGTGAGGGACAAGCCTTTCAATATTCTGGGGATAGAGGGTATTGGCTTTATACACTCTCTTCTCTCCTAGCTATCCGGGGGCACGGGTGGCCAAGTCGTCTAAGGCGCCGCGATTCGCTGTGCAGAGGTGCGTCCCTTGTGCACGCCAGAAACCTATGGTTGTGGGTTCGAATCCCGGTTCGCCCCGATTATGTTTCTAGGTTTGTCAGCACCATACCCGTGCTCGTGGGTTTCACCGAAGTGGTAAACGTCCAAGACCTGCATCACTTCGGGCTTTCCTCCCACATTAAGCTGACACGCCGCGATATAACTGGAATACTGTTAAAAGCGGCGTTAAACCCAACTCACTCACTTACTCTGAATGGATGGAGCTAACAGTTTCAACCCAGAATACATTATTATTCAGAGTGAGTGAGTATGGTTTTACGCCGCTTTTAGCATTATTCAAGCAAAATCACGGCGGCGGACACCAGAAATGGTCTTCACACATTGTACCCATATCGGGAATCGAACCCGGGTCTTCGGCGTGACGAGCGAACGCTTTAACCACTAGGCTACCCGACCGCCCCTGGACGTAGAAGTGAAAGACACCGGTATGGTGCTGACGAACCAGGGGTCGTAATATGATGCAGATAGAGTGAGTGAGTATTGTTTTACGCCTTTTTAGCAAACTTCCAGCAGTGCAGGGGAAACCTCGGGAATTGAACCCGGGCCTTCGGCGTGACGAGCGAACGCTTAAACCACTAGGCTACCCGACCGCCCGATCCAGATTAAAGGTTGTATTCTAACGTTTTGGTCGTTTTACGTTGTGACGATCACTAAACCTCGCGAAATGTCAGCAAAACAACAGATCTATTTGACTAGGGGCGGTCGGGTAGCCTAGTGGTTAAAGCGTTTGCTCGTCACGCCGAAGACCCGGGTTCGATTCCCGATATGGGTACAATGTGTGAAGACCATTTCTGGTGTCCCCCGCCGTGATATTGCTGGAATATTGCTAAAAGCGGCGTAAAACCGTACTCACTCACTCTATTTGACTACCCACGACAACAAAGTACGGAGCTTCACTCTCTAGCGCGTTGGCACGGATGTCAGACTGGGGTCCATTTTATGCCTTGTTAGGTACGGTATTCATCATTACATCCTATGCATGTTACGTTACACTCATATATGTGCCTCACTGAGCTTAACACAAACAAGTAAATATGCCTCACATTTAGGACGCCTTAACTATTTCTAGTTATCTAACGAACGTCATCATATGTGTCTCGGCTAACGCAAAAAGCGGTTATCTTTGAAGTACAGTAGTTAAGCATGATCATATTTGTATTTAAAATAACGTAAGCCTTAAGCACATTGGAACACGTTATATTGAGAATATTAGGATTTGAGTGCATCTGCTTCGAAAACACGTGAAGCAAAATTTTGATTTGCTAGTTTAGGGCTACCAGAGTTTACATACGTCCCCTGACTGAGGCTAAAATAATATTCAAGTTGTTCTAATGAAATCAACTACAGATACAAACAACTGTCTAAATATAAAAAGTGTTTTGGGTTGTGCTTTACAGCTAAACGTGTTTAGGATTTAAATGTGGGAAAGACCCGTATCCCTACCGTGACATTTATTGTAGACAATTTTTAATATGTTTGATTTTTTGGCGTTTAATGGGGTTATAGAAGTAAGGGGGTAACTTAATAGCTGAATAAACATGTTTAGATCTTAACATGTCTTGTATGCGTTGAAATTCTAAACACATATTTCGCAGTGTATGTTGGTGGGTCAAGACATGACCCACATCACCGCCTGACTCATGTTATCGTTAAGGGCTTAAGATTAATTTCTTGTCTTACGAATCTGTGGACCTGCAATTTCACAAATTAGGACTGAAAGTTATTCGGAGGTAAATTTTAGATTTAAACAATCCATTGAAAATTTAATTTAGATTTCGATCACTTAATAATATAAGAAACAAGGAAACTGAACACAATTTGACAAGACTGTCTGTCCGCCGAATACAAAATGAATTACGGATAATCAAGAACCCATAATTGTTTACAGTTTACCAAACAGGCATCATTCTCTCTTTCTCAAATCTAAATTATAAAAGATAAAACTTTCGTTTATTGTTTTTGCAGCAGACAAGTTTTTGCGAATTAATTTGATCATTATATGTACGTGCGGCTTTGGCCTGTGTTAACTACTGCTGGGTTGCTTGAGTGAGTGAGTGAGTTAAAGTTTAACATCGCATCGGCATTGTTGTTGCTTGAGCTTAGGGCGGGTTTATTTGGTGTTGTCCTAGAGGGTTCTTGGTGGTATGACCTCTGTGATTGTTATCTTCAAGACAGCTAGTGTCCCACGCTGTAACCTGTCAGTTATTACACTAGTGATACTTGATTCATGAAGGTGTAGATAGCGCGGCCATCACGTGGACAATGCTGGCCAAGGACAGCCATTACAGCGTGTAGATGTATTTTTATTACTTTGATTCAGGTCATATTCTGTATTCTGTGGTTATCAAAGACAGGTGAGGTGAGGTGAAATTGGGTTTAACGTCGCGTCCACGATTATTGCACTTATATAGCGACGTGCATGCACGTGTATGTGTGTGTGTGGCTGCTTGTACTAGTCCGGACTGATGCCGATTTATAGTGCTAGCTCACTGAGATACCATGCCGCAGTTTAACATGAATACCCCACTCAGACACAGTATACTGACTCCGAGCCGACCAGTCCTTGTTTTAGCCCCTTAATGCCGAGCGCCAGACAGGGTAACAACAAGTACAATCTTTTAACGTCTTTTTGTATGACGCGGCCCGGGATCGAACCCTGGACCTTCCGCTCTCCGGGCGGACGCTCTACCACAAGACCACGGAGGCGGTTTATCAAAGACAGACTGAAGATTGTCTGATTTTAATTAAAAGTAGGTAACCGCGTTTGATTCATAACCATTCTCTGACTGATGCTTGTCGACCCGGGAATAATATAATGGATTCAGAATCTTTGTTTCACTTTTAATGTGTGTTCACCATATTAATGAACATCTTCCCTATGCAAGGGCGTTAACTGACTATAAAAGTTAAGTTTCCACCCTTGGCGAACTAGGCTGGAATTCATGCTTGCCGTAAGAGGCGACTAACGGAATCGGATGCATGTCATCGTATCCCAATTGCGTCGATCGATGCTCATGTTGTCAATCACTAGATTGTCTGGTCCAGATTCGATTGTTTACAGATCGCCGTCATATAGGTGGACTATTGTTAAACAACAAACAAACAAATACTGCAACTCCCGGAACGTCTGCTGTTGTCAGTGCCGCTGATTACAACATTGACGCATTTCCTTGCAGACGACGGCAGGTACACCTAGGGCCACAGGCATGGAGACAGGCTGCGCATTGTTGGACGACGGTCCATTCTATCCTAAGTACCCTTTGCATATAAACAACTATATGTTCTGTTCGGAAGTGACGTCACAATCTCCATCGCTCCTGAAAATAGCACTGACTTTCTCCCGCTCATGAGTGGAATTGTATTGGACGGCTGTTGAACACACAATGCCACGGTAGTTCTTTTAGCGTCTTACAATACAGTAAACTACGGTTATAACGAACATGTTTATAACGAACTAACCAATACAACGAACTTTTATTTTAGTCCCGGTCATTTGTTGTATAGATGCTTATAACGACGGTTATAACGAACTAAAATTAGTGGCCCCTTTGAGTTCGTTATAACCGTAGGTTACTGTAGATATGGGTCTCAGTAAGAAGCTATAGTAGCGAACGTTGTCGTTCCTTTGTTCTTCAAGGCCGAACTCAGCAATATTCCAGCTATATGACGGCGGTCTGTATATAATCGACTCTGGACCAGACAATCCAGTGATTGACATCATGAGCATCGATCCTCACAATTGGAATACGATGACATGCATCAATCAAGTTAGCGACCCTGACCACCCGATCCCGTTAGTTGCCTCTGACGACAAGCATGGGTTGCTGAAGACCTAATCTACCCTGGATCTTCACGGGTCTATAGACCCGAATATGTCGAGGGTACTTATGATACAAGAATGGGGACGTAACACCCTCGATAATGGTTGGTTGGTTTGTTGTTTAACGCCGCACTCAGCAACATTCCAGCTATATGACGGCGGTC